CACATACACCCCAACAAGTCCCTGCGCCAAAGGCTACTTCACGAACACCACTGCTCCATGCGTTAAGGTACTCACACGCGAAGGCACAGCGTCCTCTGCCTCCTGCGGTAGTTCAGCTTCGTGGTGTTGTCTGTTGACTCGTGGGCGATGGCGATGTCTGGGTCCAGGTCCCGGCCCAGGTTCAGATCCCATGTAGAGTGAGGTGCGGTGCAGTGCGATACCATGCTGTGCCATCCACCCCCCGTGCTCCACTCTCCCGACTGCGTCTGCTCTTCCTCGAGTCACTCCATCTCTCTCCGCTCCCGACTCTCCACTCCCAGTCCGCCCTTATGTCTCCTGCCCGCTATGTCTCAGGTGCACTGATTAGTCTTTTAGCGCAGCCATTGGCTGCCAGTCATGTGTGGCTCGGGGCAGCAAGTCATCCAATTAAAAGCAAGTAAAACACTGATAAAAAAACAAAAAAACATGCAATAAATAAAACAATGCGATTTTCATGAAAAAGAAATCGCCCTAAACGTAAGATTCGACTTAATAATTAAAATCAATTTATCGCCCAGCCCTAAAAAGAGCTAAGGAAATGGATAAATAGAACAGGAAGAAGAACGGTTTCCGATGGGCATGGCTCGATAGCAGCGGGACTCTGCAGATAGGGACACAAACTGTGGCTACATTTCTGGAGCAACATATTCAGAAAGGTGCTGTGCATTCTCTGCTCCGTTATAAACATTTATGCAAACAAGGGAGCAAGAGACATCCTGGAGCACATATAATCAAAAAAGCACAAATTTACGTTCTAATTAAATAGTCAACAATACTGACATTTTATGTGACATCTGGTGATTAATACGGTGCCTCAAAATTGTTCAAAATGTATAGATTGTTAATATATGGTGTTTTAAAAATAATATTTATAAAATATCTTTCAAATTCATATGTGAAATGACTTTAAAAACACAAATATGTATTTGAAATAAAGGGTCTATATTTGATATTCTTTTCCCCACACAATACAATTGTTAGAAAATAATTCAGAAGTTTGGGAAGATTATTAAAATATTGTTGGATATTTCCAGCTTTCAAAAGTATTTTCCATGCTCAAAGGGGGGTGCTTTGCATACAGCCATTTCATAGTTTTTTTTTAAAAGGGCCCGGGTTAAGCCCAGGCATCACTGGAAGCTAATGTTTTTATAAATATAGCTCTACTGCACAATGCTAAAATCGGTACAGCCACTTCACTTCACCTTTTCTAAATGTGGTCAATAGGTTTTAGTGAGTTGCCTTCTATGCACTTTCCTGAAATGTTGAGCCTGTCAGGTGACTGGGCATAATCCGTCTTGGCCTGCTTCTGTAATAGGCTTAGCTTCCTGTAAAGCTCACTATGAGACATTTCTCTGTGGGTCGATGAGTGACCTGCGTGTGCCAATACAAGCTGTCAGCACGACGCAACATGGAGCTGGGAGTGAAATGTATTGGCCTGGTATAAACCGCAAAAGCCATAATTTTCATCGGTAGTTCATTATATTTTACATGCAGAACCCAATGTTTGATACACATAATTGACAAGAACAGGACATGAAAGACATGATGAAATTGGCTGCATGATAAATAGCACTCGAATCAAAATCACAATTTATTCTCTCACCTGACCTGGGAACACCTCGAGCCCAGTGCTAGTCTACCCCCGGATGAGCTGGAGGAAGTGGATAGTGAAGTCCAGGTACCCATCTCTATGTTGAGGCTCGGCTTTGTCAGGACGACCAGAGCTAGAGGATTTAACCTATTTTACCTGCTTTTAGAGGTAGGGTAAACCTGAACACCTGGAACTGCCACTGTACCCACGTGCCGCTGTGTACAACTCTACTCACAGCTGCCCTGGGACAGACTGATGGAAGATAGGCTGCTTGTTTAGTTCATCACCAGTCATACACACAAGCACACACACTCTCATTCACTTGCACACACTTGTACACACATTCACACCCTATTTTAACTTAAATACAAATGTTTAGGTAATCTAGAGCTCTATAGAAATAACTTTGATGACTCCCTTTTCAAACAGTCTCACGTCATTGCAAATTCGGGCCACCCAGCTGAGTCCAACATAAACATTGTAATAAAGCTGCAGCCTGTAAAACCGTTCTGTAATTTGGTTATGCAGACGAAAGTAGGGGTAGGTTCTTTTATGGGCACGTTCAACATCTTTCAGTGTTGTGTGGTTTGAAGGAGAACTCCACGCCTTCCATCGGCTTCTGTTTGCATGGCCTGTGAAGTAGCAGGATCACAGTAGTAAAACCAAAATGATAAATTTACAGTACTGAATGTGTCGGTGCATTTAATATGCTGCAAAAGGCTCTTTTCCCTTGTGTTTCTTTAACTATGTGTGGACTTTCTCTTGAACATATGTATCACGAGCTGCTGTTTTAGTAGTAGCTTTAGTCATGAGATGGTGGTTGGTTTGTGGTATGTTTGTGTGGAAGCATTACTCTCTCTCTCTCTTTCTTGCTATTCTCTTTTTTCCTCTCTCCCCCTTCCTCACTTTCTCTATCCTCTTTCTCCCTCTCTCTCTCCCTCTCTCTTTCACTCTATCATCATTCTCCCCTTTCTCTCTTCCCTCGCTCTTTCTTTAACATATATTGTGTGCTGTTGTGGTGTGTTCTTGTGGAAGCATTACCGAAACAAGATTGAATCTAGACAGACAAACTGACAAGGATAAGATGAAAACAATTTTTTGTCTATACATAATATATGTTTTTGAGACTTTTTCATATTTGTTAAGTTTTTGGTTAAGGGGTTGGATGAAGCAGATGCAAATTCCTCTCTCTATCACACACACACACACGCACGCACGCGCGCACACACACAAATCAGTACATGTAAAATGAATTGTGCACACATAAATTAGATTGTACCTTAAAATGACAAATTCTTACACTCTACACTATGTCCATTAATACTCACAAACTCAGACACTCAGAGGGCCAGCACAGAAACCAAAATAGAATATAAAAACATAAAAATGTGTATACAATGAGAGAAAGATTAGTTTCTACACTGGTGGGTTCCGGGTTTCACAATTTGTTATTATTACAACAACAACAACTTATACTTGTATAGCCCTAAATCACAACAGAAGTCATCTCAGAGGACTTAACAAAACCATTGAAATCACCAACACAGATCAGAGAGTCAATAGTTAAGACACAAAATATACACATATGAATTGGTTCATAGAGAGAGACCAATGTCCATGAATGTTGAAAAATGTCCAAACATGTTGTAGAATGTTTCCTGGATCATCACCACAGTCCTTCTAGTTGGACACTGTCACTAACTGCATCGGCAAGAAAAAACTCACAAAAACCCAGTGGGAAACAAAAAGTAAGAAACCTCGGGAGACCCACATTGAGAAAGGGATCCGCTCCTTCACGGACGGACGGGCTAATGATCCAGGACCTAAGTAACAAAGAAGTTACATTTTCTTTGAAAAGAATGCCCTTAATGAGAAAGTAAATGTTTAGATATTAGTCCAGTATACATGATTTTATTCTGACATGAAGAAATCTGAAGTTAAGTCTCAGTTACAGAGCAGTCGGAATGAGGAGCGCACAAACACAAGATAAGTGATTATTAAGTATTGCAGAACTGGAAATATCATAAAAAGCAAAAAGATCATTATTAAGAGAATATTCTCTTTTCATTGATTGCAGATTCTGAGTTATTTTGTCCATAATTTTAGCTTTGTATTCAATTCAGTAATTATTAAAAAAATAATATGTCAAAAAATATACAGTATTTCCTATTATGAAAATTTGGTTCAAAGCTTAGCATTTGTATGTTGATGGTGGGTCCTGACTCTGTTCTAGTATATCGGCAGATGTTCTTCATTTTTTAACCCATTGGCATTGGACCAATGTCTAAAATTGGGCTGATAAACACAGCCGATGTATAATGCTGGGTTGCAGCTGACGCCATGCAGCGGCGTGAAGGACAGCCAAAGAAAATCTCCCCATTAAGAATTCACTGGTTCAGAGTCAACATTTTATTTTTTTGTGGTGTGTACAGTTTGTGGTAATTACTCGTATCAAGCGGAGTACTTATGGAGTCTATTTGGCTAAAATGTATTTCTCTAACTAATCTTGATTTTTACAAAAATGCCTAAAAAGAAACTTAAGAAATACATTATCATTAGCAATAGCCTGCGTAGCATCTGCGGCCGCAAACACAGCTGACAGTCTCAGTCTTCACTTTGCTGACTTTCAGAGATACAATTCAGTATTTTTGTGTGGTGTGTGGAGATACTAAGAGCTTACACACACACACGCGCGCGCACACACACACACACACACACACACACACACACACACACACACACACACACACACACACACACACACACACACACACACACACACACACACACACACACACACACACACACACACACACACACACACACACACACACACACACACACACACACACACACACACACACACACACACACACACACACACACACACACACACACACACACACACACACACACACACACACACACACACACACACACACAGAGAGGTCCCAGACAACAAAAAATGACACATTTACACCAATGGCAACACATTGGTGATGCCATGTGATTTATTCCTTGTTTTGTCATTAATAATTTGAGAATATTAACAAGACACATGCACACATGCTCACACACTTACGCACATACAGTATACACACGCGAGCACATGCATACACACACACATGGGTGCACACACACACAAAATCAGATTAGATTACAATTTTGGTATTAAGGGCTTGATTCATGACCCAATGCACCCGTCCTTATGAGAAATTGGTGTTTACCCCTTGTTTACTTCGTTAACATCTCCACAAAGTACCTAAAGTGTGTATAAGTCCAGTTAATGTTCCCAGCAGTTTACCAATTCCCAAAAAACCCACTTTTCCAGACGTTTTTGTGTTTCCCTCAAGTAGACAAGAGCATCAGTCTAGTGCCCAGATCTCGGTCGGGGCTCTTTGAAACTCCGGGGCCACTTAGCTCCAGCACACAGCCCATTATCCAGGCACTTCCCCAGCAGAGGGTTGAAAGACACAGAAAACAAGGCTGCTGTCAGAGCTGCTGCCGCTCCATTGTGAAGCCCCTGATAAAGTAAGAGGCGGGAGGAGCTCAGGGGGGGAGGGGGAAGGCGGCTGTGGAGTTGGGGAAGTCCACAAACTTTAATGAATTCACTGGAAACTGATTTTGAGAAGATATTATGATGTGTGGTCTTCTATTTAAAATCCAGGTCAAGCATGCCTTGACGACCCAGCCATTATATTCTATCAATTGAGACCCCAGGAAGACTAGCGACCAATTGTGGAACCACCTATGTGTTCTACTGTACAATGTTTGTGCCTTCACTGTTGATTCTCTGATATGTGTTGACCATTTCAACGGTTTTGTTAAGTCCTCTGAGATGACTACTGTTGTGATTTAGAGCTATACAAGAAAAAAATCGTAATTGGAAGGTAATGGGGATCCAAATAAATACATAAATTCCTTAAAATCTTTTTTATAGCCCTAAATCACAACAGTAGTCAACTGGGAGGACTTGACACAGCTCAGAGAATCAAACAGTTTAGCAGATGACCAATAGTGTTAAATGTCCTGCATTATGTCCTTAGACCCTCCTCCATCGGCAAGGAAGAACTAAAACAAAAAGTGGGGAAGGCCAAAATGAGGGAGGGATCCACTCCCACAGACAAACAGACATGGACAATAAGATCCTAAACTCTATAACTCAGTGTCATCCAGCCAACTTCAGCTCTGCCAATACAGGAAATGCAACACCTAGTAAATCTCAGAACCTTTCAAAGCAAGTCATGATTTTGTTAGACCATACTGACATTTTTTGATTAACAGTGCTCCTGGACAAAGTTTTGCTCCAACTTGCTCTGGCTCCTATTGACTTGGTAAGTCCACTCCTAATATACGGCCTGAAAATTGTTGAGAAAGCACAAGTTTGTCATTCAGCCAACTTAAGCTTGTTTTAAAACTCAGAAGGTTCTACAATCTGGGTTGTTGGGCCCTGGACAAGTCTGGTTAACTGAAGTGGTCCTGTTACTTAAACATCTGAACACCCCTGATTAGGATATGGCTTGCTAAAGTTTGTATTATATATTTTGCAGGCCACAATTTGACCAGGTTTGATCTAAAATGTACCTTAAGCGGTAATTTGGACTGGAAGACAACCTGCTTCTCCTTCACCCTCAACCTATCACACAGCTCTGCCAACTTACCTGCTCACCCATGTCAATCAAGCGGGCAGTTTAAAAGCAGCAACATCCCTCCTGGCTCCTGTCCCCTCCTCTGGCCTCTTTCCAGACATTGATCACAATCTTTCTCTAATGCCACCACCAGTGTCAAAGCAATGATTGTCCCTGATCAAGAGTCACTGTGAGTCTATTTCCAAATAATAACAAATCTATCCGGAATGAAATAACTTTATGGCCCAACAGTTGTCCTCAGTTTCCTGTTAATGCTGCTTACAGTATACCAGCATCAAGATGTTTGATACTGTTTGATCGTTTTTCTTTTATATATCTTAATTAGTACTAATTAATAGTAATAATAACTAATAATTAGTACTTCAGTTAGCCGTAATGTCCACGAGTATGTTCCAGGAATAATCTTTTTTTTTAATGCTTATGTGTAAATGTGTCCAATAGTGACACTTTCAAACATATTTCCCACTCACTAACCCTCAATTTCATAAAGGATTTTAAATTACATACTGTAGCTAATCAAAATGCAAATTAACTCACCCGTGAACACAACTCAATCTCGTTTTTGTGCCAAAGAATCTCCGAAACAAACCCTGGCGATTTACTCGATTATCCACAGCTGTCATCCCTAGTCAATATGAACCCTGCTTCACACTGGGTCAATGCCACGGCTTTTACGTCTTTATTCTAAATTAATGGGTTTTTCATGGAAACTCCTCATACAACAGCCTATCTTAAGGACCTGTATTTTATAAGAAATGTATGCCAGAATAAGAATGAACAAGAGCTCTGTGTTCTTACTATATATTTTGTTTCATTTCCTTTTTTTATTTACTATTAATCATCACTAATATTAGGACTAATATTATGATTATTTCCCTCTGATCAAGTACTCGCACCCACACACACACAAAAACACATACACACACATACAAAGACCAACACATACTGTACACATAGGCCTGTCGCGATAATCAATAAATCAATTAATTGCATGATGATTGAAATTAGCTCAATAATTTTTCTGGCAGCAAAAAATGCCATTTGCATGCTTGTTTGTTTTCCTCGTCTCTCTCTTGGGTCCTTAGCGTAACAATGAGTGAACCCTCATGTCAGTCACTTGTCAGTTGCATGGTGTGTGGGGAGACGGGACTACTGGTGTAGCCTACCAGAGTGCAGCTGAAGAGCTGCGTGAGAAGTATACCGGTAGGCACTAGGCAGAGAGAAAGCTAGTTGCGAGTTCGAGACAAAATGATGGAATGGGTTTCCAAGCCAAACGCGACAGCTGCAGTGTGGGAGCATTTCGGATTTAACCCTAACCCAAACTCGCGGTGGAACCACTGAGTTGGTGTGTGAGTCGGTGTGTCGCATTTGTTGGAAAACAGAACAACAATATTTTCACTTATTGCAATAATATCTGAGACAATTTATCGTCCAGCATAATTTGTTATTAGCGACAGGCATACACATACCCATGTAAATGTCGTTGCTGTCTTACTGTTTTTGTTTAGGACTACCAGAGATAAATATATCATAATAATATGTATTACATTATGTTTTTAGCAGCAATTTACTGTAATCTGTATACTGCACTACTGAACTTTTTATATTTAGTCATTTTCCCGCTCCATCCATCATCCATCTTCTACCCTTTAATCCATTTCTGGGTCAGGGGGGTGGCAATCAGAGATGCCACCCAAGTCTCATAGCACCAGCCCCTCACTGACCCTCTGCAGGTGGTGAGTCCACAGGAGGACGGCTGCTCTCTGAGTGTGAGCATAGCCTTGATCTTTTAGTGGTGGCTTTGGGCAAAGTGGGGTTAAGTGTCTTGCCCAAGGACACAACGACAGCAGTCATCAGTGGCAGTCATCATTTTCCCGCTCCATGATATGATATTTTATATTATTATGACTCTTTTATTTACTGTTTTTATTGCTTTATGCTGACTGTGCAACGATTGGAAACAAAGTGCTACACAAATGTAAGGTTCCCTGTGCGTCTCACCTGTCCGTACTGGTTGATCGTGTGAAAGACTTGATCCGTGAGGTTGAAGATGTTTCTCCAGTCCATGTTCATCATTCCGGGATCCCTCTCCTCCTCCGATCCACTGTGCAGGAAGTTCAGGATGTCTGCGGTCCGAAACCCGGTCCCCTCCAGACTGTTGTCCATGAAGTGTGTGACCGTGGGGTTGCGGAGAGTGTCCTGGTGAACACAGTACACAAATAAGGATGACTGATAATTGTCTCTTGTGTGTGTGTGCTGTGTAACTCACTACACTGATGTACATTTTTTGCATGTATATACAGTATATATATGTGTATATACATATTTCTTATTGGTTAATTGTTTATTAAAATAACAAGCATCGAACGGCCGAAACCTTTACTGTAAGAAAGACAATACGAAACTGTAGTAGAAGTTGTTCTGGGAGAGAAATGCTTTGTTGGTGTCAGAGGTGTAAGGGGGAAATCGACAGTGCAATGATCTGCTTTTCTCTCATTTCACTGATAAACTCCAAAAAACACACTCCAGCCTGAACCGCATCTATACGGCCTGTAGGTGACATAACGCTACTATCAGGCGTAAGTGTTTAAAGCCATCACTGTAAAAATATGTGAAATGAAGCTCATGAGGAGTGAGAAGACCGGTCTGGACCAGTCTGTACCCGGATCATGTTCATCTGCACACTGCTGTGGAGGAAGGTCCAGATCTGAGGCCCCAGCTCCTCCCAGGACTTGAACATCACCATGAGCCGCTCCAGCTCCTCGAACGTGGTGTTTGCCTGTGGGAGGAACAGCGAGGCAAGTTTATTTGTATAGCACAGTTCACATACACAAGGCAACTCACATAGCTTAACAAAACATATAGTCAGTTTTGTGTACACAGCTAAACAGAACTTCTTCACCTGGATTTCAACATTGTGTGAGAGGGGTTTATGTTATTAGGGCTATATTGTCCGAGCAGAGATTTCTTACTTATTATCTCCAAGTCCATCATTGAACTCCATCAAGTTTTAGGAGGGATAGGATGTTTTAGGAGTGTTTTGATCATTTAATAACCGGTTAGAACATTCTTACATGAAAACCTGCGGCTTAAATTCAAGTGGACAAAAAAAAAAAACTGAAAAATGATCCATGGTAATAGTCGAAAGTCAAATTTTCAGTATTTATTATTAGTGCATTTCTCTCTAATAATGATTTCAATAAACATTTGGATACATTAGGATTTGTGGCGGCACGTTTCGTATTGAACATGACACTAAAAGTGGAAAATAAAGGTCTTTTCACTCCTACACTCGCTCTGGAGTTTCCATCACACATTATGCATTCCATCAGCTTTCTCTTACTAGAGTTTGCAGCCATGCGAGACTCTGCGAGTACAAGGTTTCTTACGCTCTTGAGTATCCGGTGCACTGCAGGGGAGTCCGGCGTGTACAAGATCTTCCCCATCAGCAGCGGCTTCACGGAGCTCCACACTATCTTTGTGATTGGGTTTGACTCCAGACTCTCCATCAGGGAATTACAGAACGGGGCTGAGGACCGGAGAAAGAAAGTTAGTACAAGTAACAGCAAAAGTAGGAGTGGAGTCGAGTAATAGTAGTAGTATTAGGTGGAGTAGCAGTAGTAACAGTGACAGTAAAAGTAAAAGAAGTAGTTGTCTTAGTAGAAGTGGTAGTAGTAGTATTAGGAAGAGGAGAAGTAGCAGTACTAGAAAGAGTAAAAGAAGAAATTGTAGTTGTAGTGGTAGAGGAAGAGTAGTAATAGTAACAGAAAAAGTAAAAATATTAGATATTGTGTTGTAGTATTAGAAGTAGTAGTGCAGTAAAAATGGAAGAAGTAGTAGTAGTAGTTGTGGTAGTAGTGGTAAAAGTGGTAGTTAGCAGTAGAAGAAGGTTGAGAAGGTAGTTTTAGTAGTAATAGTAATAGTAGTAGTAGGACTAGGATTTTCTATAACTTTCAATTCAAATACAAAATCCGACAATGTCATATGTCACGACCCCTTCCTCCTCTCTGTGGTCGTGCTTGGTATTGCCTTGTGGATCTCTGTACAGGTGGAGCGCCTATTTATGGACCTGCCTGCTGACAGCCTCACTCTCTCTCAGCCTGCGTCCTGTGCCACGCCACTTTATTTTCTGTTCCCGTTATGGTTTTGTTCTGCATCACACTTCACATCGCACCATACGACCACACAACCATTCACTCGCATACACCACTGATACTACAGACAGTCACACCTCATTATTATTGTTACTTTGGTATACTTGGGTTAATCCTTGTTTAATAAACACCTTTTAAAGCTGCACTAACTGACTTTATTTTCGTATTCATTACGAAAATGCTATCCATGTCCATGTAGTGCATTGGGATATACGTATATATACTTAGGAAGAAAAAATAGGTTTGTGCTAGCGTGACATTATATTTTAGATTGAGTTTTGATAAAACAAGGAAGAGAATGTGTTTCGGGTCGCAGATTGTGACCAATCACAGCGGACCACTGGCCCCCACTTTCGTGATAAATCTACAGGTCCGTTAGCATAGACGGCTGAGTTAGCGCAACAAGTGGCAGAGCTAACCTGAAGCATCCTCATCTTCGTCACCGGTTACTGCTTACACAGCGAGACAGCCATACAAAAGAAAGTCTCGTTCCTCCGCGCTTCCCGGTTCTATCGTTCTATGGTCACGCCATCCACGTGAAAATCCATATCCATGTATTATCCATAGTGGGAGACGCTAGCTCCGTCAACAAAAATGACGTTGACGGAGGGGGGCGATAGCTTCGTGGGTGCGAGGAGGGGAGGAGAAAGAGCGAGGCCAGCGAGTCCGCGGCTTCAAAATCCCAAAGGCAGTTCGTGCCGCTTTAAGGCTATATCCACACAAAGACAAAACGCTTATAATTTCAGAAACTTTTTCTGTAAACACGGAGTTAGCTCAGTAAATGTGTGCGTCCATATGAATGTAGTCAATACGCCTGAAAAACGCTGTGAAACTATGCCAGACCTGTTGGTGGCGCTGTGACGCAATGACGGGATCAAGCCCAAACTTCCGTGACGGGAACTGGGCATGCGCAGAATTTTGTAAACAGACAACATGGCGAGTGGGCGAGCTGGTACTACATTAGTATGGACGGACGATGAGGTTGAACTGTTGCTTCGGGTCACACTGGATTACAAAACCAACAAGCTACATTGTTGTTGTCATTATTTTCTGAGTGCGGCGCATGCGTGCTTTAAAGGAATAGTTCACCGTTTTTACATACTGACATATGTTCTTACCTTACCTTAGACTAGTTAATACGTACCTGTCTGGTCTTAGTCCGTGCGCTCTGTCATGCAAACGGAGCAAAAACGGGAGCACAAATGCAGCCTCCTCTGTATATTTTGTAGCACCAAAAGGTAGCTCCCGCTAGAAGCTACCAAACTCTTCCAAGTGTTCCCTATTAAATGTATAAAGTATAGTAACACAGAATTGTAACAGTCGATTTTCTCAGCGGATAAAACGGGTACTATATTGTGAGGCGTAGTAATCTGAGGTGCGCTACGTCCGCGCACTAACTTCTCTCCGGAGACTTCTCTCTCGCTCACTTCCGTCAATAGAAGCAGCGTGACTTGTAGTACGGAGAGAAGTTAGTGCGCGGACGTAGCGCACCTCAGATTACTACGCCTCACAATATAGTACCCGTTTTATCCGCTGAGAAAATCGACTGTTACAATTCTGTGTTACTATACTTTGCAGTGTAACACGTCACGTAACTATATACATTTAATAGGGAACACTTGGAAGAGTTTGGTAGCTTCTAGCGGGAGCTACCTTTTGGTGCTACAAAATATACAGAGGAGGCTGCATTTGTGCTCCCGTTTTTGCTCCGTTTGCATGACAGAGCACACGGACTAAGACCAGACAGGTACGTATTAACTAGTCTAAGGTAAGGTAAGAACATATGTCAGTATGTAAAAACGGTGAACTATTCCTTTAACAAGAGGCGGGGCGATGACGCAAGCGTCTCAGATACATTGCGGAGAGGCAGTAACCACGGAGCGGCATATACGGAGTTTTGAAATCTTTCCACTCTGGGACCTAGTTTCAAAAATGTTCGTTTACACCCCCCCAAAACGCCGGCCTCGTATGGACGATACACTGGATTGATAAAGTATTTTTGCGTTTAGGCCTGAGCTTGACTTCGTGTGGACAGGGCCTAAGTATCCAATTTTGGTGGTCTGCGTCCACATTTTTCATGGCCTTGAGCCAGGTTATGACATATACAATCCAACAAATCCCTCACTTTCTAAACAGTTTGCTTATATCACTATGCATGTCTTGTTTGTCACATCTTTAGATCAGATTGTTCGGAAAGAAAAGTGTAAAAGAGGGGACCACCTTCACGCAGCCAATCAGCTCTCAGCCTCAAGTAATGACTCTCAAGACTCAAGTATGCAAAGGATTACAAGATTTCTAATGAGGTGAGGACAGCATGGTGTGGTCTGATTTGTTCACATTGTTAATATTTCTGTTAACAAGACTCTTTCTCCTCAACCCTGTTACAACAACCACAAAAGTTGAATTACAGCTTTAAGCTTTAATTTCTCTTCCTTCAATTAACTTAATCTTCAGTGAATTGAAAAAGGAACATTTTCAACTTGCTTTATTCTGTTTAGTCTGTTTGATCTTCTGTATAGTTCTTCGAGACAACTTTTATTGTGACTTTGGGCGGTAAAAAAATGAATGGGATTTTGTTAACTTCACAGAAAAATACAGAGAAACATTTAAAATATATAAAAATACTATACTACTATATTTCACGTGAAGAATCTAAACCAAGAAAAAACATACCATGTAAAAAATGTATAATGAACTCAGTAAAAAACTATTTAATATCCTGGTAATAGCAGAAATAATCATTCATCTATAATACAAATCCAGTATTTCGGTGATGCAACAACTGTGTGACAAAATCCTACTTTGTATCAAAAATACTTCTCTTAAAGGTAATAATGTCAGGATGTTCCGCTGTCTGGACTCACTTGCAGTCTCATCATAGACATAGCTCTGGCTCTTGGTCCCGTTGACGCCCAGGAAGACCTTGTAGTTGTTGTCTTCGTACCAGTTGAAGGAGAGGACCCTGGAGCCCCCTCCTTCTGGGTACCCACAGAACAGGGCCGACACGCTGGACATGAGCTGGGAGAGCGAGGAGGGACCCCCGGCTTGGACCATTGGAGCCAGGGACCGCAACAGGTCCTGGGAGCTGTCCCGGGAAAGCAGCTGCATGAAACACACAAAACATAACAGTATCTTTAAAAAACAGTATGGAAAAAATCTGGCCAAAAGTGGTACTGCGACCTCTCCCACTCTCCCTGACTCAGGTTGCTAGATTTGCAGACAAATCCAGCTGGGACCATAAAAGTTGAATATTATGAGTTTTTTCAACAACAAATCTATAACCAACACCTTTTTCAACAAAGGCATCCTGGAGAGAAATCCTCATTTTATTCCTTGTTTTTTTCATTAATAATTTGAGAATCTTAACAAGACCTATTTTGGTTCTGCGGCCACATGTTACTTTACCAGTGAGATTAGCTTGACGCTGATAGTTTCCGGCAACCCGGATCACTGACTTTCTGATAGGAAAAACGTTGGAGGGTGGGACATTGGAATGAAAACAATAACAAGATTAAGGGGCTGTAAAACTAATTCTGAAATTCAAACATCTCGGCTGAACTACTGTTATTATAGAAGTATTCAAAAAGAGCATGGTATATTAACCCTTGTATTATGTTAAGGGTCAATTTGACCCATTTCAGTTTTTGAGTTGATCAAAGTACTGGTTATCCTTTCTTTTTCTTGCTGAAATTTGGTGACTTTTCCTCATCTAGGGTCATGAACTGGTGTGTAAAATCTGGACACTTTGGTGTGTAGTGGAATGCCTGTGCAGAGTTTGTATACAAATATGATGTTGCGGGTCATTTTGACCCAGACGCTTTAATGTGAGTAAATAGTTGTTCAGATCCAAAAAAACATGTCTCTTTGACATTGTATTTTGATTGCCTCTGAGACCCAGAGCCAGGTGTGTGAAGAGAGAGAACTTTCTCACACTTGTCCTTGTCACTGTTCTTATGTCATCTCTTTTGCCTAACGTACATCGTACTGGCAACTCATTATATCCGTCGCATATGAGTTGCTGCCCTGCACACATCGACAATCTGGCGAAAACAGGCAACTCCTGTAGCAGACCAGTCTCGGGAATAACAGCGCGTACATCGACAGCAACTGGCCTCAACTACAGTGTGTTTTCTGACATAAACTGTAGAGGTCGTGCAATACACGCAATACACACATGTTGTTGGAGCGCGCACATCGGGTGATATCTCCGGATCTGAGTACGACTAGTTGCCAAAAATTAGAACACGGGCAACTAACTGAATCTGGAGATCGACAGTTTATCTCCAGTTGTAAGAGCGCTCACATCGACCGATTTCAACTGATCATCTCCATCATCTACTCTCAGTCGCCAAAAGCCGCCTTCAACTAGTTGTCTCCAGTTACTCTGTCGATGTGTGCTAGGCTTTAGACAAACTCACCAAAAATGAGCTCCAGAAGGATGACGACATCTGAGGAGGCTTTATCACAGATTTTTAACTGGGATAATGATGTAGAGGAAGAGATTTCAGAAACAGAGGATTCTTCAGAGACAGAGGACAATGTTATTGCTGATCCAGATTGTCAATTTTCCTACGATAAGGAGGATTCAGAGGACAAATCTTTGGTCAATGAAAGAGGAAGGGAGGAAGGAAGGAAGGAAAGAAGGGAGAAAGGAAGGAAGGAAGGAAGAGAAAAGAAGGGAATAGATGAGGATGAACAGAGAGAAGGAAAACAGCATGAGAAAAAGGAAGGAGAAAGCATGACAGGAGGAAAGAATTGTCATTTTGACCCGAGAGGAAAACAAGAGGATTAGACTAAATAAATATAGATGGTTACTCTCGATAATGTCAGTATAATACCCAGTAACACTGTGAGGAATCTTGGAGTCATTTTTGACCAAGAACTCTCCTTCAAGGCTTATATAAGCCAAGCAACTAAAACGGCGTACTTCCACTTACGGAACATCGCTAAAATTAGGAATTTCCTTCCTAAAAGTGACGCGGAAAAACTCATTCACGCGTTTGTCACCTCAAGGCTCGACTACTGTAACGCTTTACTGGCAGCGTGCCCTAAAGCCTCTTTGAAGAGCTTCCAGCTCGTTCAGAATACAGCAGCTAGGATCTTAACAGGTACCAAAAGGAGGGAGCACATAACTCCGGTGTTAAAATCACTCACTGGCTCCCTGTGGAGTACAGAATAAAGTTTAAAATCCTACTCTTAACATATAAAGCCATAAATGGCTTGGCTCCTTCTTATCTCCAAGACACGTTAGTGTCGTATCAACCAGGTCGAGCGTTGCGCTCACAAAACGCCAGACGTCTGGTGGTCCCTAAGGTCTCAAAGGTCACTGTTGGTGGCAGAGCATTTAGCTACCAAGCTCCTTTACTGTGGAATCAGCTTCCCATTTATGTTAAGGAAGCAGATACGGTCTCCACATTCAAGGCCAGGCTTAAAGCACTTTACTTTAATTTAGCATATAATTAGGTAATATATAATATGTAGTGTATATATTATATATATATGCTGTATTATGTTATATATTATGTTATATATTATTCAATAATGTATTGTGTTATGTTGTATATTATGTTATATATTATGCTGTATGTTATTCTTTATTCAAGGCTAGGTTTAAAACAGTCCTCCTTAGTTTAGCATATGGCTAGGAAGGTAAGACTCGGAGAAGGTTAAACTCCTCAGAGTGTTAGTCAAGCTGCATAGGGAGTCAGTTTGCTGGGAGAAGTATGGTAACTTGAGCACTATCCTCTCCTCCTTCCTACTTTATCTGTTTGCATTTTTAGGATTCTGACTGTAGTTTGTTCATTGCTATTCACCCGTTGTCCCATTGTCTGTTTCATGGTACGATGACGGGATCTCTGAGCCTGGCCTCTTCCATCTACACCTGCGGACTGCCCCGCCCGACCCGCCTGGGAGTGCTTCAGTCCTGCACCGGACCTGTCCACGTTCAGCGTCCACTGGTCCACGTTCTGTAGCTAGCTTAGGTCCTGGATCATTAGTCTGTCCGTCCGGAGGAGCGGATCCCTTTCTCATATGGGTCTCCCTCCCTGTGGGTTTCCCTAGTTCTCCTCCAAGGTTTCTCACTTTTTCCCACTGGGTTTTTTAAGAGTTTTTCCTTGTCGATGCAGGAGGGTCTTGTTGGACAGTTAGTGTCCAACAGAAAGGATTGGTGATGATCAGGACACTTTAGCATTCTACAACATGTATGGACATTTTCTTCTGTGTGTGCTTTATACTGTATTCTTCATGTGTTTTAACTGTTGATTCTCTGACCTGTGTTGGTGATTTCAATGGTTTTGTTAAGTCCTCTGAGATGACTTCTGTTGTGACCTAGGGCTATACAAGAATAAATTGTATTGTATTGTATTGTATTGTATTTCTTAAATATAGCGTTGGAATTAAAAATGTATCGTTTGTCACTTTTCTAAATATTTATATAACCTAAAATAAAGTTGTTATTGGTTTAACCTATTTTCTTGACTGTTTTGAGTGCATTTACACAGTAAGGGTCAAAATGACCCGCAACATAATCAATGTCATTTTTTTTCAACATAATACAAGGGTTAATGCTGTTTGACATCTTAGGGTCTTTTAATGGTGACTTGACATGAAAATCATGTGCAATCATTGCTACTTTAAAGCTGGGTTACATGACTTTCATACCAAAACAGAATTGAACTATGTAATAATATCCAACCAGCCAATTTTCTCTTGTGAGTCCATTGTCTTTCTTCTTCTATTCTGGCCTTCGCCCCCTGGGCCACTGTTTTACATTCAGTCGAGTTGTTTTATTAGTTTATTTATTTTATTTTATTCATATTCTTGACTTTGTTTTGGATGCTTGTTTATTAAATGATGATATTTTTGCAGTGCTATATTTTGGGTCTTTGATCTTTGAGATTATAACACGTTTTATCCACGTTTTAAATCTGCAACTATTCAGCGAGCAAGATTCAATATTGCAGCTGTAAGAAGACTGTATGTCCTTGTACTGTAAAACATCTTTATTATTAAAGGCAGTATGTGCTAAAGGCCGATCTGTGTGTCACATTCATATAAGTGAGAGACTGACCTGTCATTGTCAGCCAAAGCACAGTTTTTATTACGCATTTTTTATTATCAATGTCACCTATGCAAACACTCTCACGCTTCAACAGTTCATTGCTGCATACACCAACAAGAGATAGTATTTTTTTGCCTGGCAATGAGATGCTATAGGTCTTGAATCATGTTGACAATGTTGCTTTGTTGTTGAGAAGCTCCTTGGGCTGATATGTGAATATACAATCATAAAACCTATATTCTATGTCCAACCTTGTGGCAACTATTCTGCATACCATCAACTCGGTAAATGAATATTACCTTTAAGCTATTTGACCTTCCACCACTGACTTATACTGAATATACTGTAACAGATGAGAGCCGATCATTAATAATGAGGGAGGCATAAACCAGCCGGTGCCAAAACAATAGTTGCTAAGATAAGCAAACATTTTGTAATGACGCCTTGAATTCTCATGATGTGACAGCGAGGGCGAGCTAAATATCCTCCAATTGAAGCCAGGAATAGCAGCATCGAAAAGCATTTCCCGAGAGTGCTTCCTTCAAAAGTGGGTCGGGAATTTATGGCTATAGAAAAGTGAACTCATTGAAGAGCAGGCGTTTTGATCAAGTTTTTAAAGTTAGTGTGAATGATATGTTACTGAATAAATAGCGTGGATAATCAGTGGTAGTCGTCCTGTTCAAGCATTTGGTTTTAGTTTGACACGCTTAAATCTGTATATAGCACTGTTCATAGACAAGGCAACTAAAGTGCTTAGCAAAGAATTTAGAAACAATCACACAAAGCCATAACAATTATAAATATTCACAATACTTTACAAGGAGTGGTGATACAATCCCTCAGTTGTATGCACAGTTAAACAAAACACATTTGACACATTTTCAGGAAGATGTTGATTTTGTCCCACATTTTATCTGCACATGGATCTATGCATTAAAATGCATGTAACTGTTGTTCGCTCTCTAAACAGTTTGTTTCTATCAATAGTTTACACATGTATTATTTATTGGCCTCTTATCAGCTCTCAGCCCACAATGTCAAGTAACGAGAGGAAGAAATTATGTTGTGGTCTGATTTGTGCACAATATTTTACTCCTCCACTGTTGTTTGCAGAAAGAACATTGTCAGAGGATACATTAAAAAGCAAATGTTGTACGGAAGAAGGTAAAAAATCGACTCATCATTGATTGTAGCAGCATGAATAGGATGAGCCGCTATTTTCTCAGGGTCCATAGTTTGTTCGGACCCTGATAAAGGACTGTGGATGTAACTATAAGAGTAATTGCTAATTAATTGGTAGGAAAAGTGATCCTTTTAATATAACAAAAACTAAATTTGCCAGTTACTTTTCATGATTATGATTTCAATGGCCAAAAATAATGCATCATGTTTCATCTTTAATAAACGTTATAGCTCAGTGTAAGGAGAAGCTTAATACAATGTTGTGCCTTTTTGAAACAATGAAATAGCTTCTGTTGTCTTAAAGGTCACAAGATGCGGCTTTGAAAGTATTTTGGCAGAGTCATTGTAAAAATGTGAAAAGTGCTACCGTGACCGGCCTTCACGAGGTCATACATATGACATAATGTAAAGCATGACTCATCACTTCGCTGTCTTTAGAGCGGGGACATAGTTGTCCTCGCTCTAACTTCCTCCTCATTCTTTTGTATTTGTTTTTTCTCACACGCTTTATTCCAGAGGCGGGGGGCCGTGGTCATGGAGAGGTTTTCCTGTGTTGTCCCATCACCACAGTCCCACCCATGTGTCACGTCTGAGGAATGCCTGAGTGGCCTGTGACAGAGGCCCCAGGGGAGGCAAACGTGCAGAGGGTCACAACTCTCACCTCTCACACTCTGCGGCCTCATGAATGAACTCTGATACTTTGGTAATATCGGAGAAAGAGATACGTGAATCCAAAAAAATATCATGTTTTCTAGAGGGAGTTTTGAGAAGCATCTCATTGTCACCGACATTACAAGTGGTCCATTTCGGTCCAGTACCTGCTTCTTACCATAGTGTGGAGAGAGACAAAAGAGAGGGAGAAAGAAAGAGGGACTCTGATACTTGGATTTTTATTGGAGGAATAATACATTAATCCTAAAAAGCTTTACTTACAAATAAGATCAGATGTTGCTGATGTTCTAAGGCTGATCAGGCAAATATTATACACAATTATGGATTTGCTATAAAAAGAGACATTCATTTACTGTCCTGGTGGTGATCGGCTGGTGAAACAGTCCAATACCTGCTTCTTACCATAGATACTGTATGTTATTGTCTTGCTTGAAGTCCAGTCCAAGTCTCAGCTACTGTTCCACTGGTGGGTTTTGTGCCGGTGACATACTGTATATAGGACATCGTTGGGATAGCTTCTCTTGTACTCACTGTGTCCGCTCACTATCACTTCACTTTACTCATCTGTGCAATAATAGCTTTAATAATGTCAAAATGTACAATATAGAACCACATGTGTCCAAGCTAGAGATTTTATACTGCTTCTTTTTCAGGCCAAAGTTAGAATTGTTTATGTATTTCAGTACAGAGTTATTGTTCATTTATCTTGTGCAGGGTGCTCCTCATTCCTGCTGTCTATAATTTGTGATGCAACCCTGAAATGTCCCCACTGTAGGATGAATAAAGGACCTCTTAATCTTAATCTCTGACCGTTCTCAAACTCCACCAGGGAAAATCCAGGTTTCCTGCACTGCTAAAAATAAGGAGAATGATCCTGCAGCTCGGAAACGTGGAGAGAGTGAGGAGGAGGCAGTAGGTCTGGGAGAGAACGTCATGTGAGAGGAGGAGAGAGAGACAAAAAGGGATGGAGAGAGAGGGAAAGGGAGGGGGGACAAGATGGGAGAAGTAAGGAAGAGAGCAAGGGAGAGAGAGAGGAAGACAGAACAGAAGAAGATAGAAATGGGAGAGAGAGGGGTGAGAGAGGTTCAGAGAGAGGAGGAGAGAAGGGAGAAAGAGGAAGAGAGAGGGAGAAGAAGAGGAAAGGGAGAGCAATGGGAGATTGAGAGTAAGAGAGAAGGGAAAGAGAGAGACTGAAAAAGAGAGAGCAGAGGAAGAGAAAGGGGACAGAGAGGAAGAAAAGAGGGGAGAGAGAAAATAGAAAGCGAGAGAGAAGGAGAGGAAGAGAAAAGCAAGAGAGAGCTGCAGGGAGGTACAGAGAGAGGAAGGTATAAGGGAGAGAGAGAGAGAGATGCAGAGAGAGGGGAGACAGGTGGGGGAAGAGGGGAGAAAGAGAAGGGGTTTACCAGTCTGACGTTGTCTGACACAGCCTTCATCACTCGTCCCCAGTGCTGGAGGTCGATGCCCTGAGCGCTGCTGTCCATCACCTGTGGCATCTGCAGAGAAACATCTGTTACAGACGTGTACGGCGCAAAACTGAACAAACCACTGGCAAACAGAAATCACAGTTTGCATGATGTAAAAAGTTTGTTTTAGAAATTATTGATATAATCACATGGCCACTATTGAGAGAAGGAATTATTCTGAATTGTTTATAAAACAAAGGTTTAATTTCAGACTGTGTGATTTTTGAAATGTGTGTTTGTGAACTTCTCGTAAGTTCATCAAATCATATCTCTACAGAGATAGTGTACACAGGATACATATGTTAAAAAAGAATAGTTTTAGTTAATAGGCAAAGCAAGTTTAATGGTATAGCACAGTTCATACTCAAGGAAACTCAAAGTGCTGAACAAAACAATTTCAAACAATAAATAATCACAAAACATTAACAAGAGTGAAGATAAAATCATTCAGTTGCTCAACAGATTGTCTTTGACCTGGATTTGAACATCAGAGTTGAAACTTTCCTCACATTTTCAGGTAAGCTGTTCCAGACAGCTGCATACAACTGAAATGCTCCCTACCCAGGGTTAATTGTGACTCTGTGCTCCTCAGAGTCCAAGATGGTTCATATGGAACTAACATGTCACGTTATGATGTACTTTGGTGCGAGGCCATGGAGAGACTTCTTAGGCTTCAGGAAGCGCTGCTTGTCAGGAAGTGGCTGCCTTTTAAACGGCCCGCTTTGCTGACAGAGGGTTGGCAGGAGGCTGGCCGGGCTCTGTGATTGGCAGAGGCTCGAGGCTGGCAGAGCTGTGTGATTGGTTGGCTTGGAAGGGGGAATTTGCACACGGTATTTCAGTCTGAATCTGCGCTTTCAGCTTCATTAGATTATACTTCCTGGTTCTAGTCAGGACGTGAACTGCAATGTTCGGAACATACTGAAACTGTCCCATACCCAGCTGCATTTATAGTTCCATGTTAAGAAACCTCCCCTAAAAAAAAAACTGTTATCAACCCATTTCCTCCAAAAGGAAACTTACAACACTCGAAAAAATCTAAAACATGGAAGTCCTCTGTGTCCACTGTCACTTTACTTTACTCATCTGTGCAATATTAACTTTAATGAATGTATAATATACTGTAGAACCACATGTGTCCACTGCCTCTTTACTTCAAGAGGCAGTGGTATAAAATACTTTACTTTGTAAAGTATTTTATATAAAATACTTATACGGTATAAAATACTTTACTTTGTAAAGTATTTTATACTTCCTTTATTATTGTGCTAAAGTAAGAGATTGTTGTTTATTTTATTTGAGTTATTGTTCATTTAAGACGTGTTATCAACCTATTGTTTGATCTAAAAGGACGCTTACAAAACTCGGGAAAGCTAAATCATGAAAGAGGTTAAAGCATAACAACAAACTTTCGTTCTGAAATTAGGTCAGGTTGAACTGCTGTCTTCAAGCTAATCGTGCAGCAAGCAACTCCTTCTGTTATTATTATTTTAGCAAACCTCCCTATGTAATGTTATCTTACATTAACATTTTAGCTGTGGGTGTAGAAAATGCCCGGTCAGTCCGCAGAGCAGGGGTCAGGAGGAAACCACTGCACACACGCCAAGGCAAACACGCACCACAGATATCCTTCCTCTCACATTCCCTCTCTCTTGCATCGGACTGACGCAGAGGAGGGAAGGGGGGGTCGGGGAGGGGGGAGGTCAGTGTGGTAATGGACCTAATCTGAAGAATGTATGGAATTAATAATGTGGAGATTAGTCAAGGCAACAACACAAAAGTGCAACCGCGCCCAAACATGTTGCTGGTGTGCCCATGAGCAAGACACCTACAGTGCCTTGCGAAAGTATTCGGCCCCCTTGAACCTTTCAACATTTTGCCACATTTCAGGCTTCAAACATAAAGATATAAAGTTTTAATTTTTTGTCATGAATTAACAACAAGTGGGACACAATTGTGAAGTGGAACAACATTTATTGGATAATTTAAACTTTTTTAACAAATAAAAAACTGAAAAGTGGGGCGTGCAATATTATTCGGCCCCTTTACTTTCAGTGCAGCAAACTCAGTCCAGAAGTTCAGTGAGGATCTTTGAATGATCCAATGTTGTCCTAAATGACTGATGATGATAAATAGAATGCACCAGTGTGTAATCAAGTCTCCGTATAAATGCACCTGCTCTTTGATAGTCTCAGGGTTCTGTTTAAAGCGCAGAGAGAACCATGAAGACAAAGGAACACACCAGGCAGGTCCGAGATACTGTTGTGGAGAAGTTTAAAGCCGGATTTGGATACAAAAAGATTTCCCAAGCTTTAAACATCTCAAGGAGCACTGTGCAAGCAATTATATTGAAATGGAAGGAGTATCAGACCACTGCAGATCTACCAAGACCCGGCCGTCCCTCCAAACTTTCATCTCAAACAGTTCATCCAGAGTGATCATGGGCCTCTTGGCTGCATCTCTGATCAGTCTTCTCCTTGTTTTAGGACAACATTGGATCATTCAAAGATCCTCACTGAACTTCTGGAGTGAGTTTGCGGCACTGAAAGTAAAGGGGCCGAATAATATTGCACGCCCCACTTTTCAATTTTTTATTTGTTAAAAAAGTTTAAATTATCCAACAAATTTGATTCTACTTCACAATTGTGTCCCACTTGTTGCTGATTCATGACAAAAAATTAAAATGTTATATCTTTATGTTTGAAGCCTGAAATGTGGCGAAATGTTGAAAGGTTCAAGGGGGCCAAATACTTTCGCAAGGCACTGTACGTATAATAGTGGGCCGCATGTTCTTTTGTCAACTCTGTTCCAGTTGAGAGTGGTTCTCAACTAGAACAGAGTCAGGACCCACCATCAACATACAAATGCTAAGCTTTGAACCAAATTTTCATAATAGGAAATACTGTATATTTTTTGACATATTATTTTTTTAATAATTACTGAATTGAATACAAAGCTAAAATTATGGACAAAATAACTCAGAATCTGCAATCAATGAAAAGAGAATATTCTCTTAATAATGATCTTTTTGCTTTTTATGATATTTCCAGTTCTGCAATACTTAATAATCACTTATCTTGTGTTTGTGCGCTCCTCATTCCGACTGCTCTGTAACTGAGACTTAACTTCAGATTTCTTCATGTCAGAATAAAATCATGTATACTGGACTAATATCTAAACATTTACTTTCTCATTAAGGGCATTCTTTTCAAAGAAAATGTAACTTCTTTGTTACTTAGGTCCTGGATCATTAGCCCGTCCGTCCGTGAAGGAGCGGATCCCTTTCTCAATGTGGGTCTCCCGAGGTTTCTTACTTTTTGTTTCCCACTGGGTTTTTGTGAGTTTTTTTCTTGCCGATGCAGTTAGTGACAGTGTCCAACTAGAAGGACTGTGGTGATGATCCAGGAAACATTCTACAACATGTTTGGACATTTTTCAACATTCATGGACATTGGTCTCTCTCTATGAACCAATTCATATGTGTAATATTTTGTGTCTTAACTATTGACTCTCTGATCTGTGTTGGTGATTTCAATGGTTTTGTTAAGTCCTCTGAGATGACTTCTGTTGTGATTTAGGGCTATACAAGTATAAGTTGTTGTTGTTGTAATAATAACAAATTGTGAAACCCGGAACCCACCAGTGTAGAAACTAATCTTTCTCTCATTGTATACACATTTTTATGTTTTTATATTCTATTTTGGTTTCTGTGCTGGCCCTCTGAGTGTCTGAGTTTGTGAGTATTAATGGACATAGTGTAGAGTGTAAGAATTTGTCATTTTAAGGTACAATCTAATTTATGTGTGCACAATTCATTTTACATGTACTGATTTGTGTGTGTGTGCGCGCGTGCGTGCGTGTGTGTGTGTGTGATAGAGAGAGGAATTTGCATCTGCTTCATCCAACCCCTTAACCAAAAACTTAACAAATATGAAAAAGTCTCAAAAACATATATTATGTATAGACAAAAAATTGTTTTCATCTTATCCTTGTCAGTTTGTCTGTCTAGATTCAATCTTGTTTCGGTAATGCTTCCACAAGAACACACCACAACAGCACACAATATATGTTAAAGAAAGAGCGAGGGAAGAGAGAAAGGGAGAATGATGATAGAGTGAAAGAGAGAGGGAGAGAGAGAGGGAGAAAGAGGATAGAGAAAGTGAGGAAGGGGGAGAGAGGAAAAAAGAGAATAGCAAGAAAGAGAGAGAGAGAGTAATGCTTCCACACAAACATACCACAAACCAACCACCATCTCATGACTAAAGCTACTACTAAAACAGCAGCTCGTGATACATATGTTCAAGAGAAAGTCCACACATAGTTAAAGAAACACAAGGGAAAAGAGCCTTTTGCAGCATATTAAATGCACCGACACATTCAGTACTGTAAATTTATCATTTTGGTTTTACTACTGTGATCCTGCTACTTCACAGGCCATGCAAACAGAAGCCGATGGAAGGCGTGGAGTTCTCCTTCAAACCACACAACACTGAAAGATGTTGAACGTGCCCATAAAAGAACCTACCCCTACTTTCGTCTGCATAACCAAATTACAGAACGGTTTTACAGGCTGCAGCTTTATTACAATGTTTATGTTGGACTCAGCTGGGTGGCCCGAATTTGCAATGACGTGAGACTGTTTGAAAAGGGAGTCATCAAAGTTATTTCTATAGAGCTCTAGATTACCTAAACATTTGTATTTAAGTTAAAATAGGGTGTGAATGTGTGTACAAGTGTGTGCAAGTGAATGAGAGTGTGTGTGCTTGTGTGTATGACTGGTGATGAACTAAACAAGCAGCCTATCTTCCATCAGTCTGTCCCAGGGCAGCTGTGAGTAGAGTTGTACACAGCGGCACGTGGGTACAGTGGCAGTTCCAGGTGTTCAGGTTTACCCTACCTCTAAAAGCAGGTAAAATAGGTTAAATCCTCTAGCTCTGGTCGTCCTGACAAAGCCGAGCCTCAACATAGAGATGGGTACCTGGACTTCACTATCCACTTCCTCCAGCTCATCCGGGGGTAGACTAGCACTGGGCTCGAGGTGTTCCCAGGTCAGGTGAGAGAATAAATTGTGATTTTGATTCGAGTGCTATTTATCATGCAGCCAATTTCATCATGTCTTTCATGTCCTGTTCTTGTCAATTATGTGTATCAAACATTGGGTTCTGCATGTAAAATATAATGAACTACCGATGAAAATTATGGCTTTTGCGGTTTATACCAGGCCAATACATTTCACTCCCAGCTCCATGTTGCGTCGTGCTGACAGCTTGTATTGGCACACGCAGGTCACTCATCGACCCACAGAGAAATGTCTCATAGTGAGCTTTACAGGAAGCTAAGCCTATTACAGAAGCAGGCCAAGACGGATTATGCCCAGTCACCTGACAGGCTCAACATTTCAGGAAAGTGCATAGAAGGCAACTCACTAAAACCTATTGACCACATTTAGAAAAGGTGAAGTGAAGTGGCTGTACCGATTTTAGCATTGTGCAGTAGAGCTATATTTATAAAAACATTAGCTTCCAGTGATGCCTGGGCTTAACCCGGGCCCTTTTAAAAAAAAACTATGAAATGGCTGTATGCAAAGCACCCCCCTTTGAGCATGGAAAATACTTTTGAAAGCTGGAAATATCCAACAATATTTTAATAATCTTCCCAAACTTCTGAATTATTTTCTAACAATTGTATTGTGTGGGGAAAAGAATATCAAATATAGACCCTTTATTTCAAATACATATTTGTGTTTTTAAAGTCATTTCACATATGAATTTGAAAGATATTTTATAAATATTATTTTTAAAACACCATATATTAACAATCTATACATTTTGAACAATTTTGAGGCACCGTATTAATCACCAGATGTCACATAAAATGTCAGTATTGTTGACTATTTAATTAGAACGTAAATTTGTGCTTTTTTGATTATATGTGCTCCAGGATGTCTCTTGCTCCCTTGTTTGCATAAATGTTTATAACGGAGCAGAGAATGCACAGCACCTTTCTGAATATGTTGCTCCAGAAATGTAGCCACAGTTTGTGTCCCTATCTGCAGAGTCCCGCTGCTATCGAGCCATGCCCATCGGAAACCGTTCTTCTTCCTGTTCTATTTATCCATTTCCTTAGCTCTTTTTAGGGCTGGGCGATAAATTGATTTTAATTATTAAGTCGAATCTTACGTTTTAGGGCGATTTCTTTTTCATGAAAATCGCATTGTTTTATTTATTGCATGTTTTTTTGTTTTTTTATCAGTGTTTTACTTGCTTTTAATTGGATGACTTGCTGCCCCGAGCCACACATGACTGGCAGCCAATGGCTGCGCTAAAAGACTAATCAGTGCACCTGAGACATAGCGGGCAGGAGACATAAGGGCGGACTGGGAGTGGAGAGTCGGGAGCGGAGAGAGATGGAGTGACTCGAGGAAGAGCAGACGCAGTCGGGAGAGTGGAGCACGGGGGGTGGATGGCACAGCATGGTATCGCACTGCACCGCACCTCACTCTACATGGGATCTGAACCTGGGCCGGGACCTGGACCACAGACATCGCCATCGCCCACGAGTCAACAGACAACACCACGAAGCTGAACTACCGCAGGAGGCAGAGGACGCTGTGCCTTCGCGTGTGAGTACCTTAACGCATGGAGCAGTGGTGTTCGTGAAGTAGCCTTTGGCGCAGGGACTTGTTGGGGTGTATGTGCTCTCGTCTGTGTGGATGTGCTTTGCCTTCAGGGTCCGCGGCACCAGAGGGGACGCGATCCACCGGGTTGAGCACCGCGTGGCGTTATCCAGACGGCGGCCGAGTGTAAAAGCTCGGCCTCGCTGGTAAGTGTGGGAAAGTAGCGGTGGTCATGTTTTTATTGCTGCCGTGTCCGTGTTATGTTGCCTGCCTTTCGCTGCCGCTGCTCTGCTCTTTCCTGCAGGAGCTGAAGCTGGAGAACCCGGGCCGCCAGCGACTCGCTGGGACCATTCCAATCCACCTTTTTTAATGGGACTTTTAACCTTTTATTTTTTGTAAATAAATTATTGTTTTGAACATAACATCTTTGTTTCCTTTTGCTGCAACTACGTGCTCCTCCCCCTTATCACACTCTCATTGCTCTGATACAAACAACCTGTTCCATGCTCTAGCTGTTAGCATGGATCTATTATAATAACTGGATAGGGTATTACTAGCTTGGAGCTGAAGAACCTATGTGCTCAGGGGATTCTCGCAATACTGCAGACTAATGGTGCTTTCAGACCGGGACAGTCGTTGCGTCTGCGTTCAATGCAAAGTCAATGGGGAGGCGTGTTTCAGCGTCGCATTGCACGGACCTCTCGGCACACACGCACGGACCGCCCAGTAGAAATGCACGGACTTGGCGGGAAAGTCAAAGGGGAGGAGAAGGAGCGGAAAATGAACGCCCACAGGAGATGGATTCCGCTCAACTTTTCCTTGAGACGTTCGTGCAGCGACCAGAGGGCACGCACACCACTGACGTAATCACGCCACTACACGGCGTATGTTTTCCCCATTGAGAGCCAGGAACCGGTCATTTAAACATGGAGGATCAAGCTGTGGATAGTCTCATTGTTGCTGTTACAAACTTTCCAGAGTTGTGGAAAGTCTGCATTCCGGAATATAGCGACAGAGCAAAGAAAGATTTGGCATGGAAGACCATTGCGCAGCAGCTCAACCTCCCTGGTAAGTTTTTTCAGTATCAGTGTAGTGAGGTGGGCGTGCTTGTGTTCGTGCGTCGTTTGGCAGTGTGCAAGCCTCTGCGTCTGAAAACTAGAGAATGCGCGTCTGGTGAGCTGGGCTGCTGCTGCGTTTCAGCGTTTTCGGTCTGAAAGCACCATAAACCAGACTAAATTCACGTGGGCTACCCAGAAATTTTCCCCATAGAACTCAATGTAAACTAAAACAGCTCGACCTCAGCTGACCATACAATAATACGTTGCTTCAGGTCTAGTTTCCGTGGGGGCACCGTTCTCTCTTTCAAACAGTAGATTCTTACATACATGCGGTTGGTTCTTGTTTCCTGTAGATCACTGCGTCACAAATACCTTTGTTTTGAAACTCTACAACGGTTTAAAGACGCCGCTTCCTGCAACAGCTCACACTGTGGGATCCGGCTCAGTTGAGGGTCTACTCAGCACGTTTGGTACTACACTACTACTCCTACTACTATTACTGCCCCTTTTTTTTTGCTGCTACTGCTTCCACTCATCAATAAAAAAAGTTTGCACATAGGAGATAACAAGGCATGCTCGAGGACATGGAGATGGCCGTGGCTGATCTCATAAAGTTGCATTTGTTTGATTGAAGGAAAAGCGACCAATCAGAGGACCTACTACACCTGACCGGGACATGGTGAGAAGGAAAATAATAAGTTGTGACATCCATGTCGCTTATCTAGATGTATACTACCTCTTTTATAACTGTGCGTGTGCAATATAAAAGTGTGTAGCAACCACAATTCAAAAATGGTCTAATTTTTGTATTTCAGGGACAGTTTGGTGGTGAATGTCCCGTTGCCAACGCCGCCAAAAACTTCTCAGCCGCTGCCACAGGCGCTGAGAGAAAGGACGTCTGATTCAACTGCAGCCGTTTTCTTTAACATCGGCATCAACCACAGCAGACCCTGCTGAGAGTCGATAACATACCTATGTTTTTATTCTAAACAAGACATGTCAACAATGCATAGAATTTCAAGATTCAGTATGCTTTCAGTTTCAAAGCATTCCCACATTCTCCTTGTTTACATTTTATTAGTTTGATTATTTTTTTGCAGATTTGGAGACAGTTTTCAATTCAAGAATTTTGAACCAAAAGCTGTGAGCGCCTCAGAGCGTACTGTAACCAGCCTGCAAGACAAACTGCCTCACAGGGGTTCGAATCCTGCAGTTAATTGATTATTCTGTACTCTTACTTATAGTTAATTGCACCCTGTCATCTTGCACTTCTCAGCCAACTCAGAGACACATTCCACAGCTTTTGGTCAAGGGCTGGAACCATGTGTTGAAGCCAAAAGAAAGGAAGAAAACGTGGAGGTTTTGTGGCTGATGCTACAGTACGACTTCAATACCTGTGATTTTAGACCAATTTAAAGTCAGGAGAAGCCCTCAGGTAACAAATATCAACAATACTCTTTTGTGTTACATCAACTATCATCAAGAAAGGAGAGAAATCTGCTATAGAACAAAGAACTGATATATACCTGTGCTGATTTTGCAACATTACAGGTGTATTATATTAATCTGTTGCATGTGTTAATTGTCATATCAAAAGCTCCAATACCCACTCATTGTTGTGCAGATCACAGCAAATATACAGTCGTTGTTAGATATGCCAGCCACAAGCACAAGTTTGTACTCGAGGGCTCCTTGTTTTTCTTATTTCCTTGTCAATCAGCCACATTTGTTTAATTTGTTCTATTCATAGCACAATAACTTTATAATGAGGTAAAACATGTTGTGAACATTGCTTTGCCTGTAGGTGTGCAGGAAAGTGAACGGCCTTCGTCTGACAAGTTTAAAAGTCCAAAGACAGAACAGCCAATGTCTGTGACTCTGAGCACATGTGTTCCCTCTGAAGAGAAGCACGGACTGACTCTCAGCACTTCAGCGCCGCCCCTGGACACCATGATGAGTACAGGCTTTACTGGGGTAACCACCCTCTGCTCTGGCGTCCTCCACAAACACTGCAGTTGATAACACGCTCGTGATTATTCCTCCAGTCTAGTGCAGTATGCCCAGAGGGTATTATTCTTTAGTTAATTTCAATGAGCATCTTCATTTTGCGTATATTATTATTTTTCCTGTTGCACAGGCATTTGAGGCTGATGAAACCACACAATTGAATACAATATTAAGATTTTGATAGGTTACTCGTTGTCAACTTTGCAGCTATACAAGCAGATCTTATACACAATGTACATCCTGATACAAACATCCAGCAGTGTAGGCTTTACAAAACTATGTCATTCCAATAACAAACAATCTGAAAAAATCCTTTTTTACATTTTTCACTATTTAAGTGCTTTTATTTATTTCCCTTTCCTGAACAAAAGCTCCCACCTCATGCGTACATTTCCCCGTTTGGGCGCTTCTTTGCCTGCTCCACCATCCTGGAATCCGGCTGTGCCTTCCCCCAGGGCTCGTCGGTTTGGGGGCTATGCTGGGGGCTGTTTACAAACCCGCCAGGGCTGTCCGTGACTGGGTCAGATCTCCGGAGTGGGGCCCCCCAAAGCTCCGCAGAAAGGCATCTGTACCCTGTGGCCCTTCTGTGGTCCTCGCTCACGCTTAGTGCTGGGGCTCATCTTCACGTCGTGGTAGCTAGCCGCCAAATACAGTTGACCATGAAAGGCTTTCTCACATTGTTCTTTCTGTCCTTTGTATGTTTATGATATCTATACGAGTCTGGGCATAAAGAAATTTTAAATGAACTATCCATCCATCCATCCATTCCTCTCGATCCATCCATTTTCTTCTCTACGATTTGTTGTCAGGCTCATCCAGGGGGAATCCTGAGAGCGTTTCCGACCAGCTGAGAGACAGTTCTCCATCCTGGGTCCCCTCCATTGGACATACTGTACCTGGAGAACCCCTCCCAGAAGACTTCCAGGCAAGCATCTGAAGCAGATTGCCGAGCACCTCAGCTTGCTCTTCTGCCATTAGAGAACAGTGCCCTACTCCAAGCTCTTTTCCCATGAGACGGAGCTCTTTCTCCTATCTCTAAGGAGCTCCAACCTCTTGGAAGAAACTCATTCTAACCACTTGTATACTCAAAGCTTATCACCATTGTGAGGGAGGGTTGCTCAGCTCCCTCGTCACCCAACGGTCTGATACAGCGAACACATCACTGCACACGCTGCACCGGACCCTCCTTGTCAATCTCACTCTCATCTTCGCTGACTCGTGAACAAGACCGCCAAAATATTTGAACTCCTCCAACTTGAGGAAGGACCTATCCACCACCTGGTATTCACTGGTGCTTATAAATGGAATATACTGTGACACATTTCCACCAGTCCACACGCTGTCGATTATTCCTACATTCTTTTTCGCTAGCACTGTGTCAAAAGGCCTAAATGAATCATAAGGAAGACTCTTGTGCAATATGTGACAAACTTAGATTTCAAATGGCAAAACCGTTGCATTGATGATGGTAACTTTAGACCGCAAGTTTCTTTACAAATATTGGTACTTTCTTTTTGCTTCTAAAGTCGTTCTATATACAGCTATGCACCTGCTCTGGACCAGCTTCATGAGCACATCTCATCATCCAAAATTCCTTCATCTCCACCAGTACAATTAAGAGCTACATCAGATCTTGGTTGGAATCAGATTTACTTACCTTTTCCCTTTGGGGTGTGTTGTTTTGGTTACAGGAGGGCTTCGCTGAAAACGTCAGAAGAACATTGGTGTAGAAAAGTTGCCCTTCACGCGTTCCCAGCTTTGCTTTTCCCAAACACTACAACAAAACCCCCAGAAGGCACCTATGACACACGCCCAAGACGGAAAACATGCATTCTCCGGACTCTCAAGCTGGGGACAGAAGCTGGGCACACCAACGTTCAAACCACAAAAAAACATATTAATACTTTATCTGCCAAAACAATTTAGTTCTACCAATGAGTTTTCACACACTTTTGGTCTCATCTGCTCTATTAGTGACTCACGAGCTATTTCTGTTGCAAAAATCACTAATAAGTTGAAGACAGCACACGTTGAGTTCAGATTTTTCACAACGTTTATACTTTTTACAGTACTCTTTCTATTGGGGTGACGTGGATTTTTTATGACAGGAACAGTTGTTACCTCAGCTTGAATGTGTGCCTAACAGGTTGGATTATATTTTTGACTTTGCTGAAAAACCTTTCCAAATGTGAAACCCAAGAAGGTTCTGTAGTATATTTTTTAATTTGTAATCTGTCAAATATCTGTTTATTGCCATTGATGATGCATGATTTGGCTTTATTGCTCTGTGTACACACTAGAATCCCGTTGTAATGCCGTTATACAACAAAACCAAACATTAGGTTTCTAACCGAACAATGCAGTATGCACTTCAAGGCCTGATGCAAAATATACCAAATGGGTAATAAATTTTTTTTTTTTACACTAAAGGATTCAGAGTTGGTGTTACTTAGAGAGATTGTATGGTAGTGACTTCTAAGCTGTTGTCCCGTTGTCTAAATATCTTTTAAAGGAATAGTTTAAAGGATACTCTGTCTGGACTAAGAACCATACCGACGTATCTGTCTGGTACTTAGTCCTTGCCGCTGTCATCGCAAACGAGCAAAAACGGGAGCACAAATGCAGCCTCCTCTAGATTTTTGAGCACCAAAGTAGTCTCCCGCTAGAAGCTACTCAAACTCTTCCAAGTGTCTCCCTATTAAAATGTATAATATTACGTGACGTGTTACAACTGCAAAGTATGAACACAAGTCAATGGTAACAGTTTCGATTTCTCAGCGATAAAAACGGTACTATATTGTAGGCGTATAATCTGAGGTGCGCTAACGTCCCCGCGCACTAACTTCTCTCCGAGACTTCTCTTCTTCGCTCACTTCCGTCAATAGAAGCCGGACTTGTAGTACGGAGGAAGTTAGTGCGCGGACCTAGCCTCCTCAATTACTACGCCTCACAATATAGTACCCGTATTTATCCGCTGAAAAATCGACTGGACATTTCGTGTTACTATACTTTGCAGTGAACACTCACGTACTATATACATTTGAAATAGGGAAAACACTTGGAAGAGTTTGGTAGCTTCTAGCGACTACCTTTTGGGCTACAAAATATACAGAGCGGCTGCGTATGTCTCCCCTTTTTGCTCCGTTTGCATGACAGACACACGGACTAAGACTAAAGACAGGTAAGTAAAAAACTAGACTAAGGTACAGTAAAACATATGTCAGTATGTAAAAACGGGGAACTATTCCTTTAACTTCAACAGTTTAGAGCGATGTTAAAACGTCAATTATTTAATATTTTGCTCCTTGAAGTAAGTTTTTGATTATTTTAATTTAATTTGGGTTACTGTACAGTATATAATTGTATGCCCTTAGGGCAGCCAATGTATAAACATGTGTTTATTGTTTCGAACAAAGTTCAGAAACCATGATAAAAACCATCATTCATTCCAAAAATACACTTAATAAAAAAAAATTTTTTACATTTGTTTCCTTTTTCTCTCAAATACATGTTATGACCAGTTGTGGATATGTATTCGTTTTTGGTAAATGTTTCATTTGGCAGAAGCACAATGCTTAAATCCCCATGGCAAATGGTTCCAGGTATTCCTGGAACCGTGCTGATGACCTCCTCTATTCTGTGGCTTTTACATTATCATCTGTGGCGGGAGAGTGAAAAAATAATAAGCCTCTTTGTGCATGTAATCTCACTGCTGTTAGATGCACAGAAAAAAAATATAACACACATGGTTCAAAGCGAAAAGTAAATTTCAGACTAGAATCCTTCTCACCCAGGGTCCTCTCTCCTGCACCAGTTCCCCTGAAACAACCCAATTACTTATATGGGCACTGGGACCCCCAACCCAAACCCCAGACCCCTCATTTAAACAAAACCTACCTCCTTCAACTCGTTTGCACACCATCCTCCTTCCCATCACTGCCTCAACAGTGGGACTGATTCCTTCAGATCAACTCATCTCATCCACCAAAGGGTCAATTTTGATGTCGATCTGTTTGAATTCCCTGTTCAGCAGTCCTAAAGTCCTAAACCATATAAAACACGCTACCAAACACCTGTCAATAAATTAAAATCAAATGTGTCCATTCCGTGTGGGTTTTTGGGAACAAACATATAATACAATGTATTTAGTCTATACACCACCACCAACCGATGTTTGGCTGACACCCAGATTTGTAAGAAACCTCACATCAGTGAAAAAACGACACAAGATGCATAATCCTAATGACAAGAAGGAATTGTTTATCTTAAACTCGATAGTCCTTCTTTAAGCACTGAACAAAGAAGAGGAGAGAGAGAAAAGGTCTCCCGTTTCGAACAAAGTCCACACCGGACTGCCACCTATGACTGGAAATGGAAAAGCTGCGGCTTATTCCACAGTGAGCAATATTGCATGCAACTGCGTGAACGAGACATGACAACACTTTCACTAAATTGTCCAGTTCTCCAATAGCCGCCCTTTAATAAGGCTATTGAAGGCCACGTGTGAGTGAGCACAGCGTTTTTGACGTCTCTCTCTGTTTACCCTTTTAAGCCTTGTAAAGCTTTAAACACTTTTTACGGTGCAATAGTGTCTTGTGTACACTCTAGTGTTGTTATTATCGTAAATGCAATGTTCCAGAAGCATTACGTCTTTTAACACAAAGACAAATCGAAACGCCTAGCTCGGAGCTACCACGAGCGCACCATCAGACATGGAAATGACACTACAAGTTCTGCAATGACCCAACGAAACGACATTAGTCGCCTTCACATTGGAGCTCGGAGAGGGAACCGTGCCACTATTTGCAGACCTCCGTAAAGTATCCTTCGCCTCTACTGCAGACTGCAGGATATAACAGTCACTCTTTCCAAAACTCTTTTGATGTCGCCACTGGTGGGCAGCACTCACGGCTTATGACACTGACCTGCATAATGTGACACTGTCGTTGTGGGAGAGATCTTACAGCTCTGGGCCCTCTTGTTCCTACACCTAAGTCGCCCCGTTCGGAATAAAAGCCGCGGACTGCGAGGAGCCATCCACGCCGTGCCCATGTGCCTAGCCTATCAAACCGCTATGCAGCCCGCTCCGCTGACATACCAGCCCCCTCAGCAGAACCCCTGACTCTCAGCACACTCGACTGCGTCCCGTGGATCCAGGTCCACTGCGAGAAAAACACTCTTAAAGGAAGCTGTTCCTCATCACGAAAGAGTGGTCATTCCCACTGCTGACCCCATGCATCACACAACATACCTTCAACCGGGCAGCACAGCGACCCGTGCCTGCTCCTCTCGCTGCTCTCAGCGTCTCCGGCACACAGCGTGGGTTCCCTGAGCTGGGAAACCAACACCCCCACTCCCCTCCAAGTGTTACAGCAGCGCCCTGTTGGACCCATCCCTGATTGAGCCGTTGGATCTGCCATGACACACCGAGCGCCTTCTCCGCGGCCCAGCGTCCACTTTTTCGCCTCAAATACTCTGGATCGTTTGGAGATTCCCATCGTGAAGTCAACGTCCGCTGTTTTTTAAACGTCACTCACTGCATTACCGAGCTACTGTCCCAGATCTGCTCATTACCCGTCTCCCTCCTCTGCTCACTCCCCTGCCCTTACCATATCAAGTAATCGGCATGTGGGTATAAATGATATAAGCTGCAGTCATCAGAGGTCACAAAGAAGTCACTTTATGAATCTGTTCCGCTCCTCCAACCCTCCGGGTTTGTGTTTTATAATCTCTGGTCCAGTCCCGACTGTAAACACCTGGTTCTGCTTGTTCAGTCGCGTTGTGGCCTCACTGTGGCACCCATCTACATCAGACACTGTAACTTTATTTTTGTGAACCAACTTTGGCCTGTTCTGGAAGCGTCACGTGGCCTATCGTCCAGATGGTCTGCACACCGAACAGATAGGCACCAGTTTGTTGACACGGACTCCTGCGCCATGTTGTACATGCTCCCCAGGGGGGCGTGACTGTTTTACATCAGAAGGCTTCTCTCGGCCCCCACCACCCCCCTTCCTCCTCCTCCTTACCAGCAACCGGTGAGTACTGTGGTGCAAAACACGGACCCCTTCCGCTGGCATTGTAACGACAGTCCTAGCCACTGAACTTCTGACTCTGTGATTCATCTGAACTTAACAAAGTACAACAAGTTCACTTTTTTAAACCAATAGAGACTGTGTTGGTGTCTCGCACCAGCTCAGAAATGTGTTTTAACTTAATAAACACAAATTTAAAAGAGGACAGCAGTAGACGGTCCAACTCTTGGAAATCTAATTCCAGTTCCTGTTGTAAGTCAATCAACAAACCCACTGACACTGATATTAATTTTAACCTGCCTCTACTTAATGTCCAGATCACTATGCACAAATCCTTTTTAAATTAATAATTTTATCTGTTCATGATCTTGATTTATGTTTAGACTGAAACATGGCTTGACATATTACAGAATGCAGTTTAATAGAAGCCCACACCACCAAATTTCAAATTTGAACATGAAACACAAAAATAAAAGGGGGGGGGGCTTAGCAAGCATTTTTAAAGATCGTATTGGTCCCTCCCAAGGGTTCTCTTGGAAATGTTTTCCATCATTTTGAGTATGGTCTTTAAAAATAAAGAACAAAAGAAATCTGCTCCATTCTTATTATGTTGTTACAAGCCCCACAGTCATGCCATATTTCACTGATCATTTCACTGATTCTTCATTTGTGCACAGATTTTTTTGTTGGTTTATCATTATAGGCGATTTTTAATATTCATATGGAGAATGTAATGACAGATCCGCAAAAGAGCCTGAGTTCCATACTTGAATCCTTTGGCCCACTCAGCATGGTGAGTGCCCCACCCATACAGAGGAACACCTTGGTCTGCTTATCACGAAAGGGGTTGAATATTTCAAAAGTTAATGTTTTTGATGTTCTCTGTCGATCATTTCTGTTATTTGTAACATGTTTTTTGTGCTACCAACCTCCCCCGCTAAATATGAAAAGTGTTAGAAGTAGACACTAAATGAAAACACTGTGAACTATTATGGATGATCCATGAAACACATCATTCACTGTAGATGAACTGCTTAACTCTGTCACTCTAGTGTGTTGAATGTTCTGGACCCCATTGCCCCTTAAGTAAAAATGGTCCACAAATAAGCAAAAAGCCCAGGCTAAAAAGCAAACCCCGGCAGGCACATAAGCAAGAGTGCCGGAGAGCAGAGAGAAAAGTGAGAAAAGTCCACACCCTCCAGGGTGAATTATAAACTCGTAAAAGAGAAGTTGTGTGAGTTTAAACAGAGTACTACGTAGAACAAGAGAATAACTTTTCTGAAACTATTGAAGGCTGCAGCCCCAATCTGCGTGTTCTATTTTTCAACAATCAATAGATTAACGAACCCCCCTGTTGAGTTGCCATTAGAAACACTACTCCAAATCCAGGTGTAATGAGTTGCACAGTTCTTCAAGACAAGGTTATTATTTTATCAGGGTTTCGAAATGCCATCACCTCTACAACACAAGTAACAATGCAACATCCCGTGATGCTTTGTGACTAGCTTCAAATTGCACCTTCATGATGAAACTGTTAAAAAGATAATCACAGGTCCTTAGATCCTCTACCTGCAGTCCTGATGTACACCCATCCTAGATTTCTTTTTCATTTCATCATTGACAGTGCAAATTGAGCTAGATCTCACAAAGCCTAACTGGATGTTCATTGTTACTTTGTTGTAGAGTATGGCAATATCTGATACCCTGAACTTGTCTCTGACGAACTGTGCAAACTCATTACACCTGGATTTGAGTAGTGTTCTAATGGTCAACTCAACAGGGGAGTTTCCGTTAATCTAATGATTGTTGAAAATAAAAGAAAACACGCAGATTGTGCTAGCAGCCTCAATATTTCAAAAAAGTATAATTCTCTTGTTCTACGTATACTCCTGTAAACTCACACAACTTCTCTTTAAGAGTCCTATAATCACCCTGGAGGTTGGACATTCTCCACCTTTCTCTCTTGCTCTCCCGCACTCTTGCTTCATGGCCCTGACCGGCCTGCTTTGATCCATGGGGCTTTTTTGCTTATTGTGACCATTCTTTTAACCTTCACAGGGCAATGGCGTCCAAACATTCAACACACTAGAGTGACAGAGTTACAGTTCATCTACAGTAAACATGATGTGTTTCTCAAAATGATCATTCCCATAAATAGTTCACCCGTGTTTTCCATTTAATGTCTACATCAAACAATTTCATATTTAGCGGGTGGTCTGGTAGCTAAACACAATGTAAAAAATACACAGAAATGAAGCCGACCGAGCAACATCAACTACATTAACTTTATGAAATATTCACCCTTTCGTATAAGCAGGACAAGGTTGTCCTCTTGCTAAGGTGGGGCCACACATGCTGAGTGAGGCCAAAGATTCAAGAATGGAACTCTGCTCTTTTGCTATCTGTCATTAACCATATCCACATAATATTAAATCGCCTATAATACTAACCATCAAAATCTGTGCACACAACAGAAAGCTACTCAGTGAATGATCATGAAACAATGGCATGACTGTGGCGGCTTGTACACAACAATAATAAGAATGGAAGAAAGATTTCTTTTGTGCGATTTTAAAAGAACATACTCAAATGATGAAAATTTCCCAAGAGACCACCCTATGGGAGACAATACGATCGTTAAAACTGCTGCTATGCCCCCCCCACCTTTTATTTTTCTCTTGTTTCAGGTTCAGATTTTAAATTTGTGGTGAGGCTTCTATTAAAACGCATCTCCTGTATTAGGTCAAGCCATGTTTCAGTCTAAACTAAAATCAAGATATACAACAATAAAATTATTAATTAAAAAGATTTTGTTGCCTAGTATCTGACATTAAGTAAGCAAGGTTAAAATTAATATCATGTCAGTGGTTTAGGTTGATTGATTCACAAAGAACTGGAATAGATTTCCAGAGTTGACCGTCCTAACGCTGTCCTTCTTTTAAATTTGTGTTATTCAATTTAAAACACATTTCTGAGCTGGGTGCGAGGAACACACACAGTCCCTTATTGGTTTAAAAAGTGAACTCTTGTTGTACATTGTTAAGTTTCCAGAAGCCAAAGATTTGTCCTCTGAATCCTCCTTATCGTAGGAAAATTGACAATCTGGATCAGCAATAACATTGTCCTCTGTCTCTGAAGAATCCTCTGTTTCTGAAATCTCTTCCTCTACATCATTATCCCAGTTAAAAATCTGTGATAAAGCCTCCTCAGATGTCGTCATCCTTCTGGAGCTCATTTTTGGTGAGTTTGTCTAAAGCCTAGCACACATCGACAGAGTAACTGGAGACAACTAGTTGAAGGCGGCTTTTGGCGACTGAGAGTAGATGATGGAGATGATCAGTTGAAATCGGTCGATGTGAGCGCTCTTACAACTGGAGATAAACTGTCGATCTCCATATTCAGTTAGTTGCCCGTGTTCTAATTTTTGGCAACTAGTCGTACTCAGATCCGGAGATATCACCCGATGTGCGCGCTCCAACAACATGTGTGTATTGCGTGTATTGCACGACCTCTACAGTTTATGTCAGAAAACACACTGTAGTTGAGGCCAGTTGCTGTCGATGTACGCGCTGTTATTCCCGAGACTGGTCTGCTACAGGAGTTGCCTGTTTTCGCCAGATTGTCGATGTGTGCAGGGCAGCAACTCATATGCGACGGATATAATGAGTTGCCAGTACGATGTACGTTAGGCAAAAGAGATGACATAAGAACAGTGACAAGGACAAGTGTGAGAAAGTTCTCTCTCTTCACACACCTGGCTCTGGGTCTCAGAGGCAATCAAAATACAATGTCAAAGAGACATGTTTTTTTGGATCTGAACAACTATTTACTCACATTAAAGCGTCTGGGTCAAAATGACCCGCAACATCATATTTGTATACAAACTCTGCACAGGCATTCCACTACACACCAAAGTGTCCAGATTTTACACACCAGTTCATGACCCTAGATGAGGAAAAGTCACCAAATTTCAGCAAGAAAAAGAAAGGATAACCAGTACTTTGATCAACTCAAAAACTGAAATGGGTCAAATTGACCCTTAACATAATACAAGGGTTAATATACCATGCTCTTTTTGAATACTTCTATAATAACAGTAGTTCAGCCGAGATGTTTTGAATTTCAGAATTAGTTTTACAGCCCTTAATCTTGTTATTGTTTTCATTCCAATGTCCCACCCTCCAACGTTTTTCCTATCAGAAAGTCAGTGATCCGGGTTGCCGGAAACTATCAGCGTCAAGCTAATCTCACTGGTAAAGTAACATGTGGCCGCAGAACCAAAATAGGTCTTGTTAAGATTCTCAAATTATTAATGAAAAAAACAAGGAATAAAATGAGGATTTCTCTCCAGGATGCCTTTGTTGAAAAAGGTGTTGGTTATAGATTTGTTGTTGAAAAAACTCATAATATTCAACTTTTATGGTCCCAGCTGGATTTGTCTGCAAATCTAGCAACCTGAGTCAGGGAGAGTGGGAGAGGTCGCAGTACCACTTTTGGCCAGATTTTTTCCATACTGTTTTTTAAAGATACTGTTATGTTTTGTGTGTTTCATGCAGCTGCTTTCCCGGGACAGCTCCCAGGACCTGTTGCGGTCCCTGGCTCCAATGGTCCAAGCCGGGGGTCCCTCCTCGCTCTCCCAGCTCATGTCCAGCGTGTCGGCCCTGTTCTGTGGGTACCCAGAAGGAGGGGGCTCCAGGGTCCTCTCCTTCAACTGGTACGAAGACAACAACTACAAGGTCTTCCTGGGCGTCAACGGGACCAAGAGCCAGAGCTATGTCTATGATGAGACTGCAAGTGAGTCCAGACAGCGGAACATCCTGACATTATTACCTTTAAGAGAAGTATTTTTGATACAAAGTAGGATTTTGTCACACAGTTGTTGCATCACCGAAATACTGGATTTGTATTATAGATGAATGATTATTTCTGCTATTACCAGGATATTAAATAGTTTTTTACTGAGTTCATTATACATTTTTTACATGGTATGTTTTTTCTTGGTTTAGATTCTTCACGTGAAATATAGTAGTATAGTATTTTTATATATTTTAAATGTTTCTCTGTATTTTTCTGTGAAGTTAACAAAATCCCATTCATTTTTTTACCGCCCAAAGTCACAATAAAAGTTGTCTCGAAGAACTATACAGAAGATCAAACAGACTAAACAGAATAAAGCAAGTTGAAAATGTTCCTTTTTCAATTCACTGAAGATTAAGTTAATTGAAGGAAGAGAAATTAAAGCTTAAAGCTGTAATTCAACTTTTGTGGTTGTTGTAACAGGGTTGAGGAGAAAGAGTCTTGTTAACAGAAATATTAACAATGTGAACAAATCAGACCACACCATGCTGTCCTCACCTCATTAGAAATCTTGTAATCCTTTGCATACTTGAGTCTTGAGAGTCATTACTTGAGGCTGAGAGCTGATTGGCTGCGTGAAGGTGGTCCCCTCTTTTACACTTTTCTTTCCGAACAATCTGATCTAAAGATGTGACAAACAAGACATGCATAGTGATATAAGCAAACTGTTTAGAAAGTGAGGGATTTGTTGGATTGTATATGTCATAACCTGGCTCTAGGCCATGAAAAATGTGGACGCAGACCACCAAAATTGGATACTTAGGCCCTGTCCACACGAAGTCAAGCTCAGGCCTAAACGCAAAAATACTTTATCAATCCAGTGTATGGTCCATACGAGGCCGGCGTTTTGGGGGGGTGTAAACGAACATTTTTGAAACTAGGTCCCAGAGTGGAAAGATTTCAAAACTCCGTATATGCCGCTCCGTGGTTACTGCCTCTCCGCAATGTATCTGAGACGCTTGTCATCGCCCCGCCTCTTGTTAAAGGAATAGTTCACCGTTTTTACATACTGACATATGTTCTTACCTTAGACTAGTTAATACGTACCTGTCTGGTCTTAGTCCGTGCGCTCTGTCATGCAAACGGAGCAAAAACGGGAGCGCAAATGCAGCCTCCTCTGTATATTTTGTAGCACCAAAAGGTAGCTCCCGCTAGAAGCTACCAAACTCTTCCAAGTGTTCCCTATTAAATGTATATAGTTACGTGACGTGTTACACTGCAAAGTATAGTAACACAGAATTGTAACAGTCGATTTTCTCAGCGGATAAAACGGGTACTATATTGTGAGGCGTAGTAATCTGAGGTGCGCTACGTCCGCGCACTAACTTCTCTCCGTACTACAAGTCACGCTGCTTCTATTGACGGAAGTGAGCGAGAGAGAAGTCTCCGGAGAGAAGTTAGTGCGCGGACGTAGCGCACCTCAGATTACTACGCCTCACAATATAGTACCCGTTTTATCCGCTGAGAAAATCGACTGTTACAATTCTGTGTTACTATACTTTATACATTTAATAGGGAACACTTGGAAGAGTTTGGTAGCTTCTAGCGGGAGCTACCTTTTGGTGCTACAAAATATACAGAGGAGGCTGCATTTGTGCTCCCGTTTTTGCTCCGTTTGCATGACAGAGCGCACGGACTAAGACCAGACAGGTACGTATTAACTAGTCTAAGGTAAGGTAAGAACATATGTCAGTATGTAAAAACGGTGAACTATTCCTTTAAAGCACGCATGCGCCGCACTCAGAAAATAATGACAACAACAATGTAGCTTGTTGGTTTTGTAATCCAGTGTGACCCGAAGCAACAGTTCAACCTCATCGTCCGTCCATACTAATGTAGTACCAGCTCGCCCACTCGCCATGTTGTCTGTTTACAAAATTCTGCGCATGCCCAGTTCCCGTCACGGAAGTTTGGGCTTGATCCCGTCATTGCGTCACAGCGCCACCAACAGGTCTGGCATAGTTTCACAGCGTTTTTCAGGCGTATTGACTACATTCATATGGACGCACACATTTACTGAGCTAACTCCGTGTTTACAGAAAAAGTTTCTGAAATTATAAGCGTTTTGTCTTTGTGTGGATATAGCCTTAAAGCGGCACGAACTGCCTTTGGGATTTTGAAGCCGCGGACTCGCTGGCCTCGCTCTTTCTCCTCCCCTCCTCGCACCCACGAAGCTATCGCCCCCCTCCGTCAACGTCATTTTTGTTGACGGAGCTAGCGTCTCCCACTATGGATAATACATGGATATGGATTTTCACGTGGATGGCGTGACCATAGAACGATAGAACCGGGAAGCGCGGAGGAACGAGACTTTCTTTTGTATGGCTGTCTCGCTGTGTAAGCAGTAACCGGTGACGAAGATGAGGATGCTTCAGGTTAGCTCTGCCACTTGTTGCGCTAACTCAGCCGTCTATGCTAACGGACCTGTAGATTTCTCACGAAAGTGGGGGCCAGTGGTCCGCTGTGATTGGTCACAATCTGCGACCCGAAACACATTCTCTCTCCTTGTTTTATCAAAACTCAATCTAAAATATAATGTCACGCTAGCACAAACCTATTTTTTCTTCCTAAGTATATATACGTATATCCCAATGCACTACATGGACATGGATAGCATTTTCGTAATGAATACGAAAATAAAGTCAGTTAGTGCAGCTTTAAAAGGTGTTTATTAAACAAGGATTAACCCAAGTATACCAAAGTAACAATAATAATGAGGTGTGACTGTCTGTAGTATCAGTGGTGTATGCGAGTGAATGGTTGTGTGGTCGTATGGTGCGATGTGAAGTGTGATGCAGAACAAAACCATAACGGGAACAGAAAATAAAGTGGCGTGGCACAGGACGCAGGCTGAGAGAGAGTGAGGCTGTCAGCAGGCAGGTCCATAAATAGGCGCTCCACCTGTACAGAGATCCACAAGGCAATACCAAGCACGACCACAGAGAGGAGGAAGGGGTCGTGACATATGACATTGTCGGATTTTGTATTTGAATTGAAAGTTATAGAAAATCCTAGTCCTACTACTACTATTACTATTACTACTAAAACTACCTTCTCAACCTTCTTCTACTGCTAACTACCACTTTTACCACTACTACCACAACTACTACTACTACTTCTTCCATTTTTACTGCACTACTACTTCTAATACTACAACACAATATCTAATATTTTTACTTTTTCTGTTACTATTACTACTCTTCCTCTACCACTACAACTACAATTTCTTCTTTTACTCTTTCTAGTACTGCTACTTCTCCTCTTCCTAATACTACTACTACCACTTCTACTAAGACAACTACTTCTTTTACTTTTACTGTCACTGTTACTACTGCTACTCCACCTAATACTACTACTATTACTCGACTCCACTCCTACTTTTGCTGTTACTTGTACTAACTTTCTTTCTCCGGTCCTCAGCCCCGTTCTGTAATTCCCTGATGGAGAGTCTGGAGTCAAACCCAATCACAAAGATAGTGTGGAGCTCCGTGAAGCCGCTGCTGATGGGGAAGATCTTGTACACGCCGGACTCCCCTGCAGTGCACCGGATACTCAAGAGCGTAAGAAACCTTGTACTCGCAGAGTCTCGCATGGCTGCAAACTCTAGTAAGAGAAAGCTGATGGAATGCATAATGTGTGATGGAAACTCCAGAGCGAGTGTAGGAGTGAAAAGACCTTTATTTTCCACTTTTAGTGTCATGTTCAATACGAAACGTGCCGCCACAAATCCTAATGTATCCAAATGTTTATTGAAATCATTATTAGAGAGAAATGCACTAATAATAAATACTGAAAATTTGACTTTCGACTATTACCATGGATCATTTTTCAGTTTTTTTTTTTTTTGTCCACTTGAATTTAAGCCGCAGGTTTTCATGTAAGAATGTTCTAACCGGTTATTAAATGATCAAAACACTCCTAAAACATCCTATCCCTCCTAAAACTTGATGGAGTTCAATGATGGACTTGGAGATAATAAGTAAGAAATCTCTGCTCGGACAATATAGCCCTAATAACATAAACCCCTCTCACACAATGTTGAAATCCAGGTGAAGAAGTTCTGTTTAGCTGTGTACACAAAACTGACTATATGTTTTGTTAAGCTATGTGAGTTGCCTTGTGTATGTGAACTGTGCTATACAAATAAACTTGCCTCGCTGTTCCTCCCACAGGCAAACACCACGTTCGAGGAGCTGGAGCGGCTCATGGTGATGTTCAAGTCCTGGGAGGAGCTGGGGCCTCAGATCTGGACCTTCCTCCACAGCAGTGTGCAGATGAACATGATCCGGGTACAGACTGGTCCAGACCGGTCTTCTCACTCCTCATGAGCTTCATTTCACATATTTTTACAGTGATGGCTTTAAACACTTACGCCTGATAGTAGCGTTATGTCACCTACAGGCCGTATAGATGCGGTTCAGCTGGAGTGTGTTTTTTGGAGTTTATCAGTGAAATGAGAGAAAAGCAGATCATTGCACTGTCGATTTCCCCCTTACACCTCTGACACCAACAAAGCATTTCTCTCCCAGAACAACTTCTACTACAGTTTCGTATTGTCTTTCTTACAGTAAAGGTTTCGGCCGTTCGATGCTTGTTATTTTAATAAACAATTAACCAATAAGAAATATGTCCATCCATCCATCCATTTTCTACCCTTTAATCCATTTCTGGGTCAGGGGTAAGAAATATGTATATACACATATATATACTGTATATACATGCAAAAAATGTACATCAGTGTAGTGAGTTACACAGCACACACACACAAGAGACAATTATCAGTCATCCTTATTTGTGTACTGTGTTCACCAGGACACTCTCCGCAACCCCACGGTCACACACTTCATGGACAACAGTCTGGAGGGGACCGGGTTTCGGACCGCAGACATCCTGAACTTCCTGCACAGTGGATCGGAGGAGGAGAGGGATCCCGGAATGATGAACATGGACTGGAGAAACATCTTCAACCTCACGGATCAAGTCTTTCACACGATCAACCAGTACGGACAGGTGAGACGCACAGGGAACCTTACATTTGTGTAGCACTTTGTTTCCAATCGTTGCACAGTCAGCATAAAGCAATAAAAACAGTAAATAAAAGAGTCATAATAATATAAAATATCATATCATGGAGCGGGAAAATGATGACTGCCACTGATGACTGCTGTCGTTGTGTCCTTGGGCAAGACACTTAACCCCACTTTGCCCAAAGCCACCACTAAAAGATCAAGGCTATGCTCACACTCAGAGAGCAGCCGTCCTCCTGTGGACTCACCACCTGCAGAGGGTCAGTGAGGGGCTGGTGCTATGAGACTTGGGTGGCATCTCTGATTGCCACCCCCCTGACCCAGAAATGGATTAAAGGGTAGAAGATGGATGATGGATGGAGCGGGAAAATGACTAAATATAAAAAGTTCAGTAGTGCAGTATACAGATTACAGTAAATTGCTGCTAAAAACATAATGTAATACATATTATTATGATATATTTATCTCTGGTAGTCCTAAACAAAAACAGTAAGACAGCAACGACATTTACATGGGTATGTGTATGCCTGTCGCTAATAACAAATTATGCTGGACGATAAATTGTCTCAGATATTATTGCAATAAGTGAAAATATTGTTGTTCTGTTTTCCAACAAATGCGACACACCGACTCACACACCAACTCAGTGGTTCACCGCGAGTTTGGGTTAGGGTTAAATCCGAAATGCTCCCACACTGCAGCTGTCGCGTTTGGCTTGGAAACCCATTCCATCATTTTGTCTCGAACTCGCAACTAGCTTTCTCTCTGCCTAGTGCCTACCGGTATACTTCTCACGCAGCTCTTCAGCTGCACTCTGGTAGGCTACACCAGTAGTCCCGTCTCCCCACACACCATGCAACTGACAAGTGACTGACATGAGGGTTCACTCATTGTTACGCTAAGGACCCAAGAGAGAGACGAGGAAAACAAACAAGCATGCAAATGGCATTTTTTGCTGCCAGAAAAATTATTGAGCTAATTTCAATCATCATGCAATTAATTGATTTATTGATTATCGCGACAGGCCTATGTGTACAGTATGTGTTGGTCTTTGTATGTGTGTGTATGTGTTTTTGTGTGTGTGTGTGGGTGCGAGTACTTGATCAGAGGGAAATAATCATAATATTAGTCCTAATATTAGTGATGATTAATAGTAAATAAAAAAAGGAAATGAAACAAAATATATAGTAAGAACACAGAGCTCTTGTTCATTCTTATTCTGGCATACATTTCTTATAAAATACAGGTCCTTAAGATAGGCTGTTGTATGAGGAGTTTCCATGAAAAACCCATTAATTTAGAATAAAGACGTAAAAGCCGTGGCATTGACCCAGTGTGAAGCAGGGTTCATATTGACTAGGGATGACAGCTGTGGATAATCGAGTAAATCGCCAGGGTTTGTTTCGGAGATTCTTTGGCACAAAAACGAGATTGAGTTGTGTTCACGGGTGAGTTAATTTGCATTTTGATTAGCTACAGTATGTAATTTAAAATCCTTTATGAAATTGAGGGTTAGTGAGTGGGAAATATGTTTGAAAGTGTCACTATTGGACACATTTACACATAAGCATTAAAAAAAAAGATTATTCCTGGAACATACTCGTGGACATTACGGCTAACTGAAGTACTAATTATTAGTTATTATTACTATTAATTAGTACTAATTAAGATATATAAAAGAAAAACGATCAAACAGTATCAAACATCTTGATGCTGGTATACTGTAAGCAGCATTAACAGGAAACTGAGGACAACTGTTGGGCCATAAAGTTATTTCATTCCGGATAGATTTGTTATTATTTGGAAATAGACTCACAGTGACTCTTGATCAGGGACAATCATTGCTTTGACACTGGTGGTGGCATTAGAGAAAGATTGTGATCAATGTCTGGAAAGAGGCCAGAGGAGGGGACAGGAGCCAGGAGGGATGTTGCTGCTTTTAAACTGCCCGCTTGATTGACATGGGTGAGCAGGTAAGTTGGCAGAGCTGTGTGATAGGTTGAGGGTGAAGGAGAAGCAGGTTGTCTTCCAGTCCAAATTACCGCTTAAGGTACATTTTAGATCAAACCTGGTCAAATTGTGGCCTGCAAAATATATAATACAAACTTTAGCAAGCCATATCCTAATCAGGGGTGTTCAGATGTTTAAGTAACAGGACCACTTCAGTTAACCAGACTTGTCCAGGGCCCAACAACCCAGATTGTAGAACCTTCTGAGTTTTAAAACAAGCTTAAGTTGGCTGAATGACAAACTTGTGCTTTCTCAACAATTTTCAGGCCGTATATTAGGAGTGGACTTACCAAGTCAATAGGAGCCAGAGCAAGTTGGAGCAAAACTTTGTCCAGGAGCACTGTTAATCAAAAAATGTCAGTATGGTCTAACAAAATCATGACTTGCTTTGAAAGGTTCTGAGATTTACTAGGTGTTGCATTTCCTGTATTGGCAGAGCTGAAGTTGGCTGGATGACACTGAGTTATAGAGTTTAGGATCTTATTGTCCATGTCTGTTTGTCTGTGGGAGTGGATCCCTCCCTCATTTTGGCCTTCCCCACTTTTTGTTTTAGTTCTTCCTTGCCGATGGAGGAGGGGTCTAAGGACATAATGCAGGACATTTAACACTATTGGTCATCTGCTAAACTGTTTGATTCTCTGAGCTGTGTAAAGTCCTCCCAGTTGACTACTGTTGTGATTTAGGGCTATAAAAAAGATTTTAAGGAATTTATGTATTTATTTGGATCCCCATTACCTTCCAATTACGATTTTTTTCTTGTATAGCTCTAAATCACAACAGTAGTCATCTCAGAGGACTTAACAAAACCGTTGAAATGGTCAACACATATCAGAGAATCAACAGTGAAGGCACAAACATTGTACAGTAGAACACATAGGTGGTTCCACAATTGGTCGCTAGTCTTCCTGGGGTCTCAATTGATAGAATATAATGGCTGGGTCGTCAAGGCATGCTTGACCTGGATTTTAAATAGAAGACCACACATCATAATATCTTCTCAAAATCAGTTTCCAGTGAATTCATTAAAGTTTGTGGACTTCCCCAACTCCACAGCCGCCTTCCCCCTCCCCCCCTGAGCTCCTCCCGCCTCTTACTTTATCAGGGGCTTCACAATGGAGCGGCAGCAGCTCTGACAGCAGCCTTGTTTTCTGTGTCTTTCAACCCTCTGCTGGGGAAGTGCCTGGATAATGGGCTGTGTGCTGGAGCTAAGTGGCCCCGGAGTTTCAAAGAGCCCCGACCGAGATCTGGGCACTAGACTGATGCTCTTGTCTACTTGAGGGAAACACAAAAACGTCTGGAAAAGTGGGTTTTTTGGGAATTGGTAAACTGCTGGGAACATTAACTGGACTTATACACACTTTAGGTACTTTGTGGAGATGTTAACGAAGTAAACAAGGGGTAAACACCAATTTCTCATAAGGACGGGTGCATTGGGTCATGAATCAAGCCCTTAATACCAAAATTGTAATCTAATCTGATTTTGTGTGGGTGTGCACCCATGTGTGTGTGTATGCATGTGCTCGCGTGTGTATACTGTATGTGCGTAAGTGTGTGAGCATGTGTGCATGTGTCTTGTTAATATTCTCAAATTATTAATGACAAAACAAGGAATAAATCACATGGCATCACCAATGTGTTGCCATTGGTGTAAATGTGTCATTTTTTGTTGTCTGGGACCTCTGTGTGTGCGTTTGTGTGTGCGTGTGTGTGTGTGTGTGTGTGTGTGTGTGTGTGTGTGTGTGTGTCTGTGCAAGCTCTTAGTATCTCCACACACCACACAAAAATACTGAATTGTATCTCTGAAAGTCAGCAAAGTGAAGACTGAGACTGTCAGCTGTGTTTGCGGCCGCAGATGCTACGCAGGCTATTGCTAATGATAATGTATTTCTTAAGTTTCTTTTTAGGCATTTTTGTAAAAATCAAGATTAGTTAGAGAAATACATTTTAGCCAAATAGACCTCATAAGTACTCCGCTTGATACGAGTAATTACCACAAACTGTACACACCACAAAAAAATAAAATGTTGACTCTGAACCAGTGAATTCTTAATGGGGAGATTTTCTTGCTGTCCTTCACGCCGCTGCATGGCGTCAGCTGCAACCCAGCATTATACATCGGCTGTGTTTATCAGCCCAATTTTAGACATTGGTCCAATGCCAATGGGTTAAAAAATGAAGAACATCTGCCGATATCGATATCTATACCAATATATCGTCCTCAAGTTCTCAATAAGAGCATCTTACTGTTAAAAGTAGATTATATTAATGCAGTTTACTATTGGCAATTTTATGGTCAGTTCTTTAGCTTCATTGCTTGACCATTTAAAGTGATAGTCTTGACCCCCTGGCCCCCTGGCCTTAAATTTTTATGTTAAATAAGTCAGTTTATGAATTATAGTATTACGGATAAGTCCCGCCTTCCCTTATCTTGGCTATAGCTCAAAATCACGATGCAGTTCACTTTAACCAATCAAGTGATGCCAGGGGCTGTCAATCATCGCGCTCGTATATAAAAAATAAATTAAATAAATAAATAAATTGAATATTTATATGTATTCTAACGAATATTAGACAACCCTTAATATTCAAAGCTGAAACTAGTTTATAATGGGCATTATCTTTAATAAAGATAATGCCCATTATAAACTAGTTTTGTCGTGACGTGGCCAGACGGGTAACAGCTTGGCTAGCTAACTAACCAGAACTCTCTGGAACTACATGAAAAGTACACAAAGAATTCTGAACATCAGCGGTGAGTCCCCCAAAGATAACAAGGACTTCGCCACATCCTGTGTCCTCTGCTTCACTGAGACCTGGCTAAATGAGCGGATCCCGGACTGCGCTCTGGAGCTGCAGGGTTTTGGGCTGTTCCGCGCGGATCGCCATTGTGCGCTGTCAGGAAAGAGCAGAGGCGGAGGGCTGTGTTTCTACGTCAATACAACCTGGTGTAACGATGTGAACGTGATCTCCAAGCACTGCTCTCCTGCTCTGGAATATCTTTTCATTCATTGTAAACTATTTTACTCCCCTCGTGAAATTGTTTCATTCATTCTTACCTCTGTTTACATACCGCCATGCGCGGACGCGCGCGAGGCTCAGCGCGCACTCGCAGAGCAAGTACTGTGTATGGAACGTTTATACCCGGACTCTCTCATTATTATCCTGGGGGATTTTAATAAGGGAAACTTGAGCCAGGAATTACCCAAATACAGACAGTTTATCAAATGTCCGACCAGAGAGGAGAACACTCTGGATCATTGCTACACCACCGTGTGCGGAGCTTTTCGCGCTGTTCCCAAAGCAGCCCTCGGCTTCTCAGATCACTCCATGATACATCTGATCCCTGCTTACAGACAGAGACTAAAGCTCTCGAAACCTGCAGTGAGGAGCTCCAAAGTGTGGTCTGATGAAGCTGTGGAAGAGCTGCGCGCATGCATGGAATCTACAGACTGGGACCTTTTCAGAGCTGCCACAGATAGTTTGGATGAATATACGGACACTGTGACGTCATACATTCACTTCTGTGAGGATAGCATCATTCCAACAAGGACCAGGGTCATCTATAACAATGACAAACCCTGGTTCACTGCTAAACTCCGGTAGCTCAGAAAAGCAAAGGAGTCTGCTTTCAGGGACCGCAGCGGCTACAAAGCAGCTAAATATCAGTTCAGGGACGAACTGAAAGCAGCCAAGTCCCGGCACAGAGAACGACTACAGGAGCAGTTTAGTAACAACGATACTGCTTCTGTCTGGAGGGGCCTACGGGAGCTCACCAACTACAAACCCAAAGCCTCTGTGCTGACGACCACAAGCTAGCTGACGAACTAAACTTTTTTTTCAGTCGCTTTGATGCTGCCCCTGACACCTCCCCAACCCCCCACTACTCTAACGACCCACCCATCAGCCCTGCCCCCACCCTGACAATAGCCTTTAAATATATCAAACAACTCTTCTTGAGGCTGCACCCCCGCAAAGCTCCTGGCCCGGACCACGTGTATCCGGCCACTCTGAGACACTGCGCCAGTGAGCTTACTCCAGTGTTCACGGACATTTTCAACTCCTCTCTGCAGTCCTGCCATGTCCCGGCCTGCTTTGAATTCTCCATCATTGTCCCCGTCCCGAAGAAGCCCAGGATCACCGGCTGGTGTCCTGGTGCAGTGGTTACAACCTGGAGCTGAACGCCCAGAAGACAGTGGAGATGATTGTGGACTTCAGGAAGAGCACTGTCCCCCCACCCCCACCCTCCGTGATGGACTCCCCCATCACCTCTGTGGAGTCCTTCCGTTTCCTGGGCACCACCATCACCCAGGACCTCAAGTGGGAGCCGACCATCAGCTCCCTCATCAAGAAGGCCCAGCAGAGGAAGAACTTCCTGCGGCAGCTCAGGAAAGCCAAGCTGCCTGCACAGATGTTGGTGCAGTTCTACACGGCCATCATCGAGTCCATCCTCACCTCCTCCATCACCGTGTGGTTCGCTGGAGCCACAGTCAGGGACAAACAGAGACTACAGCGCATTGTGCGCTCTGCAGAGGAAGTGATCGGCCGCAGCCTTCCATCGCTGCAGGACCTGTACGTCGCCCGAGCTCAAGGCCGGGCTGGTCGTATCACAGCCGACCCCTCTCACCCTGCACATGGACTATTCCAACCACTCCCCTCAGGCAGGAGGCTGCGGTCCATCAGGACTAGAACCTCCCGCCACAAGAACAGTTTCTTCCCCTCTGCTATTGGACTCTTGAACACTTCTTAACCTGTCCCCCCGCCCTTTATAAAGTCACTTTACTGCCCATCATACGTCACTTTACTTCACTCTACTACTGTCACCTTACATTGTGTCCACCATGTGCACTTGTATATTGTAAATAGTAACTGTAACTCTATTTTAAATTTAAATTTATTCCTTAGAAGTGTTTTTTATTCGTTATTTTTGTTTATTATCCCTTTCTGACTGTTGCACTGAGCCAAAGCAATTTCCAAGTCTGTGACTTCCTGTTACTTACGTGGCAATAAAAATTATTCTAATTCTGATTCTGGTTCTGATAATAGGGGCGACAGTAGCTCACTTGGTAGAGCATTGGTCGTGGGTTCATTTCCCACCTCGACACCTTCTCCACCGACTCCCAGTGATGACTGCTGTCGTTGTGTCCTTGGGCAAGACACTTAACCCCACTTTGCCCGAAGCCCCCACTGAAAGGTCTCAGCTCCTGTGGACTCACCACCTGCAGGAGGATCAGTGAATGGATGGATGATTCTGATAATGATCAGTAGAACGTTTTGAAATTACATTCAAATCAATGGAGCATTCTACTGCTGCTGTGAAGAGCTGTATAATACATTATGATTAAATATTCAAATATATAAATTAATAATCTCTCCTCCGCACCTCTTGGACCATTGATCTGGCACGTGCACAGAAAAGTAGGAGCGGCTTCAATACCAATCAGAATCACGTACCTCTCTCTCTTTTTTCTGACCAACTCCAGACTATCACTTTAAGCAAACATTGAAAAACCATTGAATAAGTATCTCCTCAACAAATGTTATTATAATACAAAAAATGTAAACATAAATATGAACGTTTCAATATATTGTGTATCGAAGTAAAATACTGTGTTTGGTGCAACTGGCAATAGTGTCTACACAGCGTCTGATTTCATTGTATTCTTTTTTGTATGTTCCTGACTTTTCTATTGGTTCCGAAAAAAACCGTACATATTACAAAAGGTCAAGTAAAAACTTCCATTCAATGATAAAAAGTCATGGTGAATGCCCGTGATATCTGATGGTAAAATTGGATGAAGGACAACTTTTCTTTTGATAATAGTCTTTGTCATAGGAATAGGATTGTCTTTGTTCTATTTGAGGGTATTGTCCCAGATGCTGGTCATGAATCAAGCCAAGGATCGAACAAATCCAAATGTTCAAGCGATATATGATACAAAAACTTTCAGAAGTAGCCCACTTCTTGGCAAAGTTTTACATGATTCAATTACCATCCAGCTAGATGTTATAACCCTTACCCTATAGGCAGTATACTGTCTTTGCTTTTGTTGTAATTGTATTCATTCAACGCATAATAAGTTAAACCATAAGCAGTCTTGTCGAAGAACGTAAACATTTGGATTTGTTAAAGCTTTAGCGTGACATGACTAGCATCTGGGACAATGCCCTCAAATAGAACAAAGACGATCCTAATCCTATAACATTCAATTACAATGAAGACTGTTTCATTAAGTAGCTTGTGTTTTTGATTAGTGTAAGCTAAAGAAAAGCTTTACCCCATCTAATTTTACTATCAGATGTGAATTCGTGTCTAACCTCAAACCCGAAAAAACATTTTGCTCAAAGGATCTTTTAAAGAATTCAGTCACTCAAAAATGTAATGTTTTGCTCGTCTTCGTTCAGAGATTACAGGCCAAAAATTAGTCAGACAATTTTGAAACATTAATTTTGTGAAATCTTTTGCCGAACCGGCCGCATTAGACACCCCATGTTCTAACATTCGTGCTGTCTTCAGGATAAAAAAAAGAATAATACGGAACAACATATGAATACCTTTAGCCCAAGCCAATACAAAGTATTGGCTTGGGCTAAGCCAATACTTTGTATCCCAAGCCAATACAAAGTATTGGCTTGGGATAATAATTTGAAACCGGCCAATAACTATTAGCCTGACTCTCGCCAGACCCATGTAGTTCGCTGCACTTCACACATGAGTCTGGTACTGAGCCATAGTGGTTGGATTTCAGAAATCAGGGCCTCCAATCACATACAAATCCTTGTATGTGATTGGATAGACCACTTGTCCGTTATCTTGAATGAAGTCTACTTTCAACCACTCACATCGAAGAACACGGCTCCCATAGAAAAAAAACACTCAGAATGATTTTTTGGCTAAAAACGTAATGTAATCAACTTGGGCTATCATGATTCTGTTTATTGTCTTTCTGTTTATTTAATACCTACAAGTCTCTTGGAAAAAAAATATGCGGGAACCACCAAACCTGGCAACCCTGCTGCATAGTGTGTAAGCAGGAACACTGAACCAGTGCTTCAACCAAACTTTACAGGAACATTTGACTCTTAAAACACACATATATCAACATAGAACCATCAACATCTCGCCTCAAATTGCATTAAAAGTGACATCCGTGTCTTAATTTGATCGTATTTATTACTAGATTTATTTAAAAAGATTCGCGAACTTTACGTTTGCCATCTTGGATTCCTCTCGCTGCTGGATGAGAGGAGCTTGAGAAGGCAGTGCAAACCCCACGTAACACCGGCAATCCTGATTGGTCGATTAAAAAATAATCTGGGGAAGGCGTTCGCTATGGCGTCGATACCAGACCCATGTGGTTCAGCCAAACGCCTCTGGTGGAGCATGGCGGAACTACAAGGGTCTGGCAGAGCCAGGCTAAATAGCCTTACTCAATAAAAATGATTGGCATTATACGGTAACAATAAATAGCCTGTGTCTTCCTCTCCACAGTGTGTCAGTCTGGATAAGTTTGTGCCTCACACCGATGAGTCCCAGATGATCTACAATTCGCTGCATCTTCTGGAGCAGAACAAATACTGGGCCGGAGTGGTCTTCATTGATATGTTTCCCTGGACCAACACCGTCCCCCCGCACGTCCGATACAAAATCCGGATGGACATCGACGGGGTGGAGCGCACCAACAAAATAAAGGACAGGTCAGAATACAAATGGACGCAGTTAGCAAGGAAGTTTGATTGGTGATCAATGGAACAATATTGCCGTAAAATGACAATTTAGATTGAGTTTTTTTGCCGTTTGATAAAAACTAGACACGCAATTGTCACTGTGTGAAACCGATCAACAAAAACAATACAAGTGCAAGATCATTAAAGAGGATGGAAGTTAGAACATGGCTTTTCCAGGGTGGCCGGAAGAGTCATTGATTATTTGATTTAAGAAATTAACATGTTTATTGATGAAAACAGAGGACGCATCTTTCTCTCTGCTTTTTCCAAGTTGTGACAGAGACCAAAAATGCATGTGACAACTAGTGATTGAAGCAAGCTGTTCTGAGAGCGAGGATCTAGTTAGATCGAGTTTATTTGAGTTTAAACTTAGCTATGCCTGCAACGTCAATTGCAGTTGTATATTCAATTGAAGTACAGGACAGACCAAAAGTTTGGATACACCTTCTCATTCAAAGAGCTTTTTTATTTTCATGATTATGAAAATTGTAGATTCACACTGAAGGCATCAAGACTATGAATTATCCCATGTGGAATTATGTACATGCTAAAACAAAGTATGAAATAATTGAACATATGTCTAGGTTTTTGAAAGTAGAACCTTCTGCTCTGATTACTGCTTCGCACACTCTTGGCTTTCTCTTGATGAGCTTCAAGAGGTAGTGACCTGAAATGGTCTTCCAGCAGTCTTGTTCCCAGAGATGCTTTGCACTTGTTGGCCCCTTCGCCTTCACTCTGTGGTCCAGCTCACTCCAAAACCATCTTGATTGGGTTCAGGTCCGGACTGTGGAGGCCAGGTCATCTGGCCCAGCACCCATCACTCTCCTTATTGGTCAAATAGCCCTTACACAGCCTGGCTGTGAATCTACAGTCAATAGTCATGATAAGAAAGGACACTCATCGAATGAGAATGTATGTCCAAACTTTTGGTCTGTACTGTATATATTACTTCAATTGTATCAATAAACAAAACATATATTTTATCACATGACCCAGTCGTTTAAATATTAAGTGTTTGTCATAATGATTATATTTAGAACAGTCCCTTCCCTTGGTAACAGTATTACCAGTAGAATTTGCCGGAGGAGAATAATTAGACCAATGGTGCAGGGACTCAGCTGTCTATCAAGGATTTTATTTGATTGTGTAGAATCAGAAATCTGTGGAGGGGTGCCTAACTGGTGCTTGCATTCAAAAAACGTCCCTCTCCCTCTTTTTATGCGCCAAAAAGCGATCACGGTAAATCCGGAAGTAACCATTTACATTAGTTGAACATTTTAAGACACATTTGCAGAAGATCTGATCATGGATTTAGGTTGAGTTTATATGTATGGGACTCACCGCTGATGTTCAGAATTCTTTGTTCACTTTTCATGTAGTTCCGGAGAGTTCTAGTTAGTTAGCTAGCCTAGCTGTTACCGTCTGGCCACGTCACGACGAAACCTTAGGGAACTAACTATTTTATATATATAATTTGATAAAGATAATGCCCATCACAGCTTTGAATATTAAGGGCTGTCTAATATATATACAGTGCCTTGCGAAAGTATTGAACCTTTCAACATTTCGCCACATTTCAGGCTTCAAACATAAAGATATAAAATTTAAATTTTTTGTCATGAATCAACAACAAGTGGGACACAATCGTGAAGTGGAACGAAATTTATTGGATAATTTAAACTTTTTTAACAAATAAAAAACTGAAAAGTGGGGTGTGCAATATTATTCGGCCCCTTTACTTTCAGTGCAGCAAACTCACTCCAGAAGTTCAGTGAGGATCTTTGAATGATCCAATGTTGTCCTAAATGACTGATGATGATAAATAGAATGCACCTGTGTGTAATCAAGTCTCCGTATAAATGCACCTGCTTTTTGATAGTCTCAGGGTTCTGTTTAAAGCGCAGAGAGAACCATGAAGACAAAGGAACACACCAGGCAGGTCCGAGATACTGTTGTGGAGAAGTTTAAAGCCGGATTTGGATACAAAAAGATTTCCTAAGCTTTAAACATCTCAAGGAGCACTGTGCAAGCAATTATATTGAAATGGAAGGAGTATCAGACCACTGCAAATCTACCAAGACCCGGCCATCCCTCCAAACTTTAATCTCAAACAAGGAGAAGACTGATCAGAGATGCAGCCAAGAGGCCCATGATCACTCTGGATGAACTGCAGATAACTACAGCTGAGGTGGGAGAGTCTGTCCATAGGACAACAATCAGTCGTGCACTGCACAAATCTGGCCTTTATGGAAGATTGGTAAGAAGAAAGCCATTTCTCAAAGATATCCATAAAAAGTCTCGTTTAAAGTTTGCCACAAGCCACCTGGGAGACACACCAAACATGTGGAAGAAGGTGCTCTGGTCAGATGAAACCAAAATCGAACTTTTTGGCCACAATGCAAAACGATATGTTTGGCGTAAAAGCAACACAGCTCATCACCCTGAACACACCATCCCCACTGTCAAACATGGTGGTGGCAGCATCATGGTTTGGGCCTGCTTTTCTTCAGCAGGGACAGGGAAGATGGCTAAAATTGATGGGAAGATGGATGGAGCCAAATACAGGACCATTCTGGAAGAAAACCTGTTGGAGTCTGCAAAAGACCTGAGACTGGGACGGAGATTTATCTTCCAACAGGACAATGATCCAAAACATAAAGCCAAATCTACAATGGAATGGTTCATAAATAGACGTATCCAGGTGTTAAAATGGCCAAGTCAAAGTCCAGACCGGAATCCTATCGAGAATCTGTGGAAAGAGCTGAAGACTGCTGTTCACAAACGCTCTCCATCCAACCTCACTGAGTTTTGCAAGGAAGAATGGGCAAGAATTCCAGTCTCTCGATGTGCAAAACTGATAGAGACATACCCCAAGCGACTTGCAGCTGTAATTGCAGCAAAAGGTGGCACTACAAAGTACTAGCGCAAGGGGGCCGAATAATATTGCACGCCCCACTTTTCAGTTTTTTATTTGTTAAAAAAGTTTAAATTATCCAATACATTTTGTTCCATTTCACGATTGTGTCCCACTTGTTGTTGATTCTTGACAAAAAATTAAATTATTATATCTTTATGTTTGAAGCCTGTAATGTGGCGAAATGTTGAAAGGTTCAAGGGGGGCGAATACTGTGTGTAATATATATATATATATATATATATATATACTGTATATATTTAATTTGAATTATATACAAGCGCGAGCGCCATGATTGACAGCCCTTGGCATCTCTTGATTGGTTAAAGTGGACAGCATATAGCTATATAGCTAGATGAGGGAAGGCGGGACTTACCCGTAATATTATTACTCATATTTATAATATTTCAACATTTAAGGCCAGGAGGTCAATTTAATACAATTCTTAAAATTTGTAATTAATTTAGATCACTTTAAGGTATATTTGTTTTTAATGTTAAATCATGTGCAGAAATGTCCTAGATCACCACTGTCCTTAAAACCTCTTGTAAATAGCAAGGACGACAAAAAGTAAAGTACAAAAAAAAATTTGGGGAAACAAAGCGAGAAGCAAGATCCAGAACTCAGGCTGTAGAACAAGAATTTAATACCAGCATTGGTATCGTTGTATTCATTCCTAATCCAGAGGTTTAAGATGATACTTATCCATTGTATTTCGCCAAGAATATTCCTCAACAGCACGCTACTCGAACCTGTCTGAATACATTAGATCCAGCGCAACAGTTCAAAGCATCACACCACCACCAGAAAAGTTGCACAGTACTCCATGAGGACAATTTTTCTCCTCTACATCCAATATTCCTGTCAGTCTTTATTTCTCGAGACATATGAATTCACCTTCCGAGCATTGGCATCGTTTCTGAAGGCAGTAATGCATTTCCTTGACATTTATTTTAACCTTTCTTAATCTCCGACGCCTCCTCTTACAAACGCATACATGAATATAAACGAGCCATCTTGACTGTTGGCAGAGACATCAACCGTATGTAATAATCCTATAGCTTTACATTTAGGTGCATTAATGAGGCTATTCTCTCCATTTCACAGTCCACAGTGCTCCATCTGCTCTCCGTATGTTTGCAATGCCCTCTATATGGTCTGTAATAACTCAATACGTGCCCTTCCATTGCACCCAGGCTTTCTCCAGAGTCTTTGATCTGTCATTCACAAACAGTGCGCCGATGCAAGCCCCTAAAGGTGAAAAAAACACTTTGAAACGTGTATAGCTTAAACGTATAGACCACAGTGGGGGAGCTGTTGGCTTCTGTGCAATTCAATTAAGCATCGTGAAAGGTCTTATTTGATTAAGGAATGGATTAGACGTAACATGACGACTTTGTTGATTTATTAAACACTGAGCACTACAGGCTTTTGAGGTATTTGTCGGGTTCTTTACCAGCAGCGGCGGCATTAAACTATTCACGTTTCGCACAATATTGACTGTGACATTGGAGTTTATATAAAAGCACTGCAGAGTCTTTGTTGCCATTAATGCACCATTCATCCACCCATCCATTTTCTTCCACTGTATTCGTTGCCAGGTCGTGGAAGCAGCAGTGTAAGCAGAGAGTGCCCAGAATATCTTCTCTGCACACACTTCCGACAGCTCATCCAGGAGAATCCCAAGGCGCTCCCCGTGTTTGCAAATTTTTTTCCTCCCGGTGCTCCAGGTGTTCTCAAAACAGTTATCACTAGCTATCACTAGTTTTCACATACAGTGCATGTATTGTTAGCCTCTTTTGATCTCCAGAAAAAAAGAGAAAACGAGAGGGTGAAGGAACCTCGCTCAGCTTTCAACCACAAAGCGTCAAATAGTGACTATTTTTTTCTAGTATGATGAAGACAGCATGCTGTGATCTGATTTTTTACACCATATTTTCCATCTACTATAACAGTTACACAATTAGTGGCTGACTGATGATATTGTATATATTTGACTTCATGTACTTTCTTGTTCCCTGTAAAATTCTGCACATCAGGTATCACTGATATGAGATACAAAAAAGGACCTTTATTCTTGATATGACCCTCTGAAGTGGATAATTTTTTTGAGATTTGCTCCAATTATCACTTTGTGCTGTACCAAATCCAGTCTGAACTGGGTTCAATTAAATCATAAAACCTCCTGTCTTGTCTCCTGCCTGCAGATACTGGGACCCGGGCCCCAGAGCTGACCCCATGGAAGACCAGCGCTACATCTGGGGGGGCTTTGCGTACCTTCAGGACATGATCGAGCACGGCATCATCAAGCTGCACACGGGGAACGACTGGCCTCTGGGCGTTTATGTGCAGCAGATGCCCTACCCCTGCTACGTGGACGATGTGTGAGTTAATGTGGAATATCATCATATCATCATTGACTGATCTATTCTGCAAGTTTTACTTTTAACACTAGAACAGTCAATTTGACGGCTTTTAGTTTTGGAAGTGTAATCATCTCAGTGTATGCACATTTTTGGTCTTCATAACATTGTGACTTCTTGTATCTGTGAGTATCCAAATACTATGGTTTTGGAGGGGATTGGATCAATATAAGCTTTGTGCTTTATCCAATCCCTTTACAAACTAAATCAAGGGATAGACCAAGGAAAACATTTGTGATTAATTGCACGTGAACAATTACATTTATTTAATTGCGATGAATCGCAATTAAATATTTAAATTGTGTGACTACACAAATCTATACACATACACAGACGTTGCAAAGAACATCTGTGTATGTGTTCTGGCTATCGTGCAGAATGACCTATTCTCTGTCAGGGGAGGTGACGAGAGCAGAGTAAAAGTTGTGGTTTGTGTGTAGTTTAACTGCAGTTCACTTCAGGGCAGGCGCCGGCTAGTTAGTGACCACCTTTGGAAAGACAATTGAGGAAGTGGCCTATGCAGAGGGCTGACGACAGCTAGGAACAACTGAGGAAGACTCATGACGCTAACCCTGACTCACAATGCTCATGATGTTCAAACATGATTCAGTTAGAAAATATATTGGTAGATAATGTATCAGCACAAAGTGACAAAGGGCCTGTGTCTTATGCTGTGTTGTGGGTTCTGTTTTGTTATAAATGAATGAGAGGTGTTGGAGCAAAATAAGTATCCAACTCCTTTTCAAACTATCTCTGTATCTAGTGTTATTGGTTTTACTCATATCTGAATTAGGTAATTACTACCTAACTATGCGCATGACCACCTCCAAAAAATGTGACCGTGCATGCGTCAGAATCATATTTCTGTAAAATGCGGGAAACTTTGCACATCCAACTTTGTGACTGGTGCGTAAGAGTAGGCTCCGAACACAGCATTACCAACTTGAAAAGAAAGAAAAAGATTCTCGCGCACTGCACTTTCATAAACAAGTGTTTTTGGACACACTCCAGTGTTTTTTTCTTCTTCAAATTTCTCCCATAACCCATGGAAGTAGACTAAATGCTGACGTCACCCATAGAATTAACCAAAGACTTGGTTGGAGCCGTTCCCTATTGGGCTTCATAGATCTAGCGGGTTAGCATTGTCCATAAAGTCTATGATTTTTTTGCAAACAAACTTTGCAGACTTTGACTGTGCTTTGAGGAAGAGTACAAGCTGATGGAAAGGCAGGGGTGGAGTCTAACAATTTGTATAATTTACAGTCCGTCCGAATCCTCCAGCCTGTAGTCACTCGCCCCAACACATTTGTACTTATAAAACCTGCTATTGGCTGAAGGTTGATGGCCAGTGACTAAGTGCAGTTAAAAGCAGAAATGTTTTTGACCCTGAAGCTTTGAAGTGGAGCCTTCAATTGAGGACTGTATACACTTTCCAAACTTCTTTTTCTCAGATCTCACATTAATGTAACCACGGAATAATGAGCCTCGGCTCATTTAATCAAAATTGAGATTTTGAGGAATTATTATTAGATTACAAGGATTTTAGTGATACAACAGCAGAATGGAGAACTCGACGCAAGAGGGTTAGCTAAATTTCAAATAAGAACCAAGAAATACTCCCTGCTAAAATGATGTAATTACTTTCTGAATCATTTCCCTTAATTAGTGTAATCTGTATGTAAAATGAAAATGGTTTATCCCCTGCATGTTTGTGTCACATAGATAATTTTCAGGTCAATTTGACTGGGCTGTTAAACCGGAGGTAAGAGGTTGTGTTTGTAAGCTATGTATTTCACCACACACACACATATAAATATATTTATATTATGAGTAATACCATGTTTCCCTTGCCGCTCGTAGCTTCATGATCACGCTGAACCGCTGCTTCCCAATGTTCATGGTGCTGGCCTGGATCTACTCTGTGTCTATGACGGTGAAGAGCATCGTTCTGGAGAAGGAGCTGAGGCTGAAGGAGACGCTTCGCTCCATGGGTGTGGAGAACGGCGTCTTGTGGTGCACGTGGTTCATCGACAGCTTCACCATGATGGCCGCCAGCACAGCTTTGCTCACTGCTATCATCATGGTGAGAGACAGGGGCATGCATAATCAGCTTTATGGAGCTTTGGACCAGGGCTGCATGAGATCGGTCAGTTATAGAATTGTGACTTTTATGAGTCGCATTGCGTTTGCGGTTTTACGTTTTAAGGAAAAAAAACAAAACAATAGGCCACACAGAATAATTCATAAATACAACATTCCCACATGTTCCCACACTAAACAAAAAAGTTGAGGTTTAACTCTCTAAAGGAGGAGGTAAACAGCCGAGCAATTTTTAGTTTAAAACAATAATGTGGACTCAGTATAGACAACATTATGTTTAACATGTGTGAAAGTGTGAAAGATAGAGAGAGCAGTAGGCTGCCAGAGTAACTGAAGAGGTGTACGTGACCTCTTAGCCAGGTCCAGGTGTTTGTAAATCACAAAATGTGAGCCTGCAGATTCTGGGACCAGCAGCTCTGTAACAGAAGGTTAAAAACACTAAGGGGAGGATGCAAACTCTGCTTGGGTGTGTAACACTATAATAAAACAATGTTTTTTTATGCCATAAGAATACATTACAAAACTTTGTGGAGTTAGACCATAGTTTTGCCGCAAACCTGTGTTTCCTTAAAACTGAAAAATAACTCAAAAAATGTATACAATATAAAGTATTTTATTTTCAAATAATTGAATTCATTTGTTTTACCTTAATTTTAGAACATTTTCAATATCTTCGAATCAATAAAAGTTAACTTGATGTTTAAGTGTGAAAGATATGTTTTCTCACTCAAAAAATCTGTGTAGAATGCGGCTTGTTTAGTTGGTAAAGCTTCTTTCCCACAAAAATATGTTTTTCCCATTTAATTAAGAGATTTTTAGGTATTTTGATCTTGTAATCCTAGCATTTAATCAGTAGCATATTCCCTGTGGCACTCACGTCTGTTGGATCTAATCATCTAACTAAGTTATTCTTCTACTCTCTTTACTGGCCATTATGGAAAGCTTATACTCAATCATCCCCATCTGTAAGATCTAACCACAATGAGTTTGTGATGTCTGACACTGCCCTCTAGTGGAGAACCTTTGAATAGTTTATTTCAGAAAATGGAAGTGCATGTGCTTCTCACTCTTTTGCCAAATAACATTATAGAATTTCTGAGGATGTGTTGATGATTTTCTTAAATGTTGTGATGTGGTCTCTCTCTAGATCTGTCATACATTGTAATTGTTTATTTCAATTTCAAGTCAAATCAAACAATTGAAAAGGAGCAGACAGATGGCAAAAGCTAATGTCTCCTCTGTCTCTATCCCTTTCAATACACAAGAAAAACAGATACACTGACAGATAAGTGTTTCTTTGTAAAAATACAATCCTATGTATTTTTCTGTAGCCCTATATCACAACAGCAGAATATTTGAAATCTGAGGACTTTACCATTCACCAACAGTTCAGAAAGTAATGTAAAAATACTTGTTGTCCTGGTGTCCAAATAAGTATCTGATTTAGCTTCTTGTGCTTGTAAACATTCACAGGTATTGATACTTTGGAGCTAGTTCTGTCTCCAGTTTTCTATTTGCATATTCAAATAAATACATTCATGTTTGATTTGCAAAGCATGTGAGACTTTGTGAAAGGTTTTGTCCTATGTGGATTAACTCAAGAGTAACAGAGAAATAACTCCTAAACTAAGACTAGACTGACTTTCGACAGCTGCCATAGTTACCAAGAAAGAATCACATGAACACAGCCTATTGCCCTAACAGTTGCCCTCTGCTTTTCTTATTTCAGGGAGGAAAAGTGTTGAACTACAGCAACCCTCTGCTGGTCTTCTTCTTCCTCCTCACGTTCACAGTGGCTACGATCATGCAGTGTTTCCTGCTCAGTGTGTTCTTTAACAAAGCCAACCTGGCGGCGGCCTGCAGCGGCATCATCTACTTCACCCTGTACCTGCCACACGTGCTGTGCCTCGCATGGCAGGACCGCATCACCCGCAACCACAAGCTGGCCGCGGTATAATAACACTACTTAAATAGGGCTTTCAAACACATCCAAATGTTCCTCACATGGCCATGACAATCATTCCAGGCATCTGTTAATGTGATTTATAAATCACAGTACAAACATTAGACTGAAACATAGTATATACTGTACATTCAGACTGAGTCACGCAAGCGGCTTTAGGAAGCATTTTGTTGAGAAATTAAAGAGAGGCAGCGGCCCGGACACAATTGTTCTGGCATTTATTTACATGTTTTCAAAAGGTCTATGGTCTTAATGACCATAGACCGTTTGAACTTGTCCAAACTAGATTGATATGACAGAGGTTCACCCTGACCTGAAAGATCTGTTCCCTTGAATCTTGTGTCTTGCATCTTTTTCAAGTCCAATTTGTGAATTGGGGCGACAGTAGCTCAGTTGGTAGAGCATTGGCCTTTGAGCCTGAAGGTCGTGGGTTTGAGCCCACCACAAGACCTACTTCATGACTCCCACTGATGACTGCTGTTGTTGTGTCCTTGGGCAAGACACTTAACCCCACTTCACCTGAAGCTCCCACTGAAAGATGAAGGCTCTTGTGGACTCACCACCTGCAGGTGGATCAGTGAGGGGCTGGTGCTCAGTGTACTGGTTGTAGTTCTGATTGCCACCCCCCGACCCAGAAATGGATTAAAGGGAAGAAAATGGATGGATGGATGGAATTTGTGAATTAACCTTATATAGATAACAGCTTTGTATATTATGTAGGTTTTAATCTGACAATAGAACTGCAGCTGTTAATTGTTCTGACACTCTAAAAACACATTGGCTTAAAAAATAAATATGTACCAGTACCAAAGTCATTTTTTTCATGTAATCTATACCAGATATTGGTTTCACGTTGTAAGCTGAATTACAGAAATACATTAACTTTTAAACAACATTGTGATTTTGCTAGTTGGTTGGTTGATAACACAATCATTTATAGATTGGTTGTTTTAACTATGGTTGTTTAACTATCAACTATTTATTGGTTGTTTTCGAGGCTATGCTCACAGTCAGAGAGCAGCCGTCCTCCTGTGGACTCACCACCTGCAGAGGGTCAGTGAGGGGCTGGTGCTATGAGACTTGGGTGGCATCTCTGACTGCCACCCACCTGACCCAGAAATGGATTAAAGGGTAGAAAATGGATGGATGGATGGATGGATGGAACTAAATTGATCGCACACATACAGTACATACCAACTAAATTGGTAAAAAAATTACTGGTGAAATGTAACCCATCTCTTTTTATAGTGTAGGAAATAACCTTGTATCACACGATCATGCTGCTAACATGTACAGCAATACATCACTGTGAATATGTGCACCCTCAGAGCTCATGCCCTATTTCTTAAATGTTCTTGCACTAAAGTTTATTACATATTTATCAATAAACATATTGTATAATTTTTTTTTTTTTAAGAATGCAGTAATGCTATAAGAAATATTCACTTATACATTATTGTGTTCTCCTCCTGTGTGCTCCTCATTCCTACAGTTCTGTCTCCTAAGATACAACATTGACATTTCTCCACTGTGGGACAAATAAAGGATCTCCTAATCTTTATCTGAACCTTGTTCTCTGCAGAGCCTGTTGTCTCCAGTCGCCTTTGGTTTCGGGACAGAATACTTGTCCCGGTACGAGGAGCAGGGCAGGGGGCTGCAGTGGAACAACATCCAGACCAGCCCTTTAGAGCAGGACTCCTTCTCTTTCCTCACCTCCATCCTTATGATGATGTTTGACTCTGTGCTCTACGGCGCCCTCGCCTGGTATCTGGACAATGTCTTTCCAGGTACAGACTCAACCACTGTTATCATAGCTGCTATGTCTATTAGATGTCTGAGATGTTTGCAAAAGGATATTTAATTTAAATGGATATCAAAGAACTATTACCATATCTTGTTTTCCATAAATTATGACAAATTATAATGAGGCTATTTACTTTTTTTTCTTTTGTTTAAATGTGAAACAATATTTTCAGTAGAAAATATATGGTGAAACAAGTATGAAGGGTAAATGATACTACCATGCTGCCCTACCCCAATGTTACCATCAGAGGGAGCAGAATCTTTCCTTTTTCTTAAATAATTGAAAATTACTGAATGGACACATGAAATTGAAATTCATTTATGGGCAATACTTTTGTTATAAAGAAGGAAGTGTGAATGTGACGTCATAGTGGTATAATGACATCCTAATGATATAGGACTGAGACTTTTAGGCAGAGGGCAGTGTTAATTGCTGTGCCAGAAGATATTGATATTAGTGTGGATGGATCTAAAAACAACTCCAGGTCAGTATTAAGATGAGAAGCAATGTTGCAGAATTGTTTATAAGCTGAAGTAAGTAGATTAGATTAGATAATCAAATAATAATTTACGGTCATTGATGGCCGATTGTTAACTTTTATGAACAGTGGTCATCCCGCTCCTTTTGGACTAATGGCTAAAATGTGTTTGTGATTATTGCATTTCCTTTGTTTGAATTGTTTGATTCTTATCTCTTTATGGTGAATCGACAACTTTGTAATATCCACGGAGATGACTGCTATTATGATTTAGGGTAAAGATAAGGTCTACCATATCTTATGTTATCCCTGCCAGGGACTGCAGATGTAAATTAGCCTCAGGCTAACTCTGGTGCAATGCATCAAATGGCAACATTTATGTTATAATTGTACATGGTCCCTTTTAAATAAATAAACTAAACTAAACTAAAATGGCAATATAATTGTCTAGGTCGAGGAACATCCAGCATTAGCCTGGTTTGTTGCATGTCTCTTTCATAACCTGTTCGACTTTGCTTTTACCTCAAACCTCTCTTCGGCAGGACAATATGGAATCAGTCGACCGTTCTACTTCCCATTTCAACCTTCATATTGGTCCCGACCTGCTCCGTCATACATCGAATCACCTCAGCAAGGTCAGAGCTGCTGCAAATGGTGTCCTTAAATGTCCCATGTCCTATATTCACCACAAATTACATCCTAGAATTCATGAGTGGGAGAAATACTGTACAACCTTGTCCTCAGCTTCAATCCTAATTGGTCTCGTCTGGGGCATCCATTTCCCTACTCAGTTTGTGGAAAGGTCGATATAACATGTAACAAGACAAGGCCATGCAGGGAAATGGGCTCCCCAGAGTGTACAGCAGCCTTCACTCTACTGCTGGAGTGACTCATATTGGACAGTAAAAAGTTTTGTCATTTTAAACTTTGAATAAAGGAAGAGTCTTCAGGTTTTGATTAAGGCTGAATTCATTTGGCACCAGCAACATACAAACTGCCAAAATGTGTCGATTTTTGGCAGTTTGTAAGCACTTAGGTACTTAATTGCAGAAAGTATGTTTTATCTTGGTTCAGATATACTTTGAATACCTTCAATTAAATGTTTCTAATGTTTCTTACTTAAAACTACTACTACTACCACTACTACTATAACTACTATGGCTATTGCTACTCCTTAAAACTAATTTGAAATTCTTACATTGAAATGGCCAGCTCATCTACTAAGCTGGCCATTTAGATATCTGGCAATGCAAATATTCTTTATTAGATTATTATGTTTTGTTTTCTCTCTATAACTATCAATCAATCAGAGTATATATGATTTTATTCTCAGCTGACATCATACACAAAGTTTGATGAATTCACTTAGAAAGCTGTTCTCCAGATGTGAAGGGAGTCCAAAAGACACATATATGAAAACTATTGATAGAAACAAACACAAAATATGCAAGAACACAACACGACAAATATCAATTTTTATACATACAGTAAAACTAATTAAAAGTTGTACATATTTTCCAGTGGATGTAGAGATATCAGAGGCAGATCAGGCGGAGGCAGATCAGGCGGAGGCAGATCAGGCGGACAAAGACGGCGAAAGCGCAGGCACTCCAGAGATGTACAACTGTAACGGCTCCGGCAGTAGAACCTGTAAACACCACCACAAACGAGAGCGATTGAAGAGAGAGAAGGACGTGCTGAGGCCCCAGGAGGAGAGCCCCCACAAGGAGGACATCCCAGACTCCAACCAGGAAGGTACAGCAACACAGAAGTCTGTTCTATGAATGTGTCAGCATTTGTGGAATTTCCATCAGGGGGCAATGAAGGTCTTCTATACAGTGTATTAAGATTAAGATTAAGAGATCCTTTATTCGTCCCACAGAGGGGAAATGTAAGTGTTGCATCACAAGTTATAGAACAGTAGGAAAGAGGAGCCCACAGCACAAGATAAGTTAAGTGAACAATAGCTAAACTAATTAAAATAAAACAAAATCTCTAACTCTAGCATCAATAACAACAATAAAATCTCTATCTTGAAAATAATAATAATAAAAAGCAGTGTAAAAGTTTTACATTTGGCAGAAGTGTAAATTACTGTGTATTCTAGTGCAAGTAAAGTGTGGTTAAATGTTAGCATCTGTACATTAGCAGCAGTATGTTTACATCATGGATCTATAATAATAACGGTTTACATCTGTACATTAGCAGCAGTATGTTTACATCTGTACATTAGCAGCAGTATGTTTACATCTGTACATTAGCAGCAGTATGTTTACATCTGTACATTAGCAGCAGTATGTTTACATCTGTACATTAGCAGCAGTATGTTTACACCTGTACATTAGCAGCAGTATGTTTACATCTGTACATCAGCAGCATGAGGCTGTTTTTCTGCATATCAAGGGGTATGTAACCCCTTGATATGCAGGGGATACAAACACTATTAAATGGTAAGGTGCTCTTTCAGGCCAACTTGACTTTGAGAAGGAGACAGAGACTTGCAGACATGTGAGGGTAATAATAGTAGAGTGGCAATTATAGGACTGTTAACGAGGTAACGGGTGCTTCAGAACTCTAAGTTTCAAGCCTGCACACTCACTTATTTTGGTCCGCATTTCCCCATCTCCTTTTGTTTTTATAACCTCTTTGGAAGTAAGTTTGAGTGATATTACTTTACATACTGTATAGTGGGCACGGTGGCTGAGTGGAAAGCACTCTTGCCTTTCAGCAAGAAGGCTCTTGGTTTGAATCCTGGTCGGGACAGGGCTTTTCTGAGTGGAGTTTGCATGTTCTCCCCATCTCTGCGTAGGTTTCCTCCGGGTACCGCTAAAAACATATACAATAGGTCTGGCATGCGCCTCTGTACAGGCGACTCCGCTCCCATCTCTGTGTGGAGTGAGAGACAAATGCCCACAATTGTAAACCGCTTCGTGACTCTGGTCTGTGAAAGGCGTTCCACATTTAGAGTTTTTTAATACATGCATTCAATAGATCGAAAACATTTCTGAGATTTGGGGTTTTTACGAGCTGTGAACCATGTATAGGCTTGGTATATTTATCTTTGCGTATAAAGAGGCTGTCGTGTAATAGTTTCACATTGGCTATTTTATGTCAACTTACTGCAGTAAGTTGAGTTGTAGAAGTAAATATAGTTTTTAGCATTATCTCTAATGTTCTGACTTCCACCTGGAATCATTTATTTAAGAGAGATTCAATATTGTCGTGGTATTACTGTATATAGTGCATGTTGTAATGTTTGGACACATGGGGCTGTTTTTTCTGCTCAGGTCCAGTGTTCTTTGAGTCCGATCCGGTAGGTCCGGTGCTGGGGGTCCAGATCCAGGACCTGGTGAAGGTTTTTGAGGGCAGCTCTCGTCCTGCTGTGAACCACCTCAACATAAACTTCTACGAGGGACAGATCACCTCTTTCCTCGGCCACAACGGAGCAGGGAAAACCACCACACTGTGAGAGGATTTTCGAATACTGTCATTTGACAGTAATATCAAATGATAATATGTAGTAGCAGTAGTAGTACAAGTAGTTTTTCAACAATATGAACATTTAGGTTGTAGGTCACATGTTTTTCAAAGATCTCATACATTTTACAATAGTAAAAAAACATATATTAAGTATTTAAGTGTTAAATGATGCTTGACCAAAAGGGTTTAGGCAGAAGTCAAGATATAGATACTGCCTACTGATACTGATACCCCCTATTTCTAAAGATGACACATTATACCGTTTCTCTTATATAATATCAAAAGCTTATATTCAAAAGCATATATTCATAAAAAAAAACACTTAGTCTGTTTGTAGTTCTCCCATTGGTCATGACAATGATTGCTAAGGAGCTTTTTCTGGATTTGGCCAAAATGTAGGCACTTTTCTCAAACATGTTTTTGAGAGTGTAGAGAACAAAATACTGTATATATGTTTTTCAATATGTTATGAGTGTGTTTGTGTGTATAATTTATAATTTACTGTTCTAGACTCCACATTGTGTGTTTAAACCATACAACCACGCAGCTCCTTGTTGTTTAAGCCTTACATACAGTATATCTCTATACAAAAGTCCTTAATCTATGCTTGTGTTGTGACGACGTGGTTTTGCAGCTCCATCCTCACGGGTCTTTTCCCTCCCACCTCTGGCACGGCCTTTGTCGGCGGCAGAGACATCCGCACTGACATCGACCTGATCCGCCACTCTCTGGGGATGTGTCCGCAGTACAACATCCTCTTCAACCAGTGAGTCAGAAAACTGCATCACGATCTATATACGTTTACATATCGAGCCAGCGACTTTATAAACACATGGATTTGTTTACTTGTCTCTTTCATTTGCTTTTGAAATGAGCCGTGAAAAGATGTGGATGTTCCCAGCTTTAAGAAGCCATGGATTTCGCTTCGATCAATTATAAGCTGCAGATAGTGGCAGACAGAACACGGATTTGCTCAACTCTAGACTTGTGCCTGTCGATGTACTGTAAATATGTTTATGAAATGAAAAACACATAAATGCTTTTAAAGATGTACATGGATCAGATTAGAAAAATGCTCATAGTAGAGTTTTTCATAGTATTTACAGTTCTATTTACAATCTTGGATTAGTTCATTTGGAAATTAATATATATTGGTTGTTGGATCAAGCATTCTTATGTATAGAAGAACATATGAGGCCCTCTGCTCTTCAGAGTCCAAGTTGGTTCATATTAGGTTGAGGTTCCAGGACCTGGAGATTCTTCTGATGACGCCTCTCCTTTGTTGCTTGAGCGATGTGTTTTGGAACATTGTCACGCCGGAACATCTAGCCTCATTTCATATCCAGTGCTGTCACTGATGAAAGTGGCCAAAATTTCACTAAAAATAGCCTCATTCATCCTTTCCTAAAAATTGATCAGTCGTCCTGTTCCGTTTGCAAAAAAACAGCCAAAACGTAACGTTCACAGCCCCATACTTTGCAGCAATACAGCGTATTGCAATAATAAAAGTATTGAGAAATTGCTGAGGAACTCACTCATGCATGACTTCAGTGATCATATGTGTGTTTTAGCCTGACGGTGAAGGAGCATATCCTGTTTTACTCTCTGCTGAAAGAGCGCTCCCTGGCCCAAGCCGAGCAGGAGGTCGAGGACATGCTGGTGGACCTGGGTCTGCCGCACAAGAGGGACGAGGAGGCACAGAACCTCTCTGGTACATAGCAGCGCTTCAGATTTTAACTGTGTTATATGTGAAATCCAACCACCGCTGCCACACAACACCCAGTCCTGTGGTTCCTGAAGTAAGGGGCCATGGGACTTTTAAAGTTGGTGAACCTCACTTCACATGATGTTTTGCCCAAGTGAAAGAGAAAAGTTAAATACTCTCTTCTTTTTGCATATTTCTAAGAAAGAGCACCTTTTGGGGCTTTGAGCTGAGAGCTGATTGGCTGAGTGAGGATGGTTCTCTCTTTTTATAGTTTCTGAAAAAAAGCTGATCGAAAGATGTTACAGAAGTCTACAATTCATGCATGTTTAAACTAGTGATAGAACCAAACTGTTTTGAGACTGAGGAACTATTTTTATTTGAAGTTACATTACTAAACATTGTCATTTTGTGGGGGATTATTATTACTTTAGACATCCATTCACAACACTATTAAAACGTAAATACATTTAATACAAATTCTCCCAATTGTTTATGACATTATATTAATTGCTTCCTGGTTGTTGTAGGTGGAATGCAGAGGAAGCTGTCTGTTGCCATGGCGTTTGTGGGAGGGTCAAAGGTTGTGATCCTGGATGAACCCACGTCCGGAGTTGACCCATATTCACGAAGGTCCATTTGGGATCTGCTGCTGAAGTACAGGACAGGTAAACGCAATGGGAACTATTCCTTGTTAAATATGCAATATCTGGGGCAACAGTAGCTCAGTTGGTAGAGCATTGCCCTTTGCCTGAAGCTCCTGCTGAAAGATCAAGGCTCCTGTGGACTCACCACCTGCAGGAGGATCAGTGAGGGGCTGGTGCTCTGTGGCCTGGGTGCAGCTCTGACTGCCACCCCCCCCGACCCACAAATGGATTAAGAGGAAGAAAATGGATGGATGGGTTAACCCTAACACTATGTTGCAAAGGTGTGTGTTTTTTTGGTCTTTTTGTGTTTTTTCACACACTAAGTATACTATTATCTTCTTTCGTTGTTTATAAGTTAAATATGACATGATTTGGTCTAGTATAGTATGTATTGATATATCCTGCATAATCTATTAATGTAGTATATACTATACTATTCTATATATACTATATAATCTGACAGCAGCTGACAATACATTTTTTTTTAGCTTAAAGTAGTCTTAACAATTGGTCAGAATAGTGTCATTTCTCCCGCAAAGTACATCCAATGTAATTAAATGGGGATTGTAAAATTACCACATAAATAAACCACATTAAGAACCAAAATGAAATCATTTGAAAATCATTATGAAACCTTTAAATTACTATCACAACACGTATATAGTAGCCCTCGAGCCATTTGGTAATCAAAACAGTAGCCCTGAGCGTTAGAGATTAGGTGACCCCTGGTGTAGATTACAAGATTGTAGGTTATATGAATACTAAAAATATGTTTCACTCCTGTTAAGTAATCTTGTCTCTGAAGCACACTTTGGCGCATACCAATTTGTTTTTAAATGCATATCCATCCATCCATCCATTTTCTTCCGCTTTATCCGTTGCCGGGTCGCGGGGGCAGCAGTCTAAGCAGAGACGCCCAGACTTCCCTATCCACACACACCTCCTCAAGCTCGTCCGGGGGGACCCCTAGGCGTTCCCAGGCCAGCTGAGAGACATAGTCTCTCCAGCGTGTCCTGGGTCTTCCCCGGGGCCTCCTCCCGGTGGGACGTGCCCGGAACACCTCCCCAGGAAGGCGTCCAGGAGGCATCCTGAACAGATGCCCGAGCCACCTCAACTGGTTCCTCTCGACGTGGAGAAGCAGCGGCTCTACTCCGAGCTCCTCCCGTGTGACCGAGCTCCTCACCCTATCTCTAAGGGAGCGCCCAGCCACTCTGCGGAGGAAGCTCATTTCGACCGCTTGTATCCGCGATCTCGTTCTTTCGGTCATTACCCACAGCTCATGACCATAGGTGAGGGAGGGAACGAAGATTGACCGGTAAATTGAGAGCTTTGCCTTTCGGCTCAGCTCCCTCTTTACCACAACGGTCCGATACAGAGACCGCATCACTGCGCACGCTGCACCGATCCGCCTGTCAATCTCACGCTCCATCCTCCCCTCACTCGTGAACAAGACCCCGAGATACTTGAACTCCTCCACTTGAGGAAGGACCTCTCCACCCACCTGGAGAGGGCAAGGCACCTTTTTCCGGTCAAGCACCATGGCCTCGGATTTGGAGGTGCTGATTCTCATCCCAGCCGCTTCACACTCGGCTGCAAACCGTCCCAGTGCATGTTGCAGGTCCTGGTTCGTTGGAGCCAGCAGGACGACATCATCCGCAAAAAGTAGAGATGAAATCCTGTGGTTCCCGAACCGGACCCCCTCCGGCCCCTGGCTGCGCCTAGAGATTCTGTCCATAAATACAGTGAACAGAACCGGTGACAAAGGGCAGCCTTGGCGGAGGCCAACATGCACCGGGAACAGGTCTGACTTACTGCCAGCAATGCGAACACAGCTCTGGCTCCGGTCATACAGGGACCGAACAGCCCTCAGCAGAGGACCCCCCGACCCCGTACTCCCGGAGGACCCCCCAAAGGACACCCCGGGGAACGCGGTCGAACGCCTTCTCCAAATCCACAAAGCACATGTGGATAGGTTGGGCGAACTCCCATGAACCCTCGAGTATCCGATGTAGAGTATAGAGCTGGTCCAGTGTTCCGCGACCGGGACGAAAACCACACTGCTCCTCCTGAATCCGAGATTCGACCATCGGACGAAGCCTCCTCTCCAGTACCTTGGAGTAGACCTTACCGGGGAGGCTGAGGAGTGTGATCCCACGATAATTGGAACACACCCTCCGGTCCCCCTTCTTGTAGCTTAACAAGATGGCGCCTCGTACGGTCGACATGGCTCTTTGCTGCTCTCTTTTTCTTTTGTTTTTACTTTTTAACTGTGCATCTGGCTGTTCCTACACCCGTGAGGAACTTATGAACATCCGACCCACCGTTCCCATGGACCTATTGCCTGTTTTCTTGGCATCTGCGGCTGATTTAGTTCATGTTCTAGCCAAAAAAGTGTGGGCCCGTAAAAGGGGAAAGCGAGGAGGCCTGCTCGTGCGTCTTAGGAGGAGAGGAGCGCGCACGGCTCTCCCCGGCATTTTTCTCTCCAACGTACGCTCACTGGGCAATAAGATGGACGAACTCAGCCTGCTCATGAGAAGAAACAAGGACTTCGCCACATCCTGTGTCCTCTGCTTCACTGAGACCTGGCTAAATGAGCGGATCCCGGACTGCGCTCTGGAGCTGCAGGGCTTTGGGCTGTTCCGCGCGGATCGCCATTGTGCGCTCTCAGGGAAGAGCAGAGGCGGAGGGCTCTGTTTCTACGTCAATACAAACTGGTGTAACGATGTGACAGTGATCTCCAAGCACTGCTCTCCTGCTCTGGAATATCTTTTCATTCATTGTAAACCATATTACTCCCCGCGGGAAATTGTTTCATTCATTCTTGCCTCTGTTTACATACCGCCATGCGCGGACGCGCGCGAGGCTCAGCGCGCACTCGCAGAGCAAGTACTGTGTATGGAACGCTTATACCCGGACTCTCTGATTATTATCCTGGGGGATTTTAATAAGGGAAACTTGAGCCAGGAATTACCCAAATACAGACAGTTTATCAAATGCCCGACCAGTGAGGAGAACACTCTGGATCACTGTTACACCACCGTGCGCGGAGCTTTTCGCGCTGTTCCCAAGCCAGCCCTCGGCTTCTCAGATCACTCCATGATACATCTGGTTCCTGCTTACAGACAGAGACTAAAGCTCTCGAAACCTGCAGTGAGGAGCTCCAAAGTGTGGTCTGATGAAGCTGTGGAAGAGCTGCGCGCATGCATGGAATCTACAGACTGGGACCTTTTCAGAGCTGCCACAGACAGCTTGGATGAATATACGGACACTGTGACGTCATACATCCACTTCTGTGAGGATAGCATCATTCCAACAAGGACCAGGGTCATCTATAACAACGACAAACCCTGGTTCACTGCTAAACTCCGGCAGCTCAGGAAAGCAAAGGAGTCTGCTTTCAGGGAGGGGGACCGCAGCGGCTACAAAGCAGCTAAATATCAGTTCAGGAGAGAACTGAAAGCAGCCAAGTCCCGGCACAGAGAACGACTACAGGAGCAGTTTGGTAACAACGATACTGCTTCTGTCTGGAGGGGCCTACGGGAGATCACCAACTACAAACCCAAAGCCCCCCCCTGTGCCGATGACCACAAGCTAGCTGACGATCTGAACTTATTTTTCAGTCGCTTTGATGCTGCCCCTGACACCTCTCCCTCCCCCACCCCCCACTACTCTAACGACCCACCCATCAGCCCTGCCCCCAGCCTAACAATAGCCGCTAAAGAGATTAAACAACTCTTCCTGAGGCTGCACCCCCGCAAAGCTCCTGCCCGGACCACGTGTCTCCGGCCACTCTGAGACACTGCGCCAGTGAGCTTACTCCTGTGTTCACGGACATTTTCAACTCCTCTCTGCAGTCCTGCCATGTCCCGGCCTGCTTCAAATCCTCCATCATTGTCCCCGTCCCGAAGAAGCCCAGGATCACAGGACTCAATGACTACAGACCTGTAGCACTTACGTCTGTCGTCATGAAGTCATTTGAACGCCTGGTTCTCTCCCATCTCAAGTCCCTCACCTCCCCCCTCCTGGACCCACTGCAGTTCGTCTACAGAGCCAACAGATCTGTAGACGACGCCATTAACCTGGCCCTCCACCACATCCTACAGCACCTGGACTCCCCGGGACCTACGCCAGGGTCCTGTTCGTGGACTTCAGCTCTGCCTTCAACACAATCCTGCCATCCCTGCTCCAGGACAAGCTCTCCCAGCTCAACGTGCCCGATTCCACCTGCAGGTGGATCACTGACTTCCTGACGGACAGGAAGCAGCGAGTGCGTCTGGGGAAGAATGTCTCGGACTCTCGGATTATAAATACAGGAGCCCCACAGGGCTGTGTTCTTTCTCCCCTGCTCTTCTCCCTGTACACCAACCACTGCACCTCCAGCCACGACTCCGTGAAGCTGATCAAGTTCGCGGACGACACCACCCTCATTGGACTCATCTCCAACAACGATGAGTCCGCCTACAGGAGGGTGGCTGGTGTCCTGGTGCAGTGGTAACAACCTGGAGCTGAACGCCCAGAAGACAGTGGAGATGATTGTGGACTTCAGGAAGAGCACTGTCCCCCCCCCCCCACCCTCCGTGATGGACTCCCCCATCACCTCTGTGGAGTCCTTCCGTTTCCTGGGCACCACCATCACCCAGGACCTCAAGTGGGAGCCGACCATCAGCTCCCTCATCAAGAAGGCCCAGCAGAGGATGTACTTCCTGCGGCAGCTCAGGAAAGCCAAGCTGCCTGCACAGATGTTGGTGCAGTTCTACACGGCCATCATCGAGTCCATCCTCACCTCCTCCATCACCGTGTGGTTCGCTGGAGCCACAGTCAGGGACAAACAGAGACTACAGCGCATTGTGCGCTCTGCAGAGGAAGTGATCGGCCGCAGCCTTCCATCGCTGCAGGACCTGTACGTCGCCCGAGCTCGAGGCCGGGTGGTCGTATCACAGCCGACCCCTCTCACCCTGCACATGGACTATTCCAACCACTCCCCTCAGGCAGGAGGCTGCGGTCCATCAGGACTAGAACCTCCCGCCACAAGAACAGTTTCTTCCCCTCTGCTGTTGGACTCTTGAACACTTCTTAACCTGTCCCCCCGCCCTTTATAAAGTCACTTTACTGCCCATCATACGTCACTTTACTTCACTGTACTGCTGTCACCTTACATTGTGTGCACCATGTGCACTTGTATATTGTAAATAGTAACTGTAACTCTATTTTAAATTTAAATTTATTCTTTAGAAGTGTTTTTTATTCTTATTTTTATTATCTCTTTTTGACTGTTGCACTGAGCCAAAGCAATTTCCAAGTCTGTGACCTCCCGTTACTTACGTTGGCAATAAAAATGATTCTGATTCTGATTGTAGAGAGGGACCACCACCCCGGTCTGCCACTCCATTGGCACCGCCCCCGATCGCCACGCGATGTTGCAGAGACGTGTCAGCCAAGACAGTCCTACAACATCCAGAGACTTTAGATAGTCAGGACGGATCTCATCCACTCCCGGCGCCTTGCCACCATGGAGGCTGCCAACCACCTTGGTGACCTCGGCCAGGGAGATGGAAGTATCCGCCCCAACATCCTCAGCCTCTGCCTCCTGGACGGGGGACGTGACGGGGGGATTGAGGAGAACCTCGAAGTATTCCTTCCACCGCCCGACAATATCCCCAGTCGAGGTCAGCAGCCCTCCACCCGCACCATACACGGTGTTGGCAAAGAACTGCTTCCCCCTCCTGAGGCGCCGGACGGTTTGCCAGAACCTCTTCGAGGCCGACCGATAGTCATGCTCCATGGACTCTCCGAACTCCTCCCAGTCCCGGGTTTTTGCCTCTGCAACAGCCCGGGCCGCGGCACGTTTGGCCTGCCGGTACTGGACAGCTGCCTCAGGAGTCCCACGAACCATCATTGCTCGATAGGACTCCTTCTTCAGCCTGACGGCATCCCTTACTGCCGGTGTCCACCACCGGGTTCGGGGATTGCCGCCGGGACCAGCACCAGAGACCTTGCGACCACAGCTACGAGCCGCCGCATTGGCGATAGAGGAAGAGAACATGGTCCACTCGGACTCGATGTCCCCCTCCTCTGCCGGGACCTGGGAGAAGCTCTCCCGGAGGTGTGAGTTGAAAGTCCGTCTGACAGGGGGCTCAGCGAGACGTTCCCAGCAAACCCTCACTACACGCTTGGGCCTGCCAGGTCTGACCGGCCTCCTGCCCTGCCAGCGGATCCAACTCACGACCAGGTGATGATCGGTTGACAGCTCCGCCCCTCTCTTCACCCGAGTGTCCGAGACACGCGGTCGAAGGTCAGATGATACGACTACAAAGTCGATCATCGACCTCCGGCCTAGGGTGTCCTGGTGCCACGTGCACTGATGGACACCCTTGTGCTCGAACATGGTGTTCGTGATGGACAGGCCGTGACTGGCACAGAAGTCCAACAACTGAACACCGCTCGGGTTCAGATCAGGGGGGCCGCTCTTCCCGATCACCCCTCTCCAAGTGTCACTGGCATTTCCCACATGGGCGTTGAAGTCCCCCAGGAGAATAACGGAGTCCCCGGGCGGTGCACTGTCCAGTACCCCTCCCAAGGACTCCAAGAAGGCCGGGTACTCTGCACTACCGTTAGGCCCGTAGGCCGTCACAACAGTGAGAGACTTGTCCCCCACCCGGAGGCGGAGGGACGCGACCCTCTCATTCACCGGGGAGAACTCCAACACGTGGCGGCTGAGATGGGGGGCAATGAGTATGGCCACCCCAGCTCGCCGCCTCTCCCCGCGGGAAACACCAGAAAAAGTGGAGCGTCCAACCCCTCTCAAGGAGTTGGGTTCCAGAGCCCAAGCTGTGTGTGGAGGTGAGGCCGACTATCTCTAGTCGGTATCGCTCAACCTCCCCCACAAGCTCGGGCTCCTTCCCCCCCAGTGAGGTGACGTTCCACGTCCCCAAGAGCCAGATGTTGGGTGTGTGGACTGGGTCGTCGAGGTCTCCGCCTTCGACTGCTGCCCAGTCCTCTCTGCACCTCGCCACCACGGACCCCTCTGCAGGTGGTGAGCCCACAGGAGGGACTGCCCACGTCATCCCTTCGGGCTGAGCCCGGCCGGGCCCCGTGGGCTAAGGCCCGGCCACCAGGCGCTCGCTTGCGAGCCCCGACCCCAGGCCTGGCTCCAGGGTGGGGCCCCGGCTGCGCCATGCCGGGCGACGTCACGGTTTTTGTTGTCGTGCTGTCCATGGTTGGCTTCGGACTGCGCTTCGTCTGACTCGTCACTTGAGACCTGTCTGCCATGGGAGACCCTACCAGGGGCATGAAGCCCCAGACAGCATAGCTCCCAGGATCATCCGAGTGCTCAAACTCCCCCACCACGTTAAGGTGGCAGTCCAAGGGGGGAGTTAATGCATATGTTAAATAATTCATTCATTCATTTTCTACCCCTTTATTAGTCCATTTCTGGGTCATGGGGGTTAGCTGCCACCCAATGCTAATAGCACCAGTCCCTCGCTGAGCCTCCAGCAGGTTCTAAGTCCACAGGAAGATGGCTGCTCCATCAGTGGTATCACAGCCTTGCTGTTTCAGAGGGAGCTTCAGGCAATGTGGGGTTAAGTGTCTTGCCCAAGGTCACATCAACAGCAGTCATTAGTGAGAGCAGTTGTAATAGATCTCACGGTGGGCTCGTACCCACGACCTTCAGACCCAAAGGCCAATGTCACCCCATGATAAATAATGGAATCTTTAAACAACATTGAGTGGTTAAATGATTAGAAACAAAACTATAATGTGGCAAAAGATACATTATGTTGCAAATACAGCAATGTTGCTCTTTCTATATTTGAAAAGGTTGTTGATTTAAAATGTTTTATTGAGAGTTTGCTGATCACAGGCCGCACAGTGATCCTGTCCACTCACCACATGGACGAGGCGGATCTCCTCAGCGACAGAATTGCCATCATCTCTCAGGGACGACTCCACTGCTGCGGCTCACCCCTGTTTCTCAAGAACTGCTTTGGACTGGGCTTCTATCTCACTCTAGTGCGCCGAATGAAGGACCTGAGGCGGAGAGAGGTACTGCGTGCCAAAACCCTGGATCACAAACAATGATAATAGAGAGGAAATTGAATTTGCAGCCAAATGCGTAAAACAGTGAGAAAAAAATAACACGTTTTTCACTTATTTTTATTCTTATTATTAGAACGAGAAAAGCAAATCACTGAACTATCAAAAAGATCTAAACTAAATAGGAGGACTTTCCCAAAGTATAAGACAATATCGCTGTCTACACTTTTTGAACGAAACTCTCTGGTCTTATTTGACGAACACGTATCACCAGAATGATTGACATTTGGGATGACCAATAGTCTTTATGATCCACTGCACTGAGTGGATCAAGAGATCATTTGTTCCATTGGCTGTCAGACAGTACAACAAACCTGGATGAGTCTGTTGCTGCTGGTCACTTGAATTTCTCCTACGGGGATCAATAAAGAATATTTCTATCTATCTATCTAAGAAAATCCTCCTAAATACCTTTAAAGCTGGGGTTTAACTTAACTTTTTTGTCATACATAAAACATGTTTTTTTAACAAAATTAATCAGAACAACTCAAGTTTTTTGTTTTTATTAGAAAACAGGTTGTCTTTTTTATACATGTAAAAACAGCCCTGTTAGTCACTATCTGATGCTTTGGGCTAGAGTTGATTGGCAGAAGGAGGTGGTCTAAACAAGCTGATCTAAAATCTAAATATGTGATAGAGGTCGCTAAACTAGTGATGGATTGAGAGCATGGAACTAGTTTTGTGGCCCTTAAAGACCTCCAAAGCGAAGCAGGGCAAAGCCTATCTAGGATTGTGATGGGAGACCTCTGGGAACACCAAGTGCCTAAGTGGGCTGTAAAGTGCACAAACTTTTGTTGTACCCATTGACAAGAAACTTCACCCACATTGGGTTGAATGGGTCTGGTGGTCAGAGGGGCTGATGGCACATACTGGTTGCCTCCCTACTCTCAGTGTGCCCCAGGGCAGCTGTAGTCAATCTGAATCTCACTGTGTATGAAGTGAAAGAATGATGATATGTGAAGTTTTTGTGATACTCAAATTCATAAAACTGATGTGTTATTATTATTGTTACATGGATTTTATTGCATGGTTCCTATGTTGTGTTTCAGAATGAATGTGACTGCAGCTCGGATTGCTCTTGTGCCTGCTCCATCTGCACAGCCTATAAGGAACAGTCCCAAAATTTGTCCCAGTATCAAGACAGAGTCATGGAAGGTAATTATTCAAAAAGGTTAGTTTTATCGTGTTAAAAAAATGAGTAAAAACAATGAAATATTAGAATAGAACCAAAAAACACTGTCGATGAAAAAGGGGATTGCTGGTATAATGCCGTCTTTAATACAAGACAGTATTATTTACTAAAGCATGCATGGGTCACTCAATAATCTGAGAAAAAATACTTATAATTGCCTTCCCCTTTCCTTGCATAAATAGATTAAATATATGATCTAAGTGATAAATGTAATATTAATTTCTGAAGTACCAGAGTCAGAGTAGTACAGTACATAGTTATTCATCATTATTATATCATAACAGTTTTCCACGAGGATAGCTATGCTCAAGTGTAATTGTATTTACTGTGATCCCTCTTCAATGGCAAGTTTGTTTAAGACACTTATCTTTATAAATATTTTAAAGTTGGGAAACGTAATTCCAGGTTATTTCCATAGACACGTGCCCTATGATGAACATATACTCTTTATGGTTGTCGACCCGGTCTAATGTTGATTAGGCCGGTTACAGGCATTATAGTCCAACTCCTCATTCACTTCCACTAATACTTCCACATTAGGAGATTAATCATTGAAATTTTATTATTATTTGATTTTTTTATTAACATACAGCGTCACAAAGACAAAGAGAAACAGACAAAAACTATTATATACTTTATAGTTTTGCTGTTGTGATTGAAAAAAGTCCAACTCTGATTTCATTATGACATCTTCTAGCAGTCAGCGACTCGAGCTTTTTACAACAGTATAAGCCGACCTGCTGCGTTAGAATACATTGTATTCCTCAAAGGAGCTGTATGTAACTCTCCTGCCATATAGCGTTGTCGAGAATGTCCCACAGTAAGACAATAAACTAATTTAACTGCACTGTGAGGAATGAAAATGTTGAAATATACGACATAAACAGGTAGCACGTCTCACCGGACCCCACAGTGACTCGATTTGGGAACATGTAGAGGAGAGCAACTGCCGGAGGAGATGTTTTGAGCATTTTTTGAGTTATTGGACTTGAGGGTTCATGTCTGAACGGCATAGGGTTAAATTATTCTTTTTATAATTGCGTCCTTCTATCCTCACAAGGACGCATCTCAAGTGACCTCTCTGCAATGTCCAGTCCGCCTTCGTAGAAGTAGCAGTTCAGAAGTGTGCTTACATGTCATTAAAATTCATGCTCTTTAAATCCAGGTCAAAACACAGACAGAATTGTTAACATTTATAATTTAGAGTCGTATTGACCCATGGCTTTGCTTCTGGCTTTTGCTCGAGGACGTTGTCGTTAAAATGCCACTTTCAAACCAAGATTTAGTCTCAATTTATTGGTATGCCTTGTCCTTATGTGTCCCTGGTATTTTACCTCCAACACTCTGAACACAAACATACAGTATAGTTTGTTAAAGCTGGGGTGCCAAACTTTTTGTTCACAATGGACCCATGTTGTTCGTCCCGCCAGAAAGAGTATTTTAAAACTAATATGCTGTGAACAAATCAGACCAAAACATGTGGTCTTTATCCAAGTAGAAGATCTTCTGCATACTCGTAAGAAATATCCCTGGGGGTCATTATTTGATTATTTGGGATGGGAGATGATTAGCTTGAGCTGGAGTCGTCCTCTCTATTTCACTTTTTTCTCTGAATATGATCCAATGATGTGAAAGAAGCCAAAAATACATGCATGTTGTAACTACAATGAGTGTCAGATGGATTTTATTATATTTTTAGATATTTTTAGATATTAAATTTTGTTCTGTAGCTTTAAGTCAATTTAGTCAGTGTGGTTTAGGTCAGGCCATTATGTTTGTTTGTACTAGCATCACCTTCATACTGTACTGAGAACAGAAATATATACATTAGTTTCGGAATTTACCGAGATGAAAAAAAAACAACTCATGTCTGCAATCCCTCAGCTACCAATCTTCACCCGCCATCTCATGCACACTTTCTTTTATCTGCAGGAGACGTGGAGAACATCACCAGCCTGATCCACCACCACGTCCCAGAGGCAAAGCTCATAGAGACGATCGGGCAGGAGCTGACCTACCTCCTGCCCAATAAGAACTTCAAACACCGCGCTTATGCCAGCCTCTTCAGAGAGCTGGAGGAAACACTCACAGACATGGGCCTCAGCAGCTTCGGCATCTCAGACACGTCGCTCGAGGAGGTAAAGGATTACACTTGGCAAAGCTGGGGTATCTGACAAGGATTACACTTGGCAAAGCTGGGGTATCTGATTTTGAAACCACACAAACAGAAATATATACTGTATATATACAATAGTTTTGCTTATATCACTAGTTTTCGCATGCATGTATCAGCATTTTCAGACAGGAAAGTGAAAATCAGAGGACCACCCTCACTCAGTCAATCATCTCTCAGCCCAAAGCGTCAAATTGTGACTATGCAAAAGATTACATTCATTCTAACAAGATGAAGACTGCATGTAGTTGTTATTACTGTAAATGTCAATCTTTTACAAGACTATTTCTGTTGGGACAAAAAGTACTGTTTATGGAAGAAGTTTGATTAAAAAAAATAAAAAAGTTGGGTATCTTTAAGATACGGTACAATATTTGTTAAGTTCAATGCGCTTGAACTTTCCTGTTTTTTTTTTTACACATTGAATATAGATAGATAGATATATACTTTATTGATCCCCGTAGGAGAAATTCAGGTGTCCAGTAGCAGCAAAAATAGAAAATAAAATTGATCAGTCTAAAAAGCTAACAATAGCAATAATCAGCAACAGCCCTTCAGGTCATAGCAGCAGAGGTGGAGTAGCCTCTGGGTGGAGCAGGACAGGTCACAAGATGGAGTAGCCGCTTGGTTCAGACCATTTTCTCTGCTCTAGTCCAAAGTTAGAATTCCTCCAGTGGATTTTCACCTGATCCGCTTGGTTCAGACCATGAATCCTCTCCGCTCCAGTCTGGACCAGTGTAAAACCATGAACACCGTACTGCAGCAATATCTCAGGTGAAAAAAGAAGAAAAAGGTGAAAAATTGTAAACCAGAACTGTTTCAGAGCTACTTAGTAACTGTTGTTTTCCAACGCATTCAAGTGTATATTTTCGTAACAAAATATACAATATACAAATGTGAGTTGCAATATTTTTTTTCCTATTAAAACACTGTACATCTACCTTTTTGTCAAATTTAATAAATTTTTGTCTAGGAATATATTATAATAGCAGTTGTCTCAGAGGGCTTTACAAAGTGGTTGATTCGTCAACAACAAATCCGAGGATCAAAATGTTCGAAGGAAATGCAATAGTAACAAACACATAGGAGCCAATGGTCCATAGGAAGTATATGACCAATGTCCATCAATGTTAATGTGCATTAATGCCCTTAAATACTGAAGACAGAAGACAGGCAAGTCTAATGTACCAAAAGGCAAGACGGAAAAAGAACGCCTTTCAAAGACGTTTGCACACATTATTAACTTCTTATCCCACTCAACAGTTCAAATCTTAAGATACTACTAAATAAGTTCAACGGTAGTAGAATCAGAAAAAACACATTTGCCTTAAACTTCATCTTTATCTCATGCACAAAACTAAGTTTTGTTATTAAGGGCACAATATGATTGAATGTTCATTTCTTAACAGATTTTCATAAAGGTCACCGCAGACGGAGAGGCTGCGAACAATGCCACAACAGCAGGTAAATGCATAGATGACTTCATACATGTGACCTTTTCTTCTGGACTTCAGTCAGTGATCCATTTGTAGAGTGGTCTATGTTTTTCCCTTTGTCTTGTCTTGTCAATGTATTTGCCAGGAATGTAATTATGGCAGCACAGCCTTTATTAAGTTGTCTCGGCCACAGAAAGAGCTCAGTCTTTCAGATTTGAAAGTAAAAGTAGTCCTAATAATTACATCCCTGGTGGTTGATGTTGTGTGCTGTGTCTTATTCCTTTTAGAACAGTGGATGTTACAGCACAGGAAAAGCAGCAGCAGAATGGGCTCCCAAAATGAAGGTACGAAAATAGATAAATAAATAAGAATTTCAGAGCAACGCCTTTATATTATTGTCATGTGTTTATAGGATGACCAGGATTGGTCATGCATCCTCAGGTGACATATTGTTATAGTTTAGACCAGGCATGGATAAACATTTCCTCCTTAGAGCCACATTGGAACATCAGCCTTCTGTTCGGGGGCTGGACCTTATTTCCAAATATTTTCCTCAAGCTTAGATTTTTGTATATTATGATATATATTATATTAATTATTACATTATATATCATAGCAGAGCAAGGAGTGCGAATGTGGACTGTAGCTCCAGAGCTCTGCATGCGGCACAGAAGGATTTCATTGTCATCATTCTATATTTATCTAAACGGAGGAGGGCTCAGGGGCCTGATAGAAGTGTTGAAAGGGCCGCATCTGGCCCACCACTTTTTTAGATTGAGGCAAAAGGTATTGATCCAGTAGATCACATATTTAGTACTATAACACATACTGTACACAACATTGTTGTAACATTGAAATGGATTAAAGTAGCAACAATATACAGTGGGACAAAAAAGTATTTAGTCAGCCACCGATTGTGCAAGTTCTCCCACTTAAAATAATGACAGAGGTCTGTCATTTTCATCATAGGTACACTTCAACTGTGAGGGACAGAATGTGAAAATAAAAATCCAGGAATTCACATTGTAGGATTTTTAAAGAATTTATTTGTAAATTATGGTGGAAAATAAGTATTTGGTCAATAACAGAAATTCAACTCAATGGAAGGAGGTTTTGGCTCAAAATCTCACGATACATGGCCCCATTCATTCTTTCCTTAACACGGATCAGTCGTCCTGTCCCCTTAGCAGAAAAACAGCCCCAAAGCATGACGTTTCCACCCCCATGCTTCACAGTAGGTATGGTGTTCTTGGGATGCAACTCAGTATTCTTCTTCCTCCAAACACGACGAGTTGAGTTTATACCAAACAGTTCTACTTTGGTTTCATCTGACCACATGACATTCTCCCAATCCTCTGCTGTATCATCCATGTGCTCTCTGACAAACTTCAGACGGGCCTGGACATGCACTGCTTCAGCAGGGGGACACGTCTGGCACTGCAGGATTTGATTCCCTGTCGTCGTAGTGTGTTACTGATGGTAACCTTTGTTACTTTGGTCCCAGCTCTCTGCAGGCCATTCACCAGGTCCCCCCGTGTGGTTGTGAGATTTTTGATCACCGTTTTCATGATCATGTTGACCCCACGGGATGAGATCTTGCGTGGAGCCCCAGGTTGAGGGGGATTATCAGTGGTTGAAATATCGTTTTGGGCAACATTTGGGCTGTCTTTTATACAGATAACGAGTTCAAACAGGTGCCATTAATACAGGTAACGAGTGGAGGACAGAAGAGCTTCTTAAAGAGGAAGTTACAGGTCTGTGAGAGCCAGAGATCTTCCTTGTTTGAAGTGACCAAATACTTATTTTCCACCATAATTTACAAATACATTTTTTTTAAATCCTACAATGTGAATTCCTGGATTTTTTTTTCACATTCTGTCTCTCACAGTTGAATTGTACCTATGATGAAAATTACAGTCCTTTGTCATTATTTTAAGTGGGAGAACTTGCACAATCGGTGGCTGACTAAATACTTTTTTGCCCAACTGTATGCATTGGTTAAGATATAAAAGCATGGTTGAATGATGACTATTTGAAGACTATTTTGAATTATGTTTTTTCCAACGTAACTACCACACAACATTAGTTAGCGCTGTAATATTCAGATTTAACTTAGTGATCTAAGTGATGAAATGCAGTCCAATGAAATGCCAAATCAGACAAAGCCTTCTTTTGTCAAAGCAGAGGGACTACACTTTCATATATATTTTTCCAAATAAAATCCATTTTGTTTGTCCCAACTGAAAGAGTTTTGCAAAAATAAAAAGGAAACCAGACCACAACATGCTGTCTTCATGTTATTCACTGTTTGACGCTCTGGGGGGAGAGCCCATTGCCTCTGATTTTCTTGGCTTTAAACAGTTTGTGCTGCTTGTGAACTTCCCAAAACCTCTACACTGATCCTTTTTCTCAATCCATGTCTTGGTGTTTGTTGTGGCAGAGCTCAACGGCGCAGGGTCGTCCCAGTCCACAGGCAGCAGCGCGGGGAAAGGCTCCAGACAGATCAAAGGCTTCTGGCTCGTCCTCAAACAGTTCTTTGCTCTGCTGATAAAGAGGTTTCACCACGCCACACGCAGCCGCAAAGACTTCATGGCTCAGGTAGAGGAGACTGTATCAAATTGCTTACATGTCAACAAGAAAATCTACTTTAGACCTAGTTCATGTCTGGTTCAGAACTTGTCTAGTCACAATGTTATAAAGACCTGGTTCCGACCTGTTCAGTCCTGGTCGCTCCCTGTTCTATGTCCATTGATTGCTTGCTCCTAAGTCTGAGAACAGATTAGGAAATGCATTTTAAATAACATAATTTTAAATAATACATCATAAATATTCAATTTTAAAAACTGTTAAGGCAGGGAAAGACAAGTTTATTCATATAGCACAACACATACAGGTTTATAGTTCTTTATAAACCGAGAAAGGAAATATTAAAGAAGACATATTATTCCTTATCATATTCTTCTTTGTGCATGAGCTGAGTAATTACTAAAATCCGTCAAATTGACTGCTCTGGGAGTTCTGTTACGTTCTGTTAAGTGTTGAGCTTTTATAACTATGGTGACCATTTTCTTTTTCAGATTGTACTTCCTGCCAGTTTTGTTTTGATCGCCTTAGTCTTCACCACCATCGTCCCGCCTTTTGGGGAGTATCCCGCTCTCACACTGAGCCCCTGGATGTATGGACCACAGTTTACATTTGTCAGGTAAACCATTGAAACTTAAAATAAAAAACCACAGAAAACAGGAAGCATGATGTGTTCTGCTTGTCTTCAGTAACGAGCAGCCCTTTGACCTGCGGATGAAGAAGTTCATGGATCGCCTGTTCAACCCTCCAGGACTGGGCACTCGCTGCATGATGGGAGAGCCAGGTCTCGGGTGAGTGTCGACAGGAAGTAGTAATAGTTTTGTACAGTGTTGGATTACATATTGGAATAGGTGTACTTGTAGTTTCAAATGTTTTAATGTTTAATTTTTTTAGTGGTAACTTTTTATACCTCTAGGTCTTAGTAATGTTAGCAGTATTTTCCATTGATTTCAATAGAAACTTTTTTTTTTTTTTTTTATCTGAATGGTGTTCAAACTCATCTTAGAATGCTTTGTTTGACTCTGCATCTTTTTCCACAGTAACTTTATTAACACATAAAGAGGCTTCAGTAATGTGTCTTTTACCAATTAAACACATGTGGTCTGGTTGCAGAATGTCCTGCAGCAACGTGACCACAGAGTGGGAATACCCGGAAATCTCTCCGGAAATGAGCGCTGTTTTTGAGAGCTACAACTGGACGTCCCTGGACCCTTCCCCCTCGTGTGAGTGCAGCAGCGGTGAGCGTTTGACCATGATGCCCGTGTGTCCCCTCGGAGCTGGAGGACCCCCCCCAAAGCAGCGTCTGGAGCGGACCGGAGACACCCTGCTTGACTTCACAGAGAGGAACATCTCTGATTATCTGGTGAAGACGTACCCCACCCTCATCCGCACCAGGTTTGAGCACCCTGCACAAAAATAAATGTATATACAGTATTTTATCACAAGCATAATCCCAATGTTGTTTTTCTTTTACAGTTTAAAGAGCAAATATTGGGTCAATGAGCAGAGGTAAGACTATAATAAAACTATACTGTCCGTAAGAATTCTGAAATTCTGAAACTCCCAGAGCAGTCATTTTTCTCCCATTTAAATCAGTTACATTCTAAAAAATCCACAAAAACATTATTTTGAACAAGGAAAACTATGGTTGTTATCTTTAATCTCTCTTAAAAACAGGTATATTTAAATTTTACTTTCAAATAAATGGAGCAGTAAAAATCTCTGGGAGTTAAAGATAGAACCACTGACATTTAGAGATGAAAAGATAAGTTGTGAAGACCAAAAAATGTACATAAGCTCAGTCACCTTAGCTCATATTTATGATTATGATGTTTGTCAGGTAAAATATAACTCCTGTGATTATTAATTTTCATTTTCATGAGATCGATCTTGTAATACTAATGTTGTATAACATGAAATACACTATTTAGGTACGGAGGTTTGTCAGTAGGAGGTCATCTTCCAATCCTGGATGTGAAGCCGAGTGACATGCAGGAGGCCTTCTCTCAGCTTGGACGAATTCTCAACATCACTGCAGTAATTATTCTCCTCTGTAAAGAAACATTCCACATTCATTCATATTTGTAACTTGTTTACTGCCTGTGACAGGGGCGGCACTCCAGACAGGCCCTGAGGAACATCGGGCCTTTCTTAAAATACATGGAGAGTGAATACAATGTGAAGGTAGGAGTTTTTCTCTCGAGGAAACTCAATAGAGGTTTGACATCTCTGTTATTACCGTAATTAAAGATGACCTGACCTCAGTTCATCAGTTCAGCAGCATGTGCAACAGTATAAGGCCATTCAGTTAAACAGTTAGACTGATTTAATTACTTTCCTCTACTTCCTTCTTCCATTGTGTGACAATTAAACCCTCCAGTTAGAAAGTTCAATGATTTGAGTTTTTAAGTTTCTATAGAGCAGTTAATGATAAATCATTTACTAAAGTAGTTGTCAATTATTAAAGTAACTCAACCGAGATTAAACTTAATTCAAAAGTCTTGTACTAATAGAACAGCCTTCTGAAAGACTGGAAATGCAGTCAATGACCTGTCATTGTTCAAATCTGTATCATTTCTTGTTGGTTTTTATAGCAAATATGTTGATGCCTCTTTGTCAGGACATCCTTGCAAAATAGATCTTTGAAGGGAATTTACCTGATAAAAAAAAAAAAAAAAAGATTAAAACAATTAGGGCGTTCATGACAGACCTGCCTTCCTTAAAAAAATCATGTGTGTTCCTACCGTTTTTCACATCTTCTCAACACCATCGAGAACATTTTTCGCTTTCAAAATAATATTTTTTTTTACAAAACATTGTAAGCTGCTCACCGGCTACATGCATAGACTTGCGCATGAGGGCAAGGGAAAACGGAACGCTAGATTGACAGTGAGATAATCAAATAATCTTCCGTGGTTTACGTGGTTTACGTGGTTTACACTGCAAATGGCAAATAAACTGAATCTTGACTCTTGAAATATCCTCTACCTCACTGGACACCAAAAGACAGTTATTTCAGGTTTGATATGTTACCGTTCGCGCTCTGGCTCCGACACATTCCACGCATGCTGCACATTTTCAGACGAGAGCCATAATTATCTCGTCAGCTTTGTGGTGACCCTGGCTCTGCTCCTGTCATAGGTCTGGTACAACAACAAAGGCTGGCACGCCATGGTGTCCTTCATGAACGTGGCCAACAACGCCATCCTGCGCGCATTCTTGCCGCCGCACGCCAATCCGGTGGAGTACGGCATCACAGCGATCAACCACCCCCTCAACCTCACCAAGGAGCAGCTGTCTGAGGTCACCGTGTGAGTGGGGGCTTTACAATCATGTTACATTTGTGCTGTGCTTTGGAAGGAGACGAAAAGACATGTTTTAGTACATATTACTCAACACTAGGACTTCCAGAATTCTGAAACTTCTAGGACTCCCAGAGCAGTCGTTTTGACGCTCTCAATCAAATCCATAGAATTCCTTTTTTTAAATAAACAGTTTAAGTATTTCTTTACCTTTAACAAAAATTAAGCAGCTTGCAGATTTTTTTAATCTTTAATACTGCTTAAACTACTGAATACTGTAAAACAGTTTCTTGAAAGGCCACCAAACGTGAACCTCTGCAACTAAACAGTGTGTTGCTATGGTAACTCTCACTTGCTCTTCTTGAGGGGAAAAACAAGCTGACTCAGCTCAGAATCAGAACCAGTCTTGGAGAGTCCAAAAATGGCTTTAGATTCAAATGAATGTAGCTGTGAATAAGACTGCTCTGAAAGCTAACGGTAGAACTACTGAACTTCAAAATCAAAAGTTAATTTAAATAAATACTTAGAAATAAATTCATTGTCACAAAAACCATAATTGTATAAGCAATAAGTAAGTAAGTAATATTTATTTATATAGTGCCTTTCACAGTCACAAAGTGCTTTATAATTGTTGGAGGATTTGTCTCTCACTCTACACAGATGGAAGTGAGATTGTGATACAGGAGGCGCATGCCAGACCTATTATACATGTTTTAGTGGTAGGGGAAACCGGAAACCTACATTGGGAAAACATACAAACTCCCTGTTCCGACCGGGATTCGGACCCTCTTGCTGAGAAGCGAAAATGCTATCCCTTGATACACTTTTTTTTAAATAACTGATTTGGGCAGTCACTAGGGTGTGGGTGGGGCATGGGGGGACTCACTTTCATTTTATGATTATTGTCTTTTTTCTCCAAGGTAAAAATAATAATTATAATCCGAAATATGTAATCAATAACTTTGTGGAATACTTTCAATAAATATACTTTTACACTGGTTTTGATGTCCTGCACATGCCTCTCCCCTCAGACTGAAGACCTCTGTGGACGCTGTGGTGGCCATCTGTGTGATCTTCGCCATGTCCTTTGTCCCGGCCAGTTTTGTCCTGTACCTCATCCAAGAGAGGGTCACTAAAGCCAAACACCTGCAGTTTGTGAGCGGGGTCAGCCCTGTGATCTACTGGGTCTCCAACTTCATCTGGGACATGGTATAAAGCAGCCATCGCCATGTTAAGAAGGAGAAAAGTTTTATTGTGAAAGTACCAACTTTATATGTTGTGTTCATGTTGAACAGTTTTACTTTAGTGGAGGGTAGGCGCCAATGTTAAAGCAGTTGTTTTAAAAGAATTGTTGAAAAAAGTAAACAATAATAAATAATCAGATCATTAAGTGATAGTGATTTGATTCTCACACCGGACACATAATTCTAGTTTCTGAAAGTCTTTTCTCCTGGCCGACATCACGCAAATGCCTTTTGTCACCACTCCTAGACACTTTTATGGATGAAAATAATTATTATGTAATGAACCATACCATAGTTGATATGGACTGATCAAGACCAGGTCGTACAGTATAATGTTTTTGTTTCATGTGGATTGGCTGGGGAATTACAGAGAATTTAGCCATTAACTAAGAAAGATACCAGATTTTTCACTGTCCGTAATTGTAACTAAAGTCTCTTTAGATTGTTGTGATGTCACATGAGCACAAGCTCGTTAAACTAGTCATGTCTTTTCTTTGTTGAAGTGGTTAGACACATAGGTTGACATGATAGGTTGAGTTGAGAAAAATATGTAAATGCTGTTTTAGGGACGTCCACACTTGTTGGTTTGGTTTACTTGGGGGAATAATGCTTCACAGATCTGTTTTAAAAGATGTAAATTGACTTAAGTGTAAATTAAGTGTAAACTGACTAAGGTGTTCCCTTGTGTGGTAGTTTAAAAATCCACAAATTTAGCAAGTTTGAATGTATCACACTAAATTACATAATTATTATGTATTTTCAACATGTCATCCTTTGTACTATCTTAACATTTTGATATCTCTGTTCAGGTGAACTACTGTCTGAGCACAGCAATGGTGATTGGGATCTTTATGATTTTCGACAAGAAATGTTACACTTCTCCAACAAACCTGCCTGCGCTGATAACTCTGCTGCTTCTCTACGGGTACATCATGTTTTCATTATTACCAAAGTTCATCAACTGCAGTGGTACCTCCATATATTGCTATTCACCTTTTGCAGCCTCAGGGTTTCGTCTCGTTCATTAAGCAGATTACTTACTATTGATAAAACTGGTGAAAAACTAAACATCTTTTTGGGGAATTTTTCTGAATGCCCTTGACATTCAGAAAAGAGCCATTGGCTCTGGGCGTTCCTAAGGTTAAGAAGTCTTGTACTTTAAAAGCATTGGCAGTTACTTTCAGAAACTTAGTTCCAAAGTTAAATGATGTGTGCCTTTTCCCTGCTTTAGTTCTGTAGGTAATTAAAGAGTTTTCTCTGCATTTTCTCTGCATATTTAAACGTTTCATATATTTTCCATATTCACACCTATCTTGACATAAAATACAGCTCAGCCATGAACAAAACAAAGCATGAAACTCCCAAATAATGCAATTAGTCTTATGGACACGTCGATGGTGTAGAGCTTCCTGTATATGATCTGGGTCACAGTCGATCCTGTGATTTTGAAATGTATTCAACACGTCAATGTTTATGATTGTATATATTTAATATCCATCCATCCATCCATTTTCTTCCCCTTAATCCATTTCTGGGTTGGGGGGTGGCAGTCAGAACTGCACCCAATTCAAAGAGCACCAGCCCCTCCCTCACTGATCCTCCTGCAGGTGGGGAGTCCACAGGAGGATGGCTGCTCTGTCAGTGACAACACAGTCTTGATCTTTCAGGGGGTCTTCAGGTAAAGTGGGGTTAAGTGTCTTGCTCAGGGACACAACAACAGCAGACAATGGGAGTCGGTGGAGGTCTTACGGTGGGCTTGAACCCACAAACTCCAGGTTCAAAGGTCAAGGCGCTTTGATTTTAATATACAATAATATAATTTATATTTGCCTGTGCCCTATTCAAGTTTAGTTACTTGTTTATTTGTCTTTGCTTAAAACATTGTATCTTTCTTTTCGACCTTAAATTAAACCTGGACTTTACTCCGTTGGTCCAGAGGTATTCAATGAGAATAAGTGTCATGTTATACTGTACAAGAGGGGTTATTCTAAGTAGAATCAATACTTTATTAAAGGACAAAAAGTGCTTTAGCAATAACCTTGAACCCCAGTCTAAAAACACAACCTTTTATTCAGTGGGGCAAAAAAGTATTGTGCAAGTCCTTCCACTTAAAAACATGAGAGATACCTGTCTCTCATCTTTCCATGTTTGAGACCACTGGTAAGTGCACTAGCCCTGCCCAGCTTCCTCTCTTATTTCTGGTTAACCACACTGAAACAATCAATTAAATGGTTTGGAACGATCAATAATAACAAAAATTGCAAATTATTTATTGAACCCATACTAAAGGATAAAATCATGGTTGTAGAAAGTCTGCTTTCACTGGCCATGTTCCAGCTTCTTCCCTGGCTGAAGATCTTTAAGATCCTTGACATCCTGATTTGTCAAGAACAACTTCTTTCCACAAACTTATCAGTTTTCACAAAGTACTTTAATGATCTGGCAATTAGTTTTCTTTGTTCTTGTACGTTTTAGTCTATTTCATTGATTGTCCTTGTCTGGTGCATAGTGAGGAACTTTTGCGTATGTATTCCAATGTGGTTTTACTGCAAATGGTAAATAAACGGAATCTGAATTCTAATCTAAGAGTGCTGTGTGCAGGTGGTCTGTGACGCCCATGATGTACCCCATGTCCTATCTGTTTAACGTCCCGAGCACGGCTTACGTCTCCCTGTCTTGCATCAACCTGTTCATCGGCATCAACAGCAGCGCCATCACCTTCGTCCTGGAGCTCTTTGAGAACAACAGGGTGAGAAACAAGTCATCAGTTCTGCAGAATCACAATCATCATAATCAAAAACAGTCATTGCTATGTTAACAATTTCCCACCAAACATCGAAGCTTGTATTGTGTAACGCTTTGTGCTTTTCCAGTCTCTGCTGGCGTTCAACGAGTGGCTGAAGAGATTTCTGCTGGTTTTCCCTCACTTCTGTCTGGGCCGCGGGTTGATCGACATGGCCATGAACCAGGCCGTCACCGAGGTCTACGCCAGATTTGGTAAAGAAGTTCATCCAATCAGAACCATTATTTTTACCATTATTAACAAGACAAATTGCAAAGAAATCTAAGCTTTTCAGATTGTCAAATTTGAAAACAAAAAAACAAGTTAAACTCCCTCCAGTTATATTTTATAGAATTTTATTTGATGTGGGACAGTGCAACTGATAAGTTTGTTAATTATGTATTTCTGTGTTCTAAGGGGAGGAGCACAGGGCCGACCCGTTCAGATGGGACTTTGTGGGAAAAAACATGACTTTCATGGCAGTGGAAGGATTCTTTTACTTTGCCCTCAATCTGCTCATTCAGTACCGCTTCTTCATGGAGCACTGGTAAGGCACATAGGAATGATAAAACAAAAATATTCATGAATCATTGTATATAATTCAGACAATGTAGTTATTGGGGAATTGAATATACAGTCTTAACACGTAAAAAAAAAACTACAAAAAAACATTGTGGTTCTCCTTTTAGGCCAGTCTATAGCCCTATTCGCACAGGATTAGTATTACCTGTGGACCCCTGGTAATTTGTGATAATCACGGAAGACGTCTGAGATCTTGCAGTGCATTCACACGGGATTAGCAATGTCTGTAAAATACTATATTTTCTCTGACTACTCACATAACGGCCGCATGTGCGCTTCACGCAGCCCTTAAAGTCTGGCGTCTGACCACAGAGACCATGAGGACAAACACATACTGTAAATGTCTGCTCTACAGTTCTCTACACAGCTGCGATACGCGACTCCTCTGCTCATTGACAAAAAGCAACGCAGAAAGTAAAGCGGAAGTGGCAATAGAAATCACAATTTCTGACAAGCAGATTTGCATGGGATTAGCGTTATCACAGGACGTCTGAGTTTGGACAAATACAGGAGGTAATTTGTGGCGGAATCATTACTTTACAAATTACAGACATGGCGCATTCGCACTGGATTAAGATCTCAGACGTCCTCAGCGATTATCACAAATGACCAGAGGTCCTTTTCGACCTTAAATTAAACCTGGACTTTACTCCGTTGGTCCAGAGGTATTCAATGAGAATAAGTGTCATGTTATACTGTACAAGAGGGGTTATTCTAAGTAGAATCAATACTTTATTAAAGGACAAAAAGTGCTTTAGCAATAACCTTGAACCCCAGTCTAAAAACACAACCTTTTATTCAGTGGGGCAAAAAAGTATTGTGCAAGTCCTTCCACTTAAAAACATGAGAGATACCTGTCTCTCATCTTTCCATGTTTGAGACCACTGGTAAGTGCACTAGCCCTGCCCAGCTTCCTCTCTTATTTCTGGTTAACCACACTGAAACAATCAATTAAATGGTTTGGAACGATCAATAATAACAAAAGCGGAAGTGGCAATAGAAATCACAATTTCTGACAAGCAGATTTGCATGGGATTAGTGTTATCACAGGACGTCTGAGTTTGGACAAATACAGGAGGTAATTTGTGGCGGAATCATTACTTTACAAATTACAGACATGGCGCATTCGCACTGGATTAAGATCTCAGACGTCCTCAGCGATTATCACAAATGACCAGAGGTCCAAAGGTAATACTATTCCCGTGCGAATATGGCTTATGACTTGTTTTTGTATTCTCAAATACAATAAATTCACAATAAAAAATAAACATAACTAACATGTACACATAAACGCACAGGTCAAAGGCAAAAACTAAAATTAAATATTAAAATCGACTGGTTTACAACAACAGTTACAACAAATACAGCATTATTCATTTTCCTTAATTTTCTTTCCTTGTAGGTTACCAGTGAGCCAGAACAAATCTCCCGTCATCGATCACGACGACGACGTGGCAGAAGAGAGGCGGAGGATTTACGAAGGCGGCAGCAAGTCAGACGTCCTGCAAATCAAAGACCTCTCTAAGGTTTTACTTATGCATTACATTTATTTACTGCACTCGCAAAAGATTGCGTTATTACCCAACTTTTAAGATTTATTTTGTTTTTTTGATTTAGAAAATATATTCCTTCATTAGAGTAATGAAGCTTTTTCATTTTAAATGCACAATCAGAAAGAGACCTGTGTGAGAGACTAGAAAGAGAGAGACCAGAGAGAGTTTGGAAGTTACATACACCATTTACATTGATTCATCCATCCATCCATCTATTTTCTTCCCCTTTTAAAGGGGAAAAAAATGACCCATTTCTGGGTCAGGGTGGGGGTGTCAATCAGCGGCCACTCAATCCACTGAGCATCAGCCCCTCTTTAGTGTAATACAGTTTATTCATTTGAAATGCAACACGTCTGTATTGGCAGATGGAAGTTTTTTTTAATTTTTCTGGGTATATTCACTCAGCCCAAATGTTGCCATTGTCCCATTTTTTCTTACGTCCCCCCAAGCCCCTGTTTGCCCTTGGTTACTGGGAGGTATTTATTTGAATACATTGTTGAACAACAAAGGCATTGTGATGTTTCTCATATTCATATTGGTTTTTATTTATGAATTTGTGAATAAAGCAAATATACTGTATGTATTTTAATAAATACACACATTGTTGTTTGATTAGAGCATATATTATATATATATATAATTATTCGCAAACTTGGAGATGCATTTCCTCTGTGTTTAACATCTGTTTCCTTTTGTTGTGTGTGCACAGACCTACATGGGCAGGCAGAGGGCAGCGGTGGACCGGATTTGTGTAGGAGTTCCAGCAGGAGAGGTGCGAACCAGCTCAGAGACTATTTTATTACATAGTTTGGAGACTGATCTGGGTAATGCAAATGATATGGCCTGGACACATTTAATTTTGTCATGGGAGTTTTGAATGGACAGGAGCAATATAAGAAAATGAACTTTAAGATAGAGGCTTTGAGACAGATATTTATGACTACTATGTGGGATTAGAATTAGTGTTTTAAAATGCTTTGTAATATAGTCATACATTTCAAATCAAATTGACCTATTTCATACTATTGATAAGACACTGACAATGGAATGACAATGACAAAATTGAATTAATGCTGAGGTAGATGTTTGTTTCCTAAACACATGTACACGGCCATGTTTTATGTTCCATTCAATTCCATTCAATTTATTTTTGTTTATCCCGAAATCACAACAACAGTCACCTCCAAGGACTTTTCAAAGTTGTTAATTCGACAATGACAGATCAGAAGATCAAACCTATCCAACAGAAGAAAAAAATGCTGTAATAATAAATACAAAGGAGCCATTGGTCTATAGGGAGAGGGAATACCAATGTTCCGCTCCGTATTTTGTGAACAAATCAGACCACAACACACTGTTTTCAACTTATTAGAGAACAACAATATATTTCATGTGCAGAGTTGATTGAGGGTGGTCCACTCTTATTCAGCACTGTACATTACAGTGGGGTCTTGGACTCAAACATGTTATTCTAAGGCTTTAGCTGTCTTCAATTGATAAAAACCCCAAAGAATCTGCCAATTTCACTCAATATTTAGAGTTTAGACAAAACTACAAACATGTTAAAACTAGCGATAGAACAAAACAAGTGACATGGATGTTATTACAGTATTCATGTTTTGTGGTTTCAAAGTTAGGTACTCCAGCTTTAAAAGTTTAACAGATTATTAACCTGGACACCAACAATGCATTTGGAATTTGTGTGACGTAAACGGTGCTGTTTCTGGTGCAGTGTTTTGGTTTGCTGGGAGTGAACGGAGCGGGAAAAACCACAACCTTCAAAATGCTGACGGGCGACACAGACGTGAGCTCAGGGGAGGCCTCTGTGGCAGGATACAGGTATTACACCCTCCTCACGTCCAGGACAATCATCGCCTTAGTTTATTTTAGACAGGCATAAAACAAATATTTTACAAATGTCCAAATCTAAGACTGATGACCCAAATTCATGAGTATTAAAATATTTTAATAATCAATTCAACGTTTTTCATAGACTTAAACATACCGAGAAAAGGTTTTATAACTCAAATAATTCTAAAATGACTGCAGAAGGAAATAAACTGTGTTTAAAAAGTGTTTAAAAGTATTTTTAAACAAATCAATGCGTAAGTGCTCTGCATAACATTTTCTTCAGGGGCATCTTGAGCTTTGTTTTGGTCAAATGTATAAAAACCCCATATTTACTGACCTTTCAGAATATTTGATAACTAATTGATACATCGAAAGGACAATCGGCCAACATTTCCAATTTACAGTTGTAAAATGTTGTATAAATACCGATGTTTACTTTTCAATTTAAATCGAAAGGAGTCACAGAGAGTCGGAGCAAGACTTTGTCCATGAGCACTTCCCTACTGAACTTCATTGAGCTGGCGGAATATTATTGTTCATCTCTATAGAGTCAATGGTTCAAAGTTAAGAACGATATTAAATTTAATGTCTTACAGATTCTTGTGTGTGTGTTTTTGTTGACTATTTTCTGGAGAAATTAGTTCATTAAAACTAATCTCCCAGCCTGCATCACTGTCATGCCCCCTTCATGGGAGTCTTGTGTGTGGTTTTCTCAGCATCGTGACTCAGATCCTGGACGTGCACCAGAACATGGGCTACTGTCCGCAGTTTGATGCCATCGATGATCTTCTGACAGGACGGGAGCATCTGTACCTGTACGCCCGGCTCCGAGGAGTCCCCGAGTCCGAGATCCCCCGAGTGAGTCCTCCATCATCATCTGTACAGTCCATCACTAACGAATCAAAGTCACAGTTTTAGTGGCCGCATATAGCACGTTTAGACTGCAATTATTCTGACAGTCACCAAATCATCTTAGTGTATAAACTGTACATCCCGTAAGCCCTGGCCAATCGCAGCTCTTTGCACATTTTTATAATGCCCTCTGCCACTAAACCAAGACATCGTAAATAAAAGCCAAGCCAAGTTTAGAACCTCTACAGATCAGCCTTTGACTTGATTTTTAATGTTTGTTTTTGACTCTGTCTCAAAATTCCATATGCGGTGTTGATAAAGAATCAGAATCAGAATCATTTTTATTGCCACGTAAGTAACAGGAAGTCACAGACTTGGAAATTGCTTTGGCTCGGTGCAACAGTCAGAAAGCTCGTGGCAAACATGTTGTGGTGGCCAGTGCGGGTCTTGCCCGTCTCCCGGCTTCTCCCCCGCGTCTCCTCCTGTATTTTCCCTTGTATTAGTAATGCGTGTTGGTTGGCTGCAAAAGTAAAATGTTGGGCACAAATCAAATAGAACAAACCACAACAGGCCGTCTTGTTTTTATTTTTACTAAAGAAAGAGCTATGTGAAACATAATTTGACTTTTTGGGTTGAAAGTGGATTTTTTTCCCACACAAAAATATTTGTTTTTATATTATCATTGTTGTATATTTTTTTCATGATTCTATTGAAGGTTTATAATAATACACATTCCATTCCCATTGAAAGCCACCGGTGTCCGTTTTCAAATTCGTTTGGAATTATGTATCTATCTGCTACAGAAGTAGCTTTCAAAACTATAGTAGACGTTGAATTTTAGGAAAACTTTTAGCATTTTATTGGGTGATATTAAAATCAGCCATAGGTTTTACAGGTATGCTTTACCAGGCGTTTTAGGCCTAAATTAGCCCGGTCGTACCACACCAAAGTACAAATTACATTTCGTACTAAGGTCTGGAAGGGCTCCATTGAGCTCCGTTAACTGGACCTAGACGTTACATGCAGGGAAATGATGATTGAGCGGAGTGTACGGAGGGCTAAGGCCAGGCTAGGCCTAACCAAAACGTTTGGACATTCCTGGTTTAGAGCTCTGAAGGTTGGTAAAAACAAGGATCATTGCAAATGTAACAAAAACATCAACAAAAACAAAAGGCCAATGATGGCTTAATTCTTTCATCAGAAAGAGACTTGCAAAATGTAAAAAACCTTTTCAAACACATCTTGTCATACCTGCTGTTCTAACTCAAGAAAACTACCCACAATTTTGTGGCAAATGCAATAATAACAAAAATGTGTACCTTTCACCCTGTGGTCTAATTTGTCCTGTAGGTGGCGGAGTGGGGGATTGAGAAGCTGGGTTTGAATGAGTACGCAGATCGCAGCGCAGGGACCTACAGCGGAGGAAACAAGAGGAAACTGTCCACAGCCATCGCCATGATCGGCTGTCCCGCCCTGGTGCTGTTGGTGAGGACTGCTTTTCTGTATGTTGGAAAAACCTCAGGTAGATATATTACATTTAATTAAAGCTGAGGTAGCCAACTTTTTTTTTTTCTTAACAATATTTAAGCAAATCAGACTGTGTTCATCTAATGTTATCTTTTGCATACTTGCAAGAAAGAGCCCTTTGAGTCACTAATTGACGGAGGTCCTTTCTTTTTCTCTTTTTTGTCTGAAAAATCTGATCTAAATAGGTCACAGAGGCCAGAAATAATGTGAATGTATGTGACAACTAGTGATAGAAGCTTATCATGTTTCTTAATTGTTTGTTGTTTGAAAGTTAGGTACCACGGCTTCATTTCATTTTTTAAAGGCCTGTTGAATATTTCAGAATATGGAATATGTTTCTGTTAACTTGTTACTATAGAAACAATGCCTTTTCATATTTCCTTGATAATTCAATTACAATTTCAAAATACATGGTTAGCCCTAAATCACAAAAACAGTCATCTTGGAGGACTTAACAAAGTTGTCTATTCATCAACAACACATCACAGAATCACACAGGAAATAAAGTAATAACAAGCACATGGGAGCCATTGGCACTGTACAGAGAGCCGGATGACCATTATCCATGAAAGATTATTAATGATAATTAATGTCCCTAAATGTCTCAGATCATCGCTATCCTTTGACCCTCCTGCCACAGATAGCACTCACTTTTTGGAAATGCCCAAGCCCCATATAAATTCACGCACAAGACTGAATTTGTGAGCAATAAACCTCTTGATCGATTAGTGCAATAGTGTGGGTCATTTCAACTTCATGGAGACAAGCAGGAGGCAGAGCCGTGGCAAGGACTCTACATTACCTTCAGCTTTAAACAGATTTATCAATGAAGTGGTGGCTGCTGCAGATGGAGCACCATATGTGTGCAGCGAGGCCTGACCGTGTTCTAATCCACTGGCTCACTCTCAGCGGCTCTATTCAAACTGGCATCAGACGCACATCCGTATGCTAACGCTCATACAGGTGCCAGAGGAGACACACACTGGGAACATTTTCAAGCTAATTTGACACACTGTTCTTAATATGTGTAGTGTGTCGTAATGAACCCGGTGGCATATGTGTGTTTGTTTGTTTGTTAAGGATGAGCCCACGACGGGGATGGACCCTCACTCCAAACGCTTTCTGTGGAACGCCATCATGAGTGTGATCCAGGACGGGAGAGCAGTGGTGCTGACGTCCCACAGGTAAAAGAACACTCCATTTTATAACCATATTTCTGGAATTAGTATTAATGTGATTATTATCAAAGAATACATATCATGCATTCGTAACCTTAATGAGACTATTTACGAGTAGAAAGTAAATTAAATTAAAAATAAATTGAATTGAAGTGCCTGGTATTAGCAAACATGGAACAACTCCAGGGCTTATTCTCGCCAGGGAACAATGTTGTAAAATGTCGCTTGTGAGGCATTTCCAGTTTGTTTTCACCATATATTCAGGCACATAGTGAAGAGTATTTTAGTGTTTTGACAGGTTTGACTTGACTTTCCCTAAAATGCAGCCAAGATTATTGTTATCTACCGTGTGTTTGTTGTTTTCAGCATGGAGGAGTGTGAAGCCTTGTGCACTCGTCTGGCCATCATGGTCAACGGCACCTTCAAATGTCTGGGCACGATCCAGCACCTCAAGTACAAGTAAGAGTGTTTCTGTGGAGAGAAGCCTTATTCAAAAGTGCCTCTGTGAATTTGCATAAGTTTGTCTTTCTGTGTGTTAGCAGAGCATGTGCTTCCCAGATAATGAATAAGCTGCAGAACCCAGAAATTTGTAGTTTACGTTTGGAGATGCTTATACAACAGTTGAAATACATACACAATGTGACGCTTCTAGTTTTTATAATCTTCTGTTTAATCTTCTATTTACACAGACCTCTTCACAGATCTTGTTTAGTTTTTAAACGTGTCTATTTTACATTGAAAAACCTGCAGTTTTGCTCAACTACATTGAAATCAGGTGAAAAGGCTTTCATTCTTGGGTATTCTTGGGTATTTCTTCTCCCCAAAAGTAGTTGCATTAGTAACTAGGGTTAGCCCTAACCCTAGCTAAGGTCACCATGGACTCAAATATACAATCCACTCAAATATACAATCCAGTGTTAATGTGTATGTCATTGTCAGCTTTATTTACATTGCAACACCAGCTGCCTAAAGTGCTTCAATTGCAGAAAAGAAAAAAATGAAATACACACAATTACATGTAAACAGTTGAAGCCCATTAGTGTTAAAAGATAATTTAATCTCTCAATCATTCCACTACAACTTTAGAAGCACAAACAAGCAGATGCGCTGCAGGAGCTGATATTTTTTATCAAAACAAAAGGTTCAGCCTGAAAGACAAGAAGAACTAAGCTCACCGCGCTTAGTTGGGTTGCAACTGGTTGCAGTTGCCGTGAGAGCAACTGCAACCAGTCTCTCACTCTTGGCTGGCAGCTCCGTCCTGCAATTCTCACCTGGCTGCATTTAAGCATTGCCTTCCATCGAGATTTTATATCCTGCAGGAAGCTTTCCCTCATGCAGCAACCCTCCTACTCCCTATCATCACCACAACAGCCAGAACAGCTCGTTCACCCTTCTCATAGCTACTACCACCAGGATCTAGGCCCCAAGGGATTTCATCGAATCATTTCTACTTCCATTTCCCCTTTTGCAATTCTCATGCAGTGCCCTACCAGGTTCTAAGCGCCAAATCTTAACCACATTTTATGTACAGCATGCAACAAATGTAATCTTGTAAACATCGTCTTCAGAGTTGTATGTGCTAATTTATGTAGTGTCAGATACATTGCCAACCAATATTTTAAATTCTACACAAAACCCCCTGTTTTGTGTGTTTGAGTCTTCCCAAATTTAACTGACATATGCCCTTATGCCCACGAACAGATACATTGCAGAAGATAATTGAACGGCTTCGGTCCTGGCCATGTTTCCTTATGATCTATGAACTCCAAACTGCTTTTACTATTGCTAAAAGTTTGAGGTCCTCATGGAATGACCAATGACAAAAAGGAATGGGCCGCTTCTTCTGATTAGTCCACTGTAATGTCAATCAGTTTCAATGTCAATTTATTGGTATATTTGTCTGCCCATGTGCAAGGGGGTCATCTGAAGTTCCCCTCTCTGTCCGAAAAAGATGATCTAAGGCTGTGATATAGAAAAATTCATGTACAAATTAGAGATGTACCAAAAAGTTTCAAAAATTAAAAAACACCTAATTTTCAAGATATCTTTCCCCATCAGAAGAGCACCAGCTTCTAACAACTTTTGAGTCCCTGAGCACTCATTCTAACCTTTTGTCGTTTGTTAAATTAGAATGATCAAAGAATAATTTGACCATCACGGTCCATCACATGCACTGGTTGTATTTCTCTCTCAGGTTTGGAGAAGGGTATGTTGTGACCATGAAGATAAAGGCAGCTAAAGCGGGTCAGAGCCCGGAGCTGGGGCCGGTGGAGAGCTTCATGGACAGCAGTTTTCCCGGCTGTGTGCAGAGGGAGAAGCACTACAACACTCTTCAGTACGAGATCAGCTCCTCGTCTCTCGCTCGCATCTTTCAGCTCGTCGTCTCCAACAAAGAGCGTCTCAGCATCGAGGACTACTCTGTGTCACAGACCACACTGGACCAAGTGAGAGCACTACTGCTAAACAAAGTTATTACGTAAAAGCACAAGTTTAATGTGAATTTATAACAAGTCAGATTTCTATAACTTGATCAAAATAAACCCGGTTTTATCTTAATCATTATCATAGAAATGATTATCAAAGACGGCGCAGCTTTGATAGAATCACACTCAGATTTAAACATCAATTATGAATGAATACAAACTATACAGGACCAAAACAAATGATAATACACTTCTATACAATTTAATTTATTTTTGTAGGCCTACAGTAAATTACAGCAGTTATTTTAGAGGAATTGGTCGATTCACCAACACAGATTAGAGAATCAAACTCAGTTCAACCTCAGGAATTGCAATAATACCAAATACATAGAGCCAATGTATGTAATTGATTAGATTAATCACATGACCGGGTGACAGGTATCTGCGCTGAGGAGAGCGGGTGTTACTTGGCAAAGATTTATGTTTACAGCACTGCTGTTTATAAATACACACTGTCCCAACACTGTCTCAAATAAAACAAATACAATTGAAAAAAAAAAAAAAAACGTAAGCACTGAATTGGGCCAGTTAAAGTGAACCAGTCAAACAAGTGAAAAGCCAATACTCTTTTTTTCTCAGTGTGCCCCAGGGCAGCTGTGGCTACAGTAGTAGTTTATCACCACTGTGTATGGAGTAAATGAATAATGACATGTTTGTTTTGTTTTTATTCAGATCCCCATTAGCTACTGAAAGAAACAGTCGCTAGTCTTCCTGGGGTCGATATACTCCATGTCACACAATATAACATACAAAGGACAAAAAATAATGCACAAAAAAAATGCTTCTGTCATTCATGTGAAGCATCTTTGAGTGTCCAAAAAAACGCTATATAAAGCCAATGCATTATTATTATTTTTACTTTAAAAAGGTCTGATCTATTGTTTGACTGATATATTGGTTGATCTTACAACATTGTTTTCCTCTGGTCTGCAATTTCCTACTTCATCCTGATCATGTTCATAAAATCTTCACTGAGGAATTCATAGATTATTCCAAAGATGAAGGTTATCAAGCTACATCGCTGGGAACGTTTTTGATCAGATAAGATAGTTTGTTTATTCGTTCACAAAGGGAAAATTTTATTCCAAAAAGTGTAATTTAATGCATGGCAATAACAGTTCATCTAAACACATAATTACACAACAGATTCTTACAGCTGTCTGCCATAACTTTTTAATATCCAAAGTGTGGTTTTGCTGGAGACTTGAGCATGTCTGTTTGTTTATTTCTATCCTCGGGTGTCTTGCAGGTGTTCGTAAACTTTGCCAAGCAGCAGACTGGAGAAGATGAAGACACTAGACGAACAGCTGCAGGGAGGAAAGACATCAAAATATGTCCCACGAAACGGAAAACATGAGCCTGACATAACGACTCTGAGACGCACACAATAAACTCGCCACATTTACTCTTCTGATAGACTTGCGTGTTAGCCCTGCGCCTGGATGTAAATAATATGGAGATCTGCCATGTATGTCATTTTTATCGATGCACTTTAGAAGCTCAGTCTTGCATTTTTTTTTACATTAACAGAATTTTCCACAAGATATCTGTATTTTGTAAATGCATTTCTATCATATGTCTGCAACTCATTCTCATGTCTGATTCCCAAATTTTGTTTTTCACTAGGCTTTTTTCCCCTCTGTGTTTTGACACATGTTGAACTATGAGTGTCGACCCGGGACAACAGGATCGTGTCATAATTAAAGGCTCAACCAAACAGACGTTCAAGCTTCAGTCTTCGAACTTCCAATATTAGTATTTTAAAGTCAATGCAGAGTGTACCCAGGATCCTAGGGATTCGCTTTGGCATCTATGTGGAGCAATATAACTATTTTCAAACATATTTTTACGAGGAAAAACTGTGGATACAAAAGCCCAAACTTTGATGGTTGGAGCTTCTCTTGTGCAATGTGTTGTCCCTCATAGTTGTATAACCATAAAAGACTAGAAAACTCTTAATGAACTAAATTACAGTTATTTTTGATACTGTTGTATCTTCTATCATGCAGAAGAAGTTTCCTTCTCTAACCTACATAGGAATGCACTCTGGATTATGTATTAAGAAGGTTTAGTGACATACAACAGAACACATCTGTACCACAGATGTAAACCGCTTTGAGACTCCGATGTGCAGTGAAAAGGCGGTATATAAATAAAGATTACTTACTTACTTACTTACATCAGTCCAATTCAGGCTTAACATCAACCTGGGTCTAACAAAAAATTCACACCTGGAATTGTTGAATTTTCAGTATAAGAAAGTGGGGGGCCATCTTTGCAGTCTGGCTTCATGCCAGTAGATCTCCCAGTAAAACTCATATTGAGCGAATTCTTTTCAAACCAAGTCTATTGGTTTGAGCTTTTTAAAAAGGTTTTCTAAAACCGACGCCATTTTGTTCCAGCACAGATTGACCATGGTTCCATGCACCACAACAGCAGTACCAGCGGAGTTTGATCACTGCACCATTCACTGGCGCATCCTGTAGGGGGCGCTGAAAGGACGTTTATTGCTGTTGTTCTGCAGAGAGAGGCCCCCGCAGCTCTAGACCCGCTCCATAACTGGAAGTCCATTACCTTGTATTGGGAGAATGAACCATGAACTGTTCATTTCTACACCTTCGAGGGCTCACACTGAACACACCTCTGTAAAAATATTAGGTCACAAGGCGGGTTAAATGCCAGGTTGTTTTGACACAACTGCCCATGGTGCTCTATGTGAAAGGAAAGAGTGCTGTGGAGTTTCTGATCAAAATCCCAGTGTTTTTTCTCAGTGGGAATGATGCTACAGTAACAATGTCTTTTTGCGGGTTAGCCTGTACTATACAGGCTTTGTAGCACTTTTCTTCCATCTTGCATGGCGCCTACAGCTGTCTTCCAATCGCCCGGATGAGACGGACTGAAGTTATGGGAAACTTGGACATAAATCTCTTATAAAATATAAAGCAAAACTTATACAACAAAATGATCAGTCAGTTTCTCTGCAGCATTGCTTATCATCATAGTCTGGCTTTCACAAAGTTTAGGTCACCCTGTGAAAAGAATGCACTATTTCATGTTCTGTTTACTCTTGCTTTATCTTTCCACCTTTTATTTATGTCTGCCATACATTATACAGCTTCTGCCACATTATTTCACATTGTACTGTGTTTTCACCTCTTTTTGAGTTCACTTTGTAAGCACTCTCCTGATTCTCCTAGACTGGCACATTTTGTTTATGCAGCTTAATTAAAACTCTTTTTTCAAGAACAGATTGTGCATACTGTGGTGATATGATGTTGTTCATGAACCGCAAAAGTATGAAAGCTTGCAGCGAGCTAATAATGACAATCATGGCCACTGGTTATCTCATGCAAGTGCTAAATGTGTTTATTCATTTGCCTATGACTATCATGAATTTGAAATACCATCAGTATATCTACATATGTTTCTCTTTTCACCAACAGATACAAACATTAACATTTACGCTGTAGACAGTAAGTGGTTTGTGGATATTACCTGAGGGCACTGAACCCTTTCATAGGATGTGAATACATTCCTCTTATTAGACTATGAAATGCTAAGCCTGTAACCTGTAGGAGCTTTGGTACAATCTCTGCTCAGACCACTGCCTTTGCTACCTGGATACAGTGGTAGAAAATGTATGAATGATAAGTACTTTATTTTATTTTAGTTTCTTCTCTTAAAGCTGGGATAACTAACCTTCATACCACAAACAACGTAACTACAAGTGAAACTGAAAACTCAAATAATATTGTTTAAAAAGTTATTCACAATGTGAAACTAGCATTAGACTGATTACAAGCAAAATCAGATGAGACAGACATTATTGATCTGACACAGGAGAAATTTACATGTCACATCTGGCATGGATAGAAACACTCAAGATTTGTGCAAAGAAAGAAGTGTGCAAACGTGTTGATGCAGGATATATTATGTACAATAAAAAAGTGGCAATTAGAGAAACAAAAGTAGTGCAGGTTTTTCCGTCCTAGTGCAAGTGACTTAAAGTGACTTATTGTACAGTCTGACAGCAGTGGGGATAAAGGCCCTGCGGTAGCGCTCCTTCTTGCACTGTGGGTGTCTCAGTCTTCCACTGAAGGAGCTCCTCAGCTCCTCTACAGTCCTGTGCAGTGGGTGGGAGGTATTGTTCATGATGAGGTGACTTTGACTAGCACCCTCCTGTCCCTCACCTCCTCCACAGAGTCCAGAGAGCAACCCAGAGTGGAGCTGGCCCTCCTGATCAGCTTGTTCAGTCTACTCCTGTCCGGCTCTGTGCTGCCGGGGCCCAGCCAGTGGGGGCGGGTCCCGGCTCAAAAGTGGCCAAAATTATGTGTTTTTACAGTCTATGGGCCCAGCACACGGCAGTGTAGTATATGGCAGAGGCTACCACAGAGTCATAAAAAGTCCTGAGCAGAGGCCTGCTCTCTCCAAAGTACCTCAGCCTCCTCAGAAGGAAGAGGCGACTTTGGCCCTTCTTGTGCAGGGCGTTTGTATTATGGGACCAGTCCAGTTTATTGTTAATGTGAACACCCAGGTACTTGAGGCTGTCCACCAGCTCAATGTCCTCCCCCTGGATGTTCAGCAGCGTGTGGGAAAGTGGTTTTCTCCTGAAATTGATGATCATCTCCTTGGTCTTACTGGTGTTCAAGCACAAGTGGTTGCGCTCACACCAGTCGACAAAGTCCGTGATAACCGACCGATATTCCAGTTCGTTCCCCTCAGACACACAGCCCACGATGGTGGAGTCGTCAGAGAACTTCTGCAGGTGACAGCTGTGTGTGTCGTGTGTGAAGCAACATACAACGAGCAACATGTATTTGTTATAATGTTGACCATTGGCTCACAGCTTGTAAAAATACCCTAAATGAAAGTTAGAATATTATTGGTGGACTTTACAGAGTTGATTCACCAACAACAGAATCACAGGAAATGAAATGCATTGGTTCATAGCGAGCAGGATGACCACTGTTCATAAATGTTAATAAAGATAAATAGACCTGTATTGTCCCCTGAGGGAAATTAATTTCCATAGAGGAAGGAATTTACAATACACACAAAAAAACACAGCCAGAAACACATGCAATACATGGACAGGATTACAGTTATTAAAGACATGTAGTGAACAATAATGTTTTCTAATACGATGAAGACAGAATGACATGCTCTGATGTGTCCACAAAACATTACTTAAACACAACTCTTTATGTTGGGACTATCAGCAAGTCTAGTTTATGAAACAAAAAATGTAGGTACCTGAGCTTTAACTAGAGGCCTTGACTTTCAATACCCAACATTCATGCAACCCCTGAAGAGTAGTGCTCGCCTTTGTCAACTTGGCAATAATGCCTAGTATAATAAATGCCTAGTAAAATATCCAACCAATTCCCATAATGCAATAACTTTTTTGTAATAAAACATCGTTTTAAATGGATGCTCCAGTGAAGATGTAATGTTTTCCTCTTGGCGTGCAGGTGTGGCCCCACAGACAAGTGGGATTGAGATTAGAAAACCAAACTATCAATTCATTTGAAAACCCAAACGTGACAAAATATTGGGACCATTCCATTCCATGGACTGTATGTTATATTATTACTAACATGCTGTTTTTTTTCCCCATGAATGAAGGCATCTGATTGGTCAATCCTTTTGGCTCATAATAAATAAATATAATTACATGGACAGCAGAAAAGAGAGTACAAACAGTAACTGAGCTGGAGGAGTTTTTTTGTTTATTCTAGTGAATAGGAAAAACATAGGGTTCAAGTAAAACTCTGTCATTGAGCACTTCCCTGGGCCTCATTGAGCTTGGGGTTTAACATTATCCATCTATATAAAGTCTTTGATTTACATGCATCAACAAAACATTTTTTTATGATTCAAACCTTGTCTCTGATGTTAGTTTTCCTTCCTTCATTTCATCACCGCATCTGGAAAGTCAAAACGAGACTTTGTCACACATGACTCTCCTCATCAGAAATCTTCTAAATAGGATCCTTTTGTCCAGTAAGACAGTCAAGCCGGAGATGAGAAAAATGCGGCAGTGTGCAGCCATTGTTGAACCGTCTGTGAATACCTCCCATCTGAATGCGCTCTGATTGGTGAATAGATACGATGAAAGCGCTATTTGGTCCAGAAGTAATCAACATCTAAAAATATCCAATCACCATCTTCTCCCAGTGCGACAGCGCTGGATTCTTAAGTGTGGGGGAGAGTCTTTTCAATGTGGCAACCTTTCTGACATAGGGAGCCTGCAAAATGCCCCCAATTAAACTTGGAACAAACTTGAATGCACCACTCATGGTCAAAACATGGCAGGCAGAAAAATATGGAAAATATGGGGTAAAAACAACATTACTT